TCTCCCCAAAGACAAGATGCGTTCGAAGTCCATGAAATCAAAGATATTTAGAGAAAAAGGGCATTTGTCGAAAGAATGATCATTGATCATGTATGATAAGATAAATGGCGGAATTTAAATCTACTGATTTGTTTGTTTTATTTCGCATAAACATACATATATATGAACATACAGAAGTATTATTCAAACATATTTGTGGCTTATACAGAAGTATATAGATTAATTGTCATAAGATACGGCTGAATTGCTCTCCCGTTCTTCATATCACTTATTTGTAATCATTAGGAATACAGTTATAAGTATTCGTTCGGGTAAATCTGAGTGGACAGAAGAACCCAAGAGACCAATGGCCTAATGGACCGTATAGGTCTTAGAAGGTTTACACGACCGACGGCACATAGACTAGCATCAGAAAATATATAACTGTAGTAATATATTTTATGGATATTGTGCGGGTGCATTGACCCGAAGCATAATGTCTACATGAACATGTACTCTGTCGTTTGTTTAAATACTTTGATGAAGTAGTTAGTAGTTTTATGAATTAGAAACTTTTCTGCATTCATAGATATGGCAATTCGACAAAGATATTCTGCAAGAGGTAGAGCGTCACCAGTGGCGTATCCAGACCGTGACTTCATGGGAGGGGGGGGGGGGGGGGGGGGGGGGGTTAACTATATAATTTGTGATGTTAGTTCTATAGCCTAACATAGTTCTCGAGCGAGCACAGAGAGTGAGATAGTTTAATCTTTAACTTTCTGGTTCCGGTGCATAATGTACTCGTCCTTGTCTAACATTACACTTTCCCGTACTCGATAATGTCACTTTAGCCCTCATTTGCAGATCTCCATTAACCGTTTCTTTCTTTCATATTTTCCTTTAGTTGTATAAAAAGTAAATGTCACACTTTGGCCAAACAAACTTTAAAAAAAAATGTTTTTCAGATGATATGAGAGAATGTTTTGATGTTAAATTCGTTTCCAAGAAAAATAAATCGGTTGGTATCTTTGTGGTTTTGTTGGTAGGAAATGCGGAAGGGGTGGCAAATTGTGGCAAATTGTTGCTCATCCTGCCTCTTTTAAATATTAAGCGGGTGAGATTTTGCGTGCATGTGGGGTGAGCGGTGTGCGGTAGGTGCGGGTATGTGTCTGTGCTTTGTCTTTGTGTGTAATAATAGATAGAGAAGTATAGAAAGGTACACTTTTGCCCATTAAGTTGTTAAAAATGTCTTTTCACCTCTTTTCATGTAGTGAAAGTGAGAATATGATTATTTTTTGATAGATAAAATCTTCCCAGAACTTTATGAATGACTCTAAAAAGATACATAGATTAGTCATTAAAGTTCTGGGGGAAAATAACTTTATCAGTTCTATGAAAAAAAAGTCAAAGTGTCACGATTACTGCATGAAAAGCGGTAACACAAAAATTATTCCAGCTCTTGATATGGGCATAGTATAGATGCTTAGAGAGAGAGAGAGAGAGAGAGAGAGAGAGAGAGGGGGAGGGAGAGAGAGAGAGAGGGGGGGGGGGCGGAGAAAGGGAGGGGGCGATGAAGGCACTTGGACACCTGTTCGACCATGGACACCAAAGGAAAAAAAAAAATCTGTAATGCACCGATTTAAAAGGTTCATGACTTCTCCCCGAGGTGGTGCTATATACACAACACCCCCTTTGCTCCCTCTTGCTTTCCTCCTATTCCCTAAATCACCATCTAAAAGACATACCAGGCGAGAAAAAGCAGACAATAGCTAGCATTAGGAACGCAGACAACAGCTAGCATTAGAAAAAAGGAAATGTTTATATACACTTTTCCACTTTCCTACACCAATTGCGGTCTTCCATGTTCAGTCATTCATCTATTTGGCATGGTTAGGTCAGTAGATGCAAAGAACGCTTTCTCACCAGTTAACAGTGTTTTATTAGGATCCTTGTTTAAGTTAAACGTTAAACGTTGTTGGGAACCTTATCATTGAGGATCTTGCGTGTGTTTTAATTTTATTATCAGTGCATCGATACGATCACTTATCATATGAGGTGAGTAGCAGAAAGAAAAGTCCGATTGTTTTATACATGATTTAATTATTTTGTTCTATCTGATATATTTGGTAATGATATTACAGATATATTTGTGACGTTCTTCCATTAAATGTTTTTGAAACTCAAATTTCATTTCAACGCTGTCGAATCGAAACGCTTAAGTTTTGAAACAATACTAAAAGAATATTAAAATGTTGTATTATTATCTTGTTTTATTAATTGAGTGTATGCAGAGAATTGGAAGTGATATGAAGAAACCATTTGAAATGTAGCCGGCCCTAACTGAACTGTAAAAATTGTATAGGGATTTTAGGAATAAAGACATACAATTTCCACAAGACCTGAATGAAAATAGAAAAGTAAGACATAACGGAAGGATACCCCCCCCAAAAAAAAAAAAATAAATCTGAAAATAGAAATTCGGATCGGGTATGTGCACCCCACTGATAACCACGGTTTTTTGAAGGATGAAATTTTTGAAGGTGTAGCTTTTGTTTGGTTACATGACATATTTCCATTTAAAGCGGCGAACCCTTAGCAGGTACATCATGGTCGTGAATGTAGTATGACTATAAAAGTAATGTTTTATTTTCTACGCATTATTTCGTTGTAGGAGATCAGCTGATGATTGCTAGACATTAGTTTGCTGTCACGATGCAGGATTTGAGACGATGTCAAAGCCAAGTGCTTATCTGCCTGCTGTTAGTGCTTCATTGTCATAGGAGTGCATGCTGGCCAGTGAGTAAAAAACAGCAACATATTTTGTTTAGAAGTAAGGAGAGAAAAGAAATCTTTTAAAAATAGCAAAAAAACATTTCTATTTGAGGGAAATATCTCTTATTATTATCATTATTATTATTATTATTATTATTATATACTTATTTATTTATTTGTTTATCTATTTATTTATTTTATTTTATTTATTTATTTATTTATTTATTTACTTATTTATTTATTTATTTATTATTATTATTATCATTATTATTATTATTATTATTATTATTATTGTTATTTTTATTATTATTATTATTATTATTTATTTATTTATTTTTGTTGGGGGGGGGGCGGGTCAGTTTTGGCTTTAAAAATACTATTGTACTATCTATCTATTATTATTATTATTTACTTATTTATTTATTTGTTTATCTATTTATTTATTTTATTTTATTTATTTATTTATTATTATTATTATCATTATTATTATTATTATTATTATTATTGTTATTATTATTATTGTTATTATTATTTATTTATTTATTTTTGTTGGGGGGGGGGCGGGTCAGTTTTGGCTTTAAAAAATACTATTGTACTATCTATCACCGCCTTTTCGGTTTTAGCGACAAAATATGGAGAAAAAAAGGGGGGGTGGTAAAGGCGGGGGCTAGAAACCTCATATATTCAGGCAGTAGTTTCTTTGTATCTCTAAATGTCTTATTTCGTATTTTTTAACGGGGAAAATACATTGAAATGCTCTAAAGGATGAACACTCTAACAGTAGGTGTCATTAATTGGCAGCTAGGCACTTAAAAGTTTAGAACTCTTGGAAAATCGCGGGTAGGAATACATCCAGGCAAGGGACATCAGCCCCAACTAAATTGTGCAAATACGCCTATCGATACATAGGTGTCGGGACAAAGGGAGAACAAATATAAAGATATATGTTTTCTTTAAAATTTGAAAATCAAATTAATTGATAATACTAAGCACAGGAAGGATTTACGCCGATCATTAATGGTATTCTTGTACAAAGATACATTGTGAGAACAGTTTATGCCGAAGGCTGAAGAACAATAGCGGGGGGGGGGGGGGGGGGGGTGTTACACCCACAAATGTAATAACGCCCACAAACGTAATACGCCCACAAATGTAATAACACTTTACCCACAAATTTAATAACACCCACAAATGTAATAACACTTTACCCACAAATGTAATAATTTCACCCACAAAATGTAATAGGCCTAACCACTTTACCCACAAATGTAATAATTTTGAATCACCCACAAATGTAATAATGACTTTACCCTCAAATGTAATAAATTTGAAGGGATATTTTGTCGAATTTGTTCAAAACTAAAACCCTGTAATAAAGCATGGATATAGCACGCAGTCTTTACTCCAGACCCGGTTATTTCAAAAATTTAAAAAAAAAAATCTTAAAAACTAAGACCCCATAATCCTTTTCCTGTGGAATAACTTGTTGTTTGTTGTTGTTATTTTAGTTTTAAGGGCGTGTGTCATTCAATTATGAATATTTACGCCGAGAATCGAGCGTAGTCTTTCCTCCAGACCGGGGTATTCAAAAGTTAAAAAAAAAAAAAAACTTTTAAACTAAGACCCCACCATCTTCCAAACTAAGACCCGGTAATAAAGCATGGGTTTAGAGCGTAGTTTTTCTTCCAGACCCGGTTATTACATTTGTGGGCGTTATTACATTTGTGGGTGTAACAGGGGGGGGGGGGCTAAAACAAGATGCTTAATTCTAGCATATCATGAGATGCACATTTATATGAGCAGGTCCATGGAGTTTTGTAGGCCTCAGTCTCCTGCGTTACCAATTTTCAAAGAATCCTTATGTGACTGTTTCCTATGTTTTCTATTTTGTTTCTCTGATCAAATACCAAAATCTTATTAGGCCGAACGTACGGGCCAAATATATTATATCTTACGTAATAAGTTGACAATTTCGTGCAATTAAATAGGTCTACTCTGTATATTATTTTATACATATATTCAAATTTTATACATGCTGTGATGCTGATCGATATGCAAAACAGCCATGGGTGAAGAAAGTGTTTCCTGTTTCCTAGTTAAAAAGACATATCGTGAGTAAATCGAATAGCGCGAACATTTTAGCAGACGACCGACCGATCTAGATTGATCGTCAATCGGCATCTCGGATCGGCATAAAAACCACCACCACCTGTCATGCACAGCAGATCAGCGACGGCCCCCTCCCCCATCCCAGTGTCGTGCCAATTCGTGTAAACCGATGTAAGAAGATGGATCGTGGATTTATATAGATACAGGAACGCAATAGAGAAGGACAATTTTACTGAATTGGGAACAGTGTATTACAATGATCGCGTCAAGTGAGTTTTATAGTTTTCCATGATTGTTGGAGTGCGTCAATCCCGGCGTCAATCCGGAGAAGATTTATTTGCGTTTTGTGAAGTTGGTGATGCATGCACTCGCAGCAGAAGAGAATCTTTTTACGCATACAATTAATGCCAAGGGTTGGTTGTTGAGCGGTGTGACAAGACGATGCAAGACAGTCCATACCATTACCATCCCCGCTGAACTTGGAAAACTCTCAGCTGCGTGCCGCGCCGTTGCTCTAACATTATAGCTGCATGTACTAGATCATGACCAATAATTTAATTTCATCTACTGTCATCATGTTTTGATTCATGAAATTTTCTATGTGGGAAAAATTAGAAAAGTACTTGGCTTGAAAGCCTTGCAAGCAAATAATATAGGGTCCCATTGTTGATTGTAAGTTGATATTGGTGATATCAATGGTACCGGTAAGTTCTATGCAATGGGGTCCTGGTAGGAAGAATATATTCTTTAGTGTAGGTATGTTACAAACTTACAATGTGTGTGCTTTCGCCATGAAGGTTTCTGCCATGGGGCTGTTATGCACTATTGGAGACCAATTTGGATAGCCTACGTAAATGTGATCTTTTGATGGGCTGATTAGATTTTTGTTTCATGATTTTTATTGGATGAGAAGAATGACATTGTTATCTTTCATTTCATACTAAACTTTTTATTATTTATGTTCTCGGCAGTTTGTTTTGCTGCACTGTTTCACAAGAGCTGTGTTTAGTGCCATTCTCTACCCTGATCCCACCTACAGGATTTGAAAAAAAGTATCTAGGATGATTGGTTAACATGTGAATTTGCTTTTGGTGAAATTTCAGCAAAATCTATTGATGAGAAATATGTTTTTTTGGATGAGGAATGTGAAAATGTCATGCAAAAATGATGGCCCGATTAGTGGTTTTTGTGTATTTACATACATTTTGGGGCGATTTTATGTAATGAAATAGAATCTTTCGGTCACATTTGAGATCACAACTTTTGGTTTAAAAACAGAGGAAAACAAAGCAATTAAATACATGGTTTCCGGGCGTTTAATATTGGCATAACTTTATTATTACTGGGGCTGTTACGATGAATGAGGCATCAAATAAAAGGTCTTATCAGGCTCCGTCTAATGGCATAAATCAAGAGCTTGAATTCTGAGATTTAATTTTTTTGTAACATCCCTATTTAGTGGTGGTTATTTTACCTGACTGCTGGGGGCATAAATGCCTAAAGTCCTCTCTGAGGGACCTGGTAATGAGGATTATGCCTTGCCAAAGGGCACTAGCGCATCGACTTGGTTTTGAACCCGGGTCGCCTCCTGTCTATGTAAACGGTAAAGGTCAAATCTTTAACATTGTGAGCATGCACATTTAATTCTTAATTGCATCTTATGTGAGGAAAAGACAGCCTAGGGTTCGCAATGTTGGAGGAATGTTAAAAATTATCATTTGTGAGAACGAGAAAAGATTTCTTGTTCATGTTTTTTGTTTTTAGGTGGATCCTGATGCTGCAACCACTTGTACATATGACTCTGATTGTTCTGATGACCAAGCATGTTGTGAGTCTGGGACTGATCGTGTGTGCACTGCTCGCAGGAACAATGGTAAACAAACGTTTGGTGATCGATAGCAAGAAGGATGTACGTTAAATGATTTGGGACAATATGCCCTTCTAGCTTTCAGCATATGATAGTTAGTCTGCAGCCTGCAGGCACAGACTCTAATTTGACATTTAAATAACAATTCATCCAGTCTTGAGCCAAGTCTAACAGTAACTGTCATGTAAGCCCGGTGGGGTCACTCAATGTGACTTCCGGACCGCATGACCATTACCAAAATCGCAGAAAAGGGTTCAATTTCAAGCAATGTCCACAGACAATATATTCCTCGAAATAAAGAAAATAGGGGTGCACAGGTGTCCTCGAAATTGATAAATAGGGGTCAGGAAAAGGGAAAAGAGAAAACCAGGAAGAAAAATTCCCGGAGCCGAGTCTTGTCCTTGAAATATGGTAAAATAGGGGTAAATTTGCGAAAGTGTCCTTACAATCTTATAAATAGGAGTATTCCAAAGTACGATTTTGTCCTTGTTTTGACGTAAAAAAGGGGGTTAAATTTCACAAAATGTCCTTGAAATGGACCGCAAAAGGGGGTTATTTGCATTTGTGGTAATGGTCATACGTGTCTCCCTCTGCGGGGGAGTGACCCACCGGGCATGTAAGTTGGTCTAACGTAGTCGCCTCTCTGTCTTTGCCAAAAAAACTGGCTCGACACGTCTTTCGGATAGTGATGAGAAGGTCGGTCGCCTAGATGTAATTAATCATATCTGATTGATATACATCTTTAAAAAGCCAATTAGACACACAAATTATACAAATGAGCTGCGTGTCTGTACCAGGGCTTATTACATAGTGCTATATGTATAACTTTCACAGTTGAGACCTTGGTACCCACTGTAAGGGTTTGTATTGCAATTTAGACAAGAAGATTTAAATGTCAAAATAATCTCTTCTGATGGAAAAAGTAGAATGTTTTGTATTTGTGATGGTGTGGCAGGAATGATGATTGAAGTTATCAATGGTTTGGGACTTTGGGTATCTTGTGAAAAATGGTCAATATAGAATTAAGTTTTGTGTGTACTGTAAGACAGTGGCGGATCCAGGGGGCCCGGGCTCCGCCCTTGGGGAAAAAATTGTGTAAAAACATGTGATTTTTACCTTTTTTTGGAGGGGGGGTGCAAATTTTTAAATTTTGGAGGGCCAAAAAAAAAATGTGCTCACTACCCCCCCCCCCCCCCCCCCCCACCACTGAGCGACTTTTCGGGCTGGCGCGATTTTCAAATTTTCGAGAGCGAAAAAAAAAAAGTTGGGGCCCCCTCCCCTAAGAAATCCTGGATCCGCGCCTGCCGTAAGATACGGGTGGTGACGGAGGTAATCAAGAAGGTGTGGCCCCATTGCGGTGATTGAACATCATCGACATTGTAATCGTCATCACCACCATCGCTATCATGAGCAATATGTTCAGTCATTGAACATATTGCTCATGATAGCGATATTATAAATTTCACTTTTTGTCATTTGCCATTATTGCAGCTCCTCCTACAGCCTGTCATAGTGATGAAATTGGGTGTACAGAAGATGGCTGGTACCTCCCAAAGCAATGTGATAGGGAAAACGGAGTGTGTTGGTGTGCCTCACAGTGTGGTCATCCACAACCTAGTACCTACTCTGATGGTGTGCTAAACTGTGGTAAGTGGACCAAAACTAGTTGGGATACAAGTATTTTATAGACTATATATGGAAACAATTGCTTTGATTTGTCTCATTAAAGGAGTTGACCACAAACTAACTCCCATACAGTGTTGAGTGCATGGGTCAAGGGCCACTGGCTTCATCGGGCAGGTAGTTCCATTATGTGAATGGGTAAAGTCAGACAACAATATACAACCAATCATAACAAGTTTAATACCAGGAGAAAGCTAATGATTAGTTTATTTGATAGCTTATCACTCTTACTCTAAAGCCGCCTGACCACAATGGAACGAGTGAGGGCTTGCGAGAGCGGCCGAAGTGCAATCGAAACTCACTATTTTGCTCTTCTCCAACACAGAAAAACAGACAACAATGTCCTGGATTACTATGTTTTTTCCGAGAAAAGTAAAGAGAAAATGCCATATTCATTTTTATATACTTTTTGAAAGGTTACCCCAATGTTGGAAAGAAAGGCATTTTCATCCAGAAATGCTTATTTTGTCTATGCAGGGAAGTCGGATTGAGTGGATGATACAACGTCAATATGTTGCAAGTCTTTATTTAAAATGCTTTTTTGTTCACTGGAATTCTTTGATGGATTTGTTTTGTAAAGGTAATATTTCCTTTCTTAAAATTATGATAAAATAACATTTTTAGAAATCTGATCCCTTTTTAAAGTTTCATAAAGTAGTTACCTTCTCCTTGAATGTATTTGCTATGCTTTAAGTGATAGTTATTATTAGAATGAATTTCATAAAAACTAATGAATATCTAATTTAGATTTGTATCAGAATTTATTTTGCCTCAAAACTTTGGGATATGGGTTTGAAGGCTATGAAATAAAAACAAATTTGAAATAAGGCATTGCAACACTACGCTAACCTTTTAGAATAAAACAGAGAAAGGAGATCTCAGAAAATATAAAAAATGAGAGTTATTGAGCGAGTAGGAGAGAAAGAGAAAGAGAGAGAAAAATAAGTAGTTAAGTATTCTGAGTGTGTCGGGAAGAAGGAGAGAGATAGAGAGAGAGAGAGAAAGCATTTAGTAGAAAGATATGGGAAGGGTGATAAAGTAATTGTGTATTGAAACAATTTCATACTAATAAAGATAATACTTTAAGATTTGTCAATGAAATGCAACTTACACGGCTGCTTTGACCTTTGTCTCAACCCCACAAAATATTGTTTTGCTCTATTTCAGATAAACTTTATCCAGAATGAATCTTATCTTTCATTTCATATCTGACTCCCTAAAGAGAAAGCCCTCATCAGTTTACATCCTGTTAATATTCATTGCTCTATTTTTTAATCACCCGTATAATGTTTTCTAGCCTGAAACTAAAGATATGACCATCAATTTAATACGAAAACAAGAGATAAGGGAGGAAATAAGGAAATCGAGTTACGTTAAAAAGAAAAGAAGGAAGAGTAGAGAAAAAAAAGTTACTGTAAAAAGTGATAATTTACATCTAAGATGAGCTCATTTGATACTACTCTTAAAACAATTAGTGATGGAAAATATTTGATGAAACAAAAACAATATAAATTGTTTTGTAGCTTGTACTTTACTGTCATGACTTGGACTCAGTTCAGTTATTAATACGCATGAAATAGAGATAACTTGGCAAAGTCAGTCTCATTCATTTTTGTGGCTTAACTTTGTACAAAATTTTGTAAAATTAGTATTGAGCTTTGTGTCTTGTCACTTTAGTGGTCATCTTGTATCAGAAAATGTCCATTCTTGTAGATTAATAGACCTTATAATTTGAAGATTTGATATAATGAATAAATTTACAGATTCTATATATATATATATATATATATATATATATATAAATAGATATTTCAAAATATGGAAAGTGCAGCATTTTTAATCAAGAATGAGTCAAACAGTTTTTATGCCTCCGCCACCGAAGGTGGTTCCCGGAGGCATCATGTTTTCGGGTTGTCCGTCCGTACGTCCGTCCGTCCGTACGTCCCGTTTGACCGTTATCACAATATCTCAAGAACCATTTAAGATTTAAACTTAAGACTCGGGAATAGTATTTATCACCATAGGAAGACGATCTGATTAGATTTTGGAGTACGTAGGTCAAAGGTCACAGGTCACAGAGGTCAACTTATGAAATTCCTTGTATTGAGTTTGTTAGCGCGATATCTCAAGAACCATTTGAGATTTAAACTTCAAACTTAAGGATAGTATGTATCACCATAGGAAGACGATCTGATTAGATTTTGGAGTACGTATGTCAAAGGTCAAGGGTCACAGAGGTCAACTTATGAAATTCCATACATTGAGATTGTTATCATGATATCTCAAGAACCACTGGAGATTTAAACTTCAAACTTAGTGATAGTGTGTATCACTATAGGAAAGCAATCTGATTACATTTTGGGTCACGAGGTCAAAGGTCAAAGGTCACAGGGCTCATTATGTATGCAAAAACAGCTTGTGATCGCGTTATCTGAACAACTGATTGATGGATTCCTGCCAAACTTTGGTCATGTATGTATCTTGCAGAGCTGATGAACTGATTAGATTTTGGGGTCACGAGGTCAAAGGTCACAGGGCTCATTATGTATGCAAAAACAGCTTGTGATCGCGTTATCTGAAGAACCGATTGATGGATTCCTGCCAAACTTTGGTCATGTATGTATCTTGCAAAGCCAATGAACTGATTAGATTTTGGGGTCACGAGGTCAAAGGTCACAGCGCACATTGTGTATGCAAAAACAGCTCGTGATCGCCTTATCTCAAGAACCGATTGATGGATTCCTGCCAAACTTAGGTCATGTATGTTACTTGCAGAGCTGATGAACTGATTAGATTTTGGGGTCATGAGGTAAAGGTCAAGGTCATGCGGCTCATTATGTATGCAAAAATAGCTTGTGATCGTATTATCATTAGAACAGATTGATGGATTCCTGCCAAACTTAGATCATTTATGTATCTTGCAGAGCCAATGAATGGTTCATAAGATCAAAGGTCATGGGCTCATTATGTATGCAAAAATAGCTTGTGGACGCATTCTCATTAGAACTGACAGATGGATTACTATTTAACTCAGGAAATCTTGCAGAGCCAATGAACTGAGTAGATTTTAGGGTCATGAGGTCAAAGATCAAAGGGTCATATATGTATATGAGAAATTGCTTGTAATCACGATATTCTGAGAACATGTTAATGGATTACAATTGAACTTGAATTTGAAAAATTTCTTCCGTTTCGGTTTGTAAAATTGCTCTATGACGGAGGCATCATTTTCGACTGCGCGCAGTCGAATTCCATCTAGTTTCTTTGCTTAAAGCTATGGTCACAAATCAGAGCAGCGACCGACCGATCAGTAGCCTGCTCAGTCGCTGTTGGAATTAGGCATCGCCCAGCGATTAGGTCGGTGCCCGGGCGTATTTTGGGCGGCGAGTGAAAAGTGAGCAGGCGCCGCCCAAATTTTAATTCCGCGCTAAAACTTCAGCGGCGACCGAGCGATGCCCTAAAAACGAGCGGTGCCTGGGCGGCCGCCGGGCAGAATTGGTTAAAAACTCGCCGCTCGGCCGCAGAGCAGGCTACTTTTGGGTAATGTGACTGTAGCATTAGTCATTGATATTCTTAATAGCTGCACACAATGAAGACTGTACCCTTGAAAGAGGATGTGCAAATTGTTGTCTGATGCTATTAGACTAGTTACCATACTCTCATTCTCCTTTCATTAAAAAAGAATGAGTACTTAGACAAAAGTGTACCGGTAGACCTAATTACATCAGACTAGTCATGACTCCTTTTATTAAACATTCCTCTGTTCAGTGGCAGAACTTCCCCCTTGCCGCAAAGAACTTGATGATCTTTCTCAAGCGGAAGGCCCCACCCCTCCAGGTTCCTTCAGACCGAGATGCATGGCAGACGGCTACTTCAACCATACACAGTGCTTGGGATCCAGCTGCTGGTGTGTGGACCAATGCGGGAAGAAGTTTCGGGGAACAGAGCACCCTGTGTCAACAGTGAACACCAATGATTGTGGTAAGTTTGTACTTACATATTAAAGGGATCCGGTAACTTTGTCTCAGATTCTGAAACAAAATTCTGGATTTAGCTCATGATGCAATGATAATTATAAACCTTTAGGTCAGTCAGGAACCCCATGACTTTTACAAGCCGATCGCCTGTCTGATTATCAAGATATTTGTGATTGGAATTACAAATTTTGAAAACCGTTCGCCTGACGGTTTTCATAACACTACAGTGTATTGGGGAAAACGAGTATGGTAAAACCGGTCACTCAAAGATTTTTTACTCTTTTGAGGCACTTCTTGATCATTTTGAAGCGCAATTTTTTTAGGGCTTCAATATTACACCATATCACAGACACTGACATAGGGCCGTGTATCTCGGATTTAACATTGTTAAACGATCCCTTTAATGCAGACTTGTAATCGTCACCAGTTGCTTTGAAACTGCAAGAGTAAACTTTGATCTGGTACAAGATAGAACAAGTTAAACCAGACAGGACTGAGAAACTATCATCAAGTCATTCTATAGTCCTACTGTACATACATGTATGTCACATTTGCTATACTTCCCATTTTCCAGTGTCCATTGTCCATTCTGCCTTTTTCCATAGGTGAAATAAATTACCAATCTGCTCCTTTACTCAAACAAAACTCTAGGACCAGTCCTGATCCTTACTGAATGTCTAGTGCTAACAATGATACGATGTCAGAGCAAGAAGATGATAAACTATGTAATTGAATGAGTGCCATATTTTTATCCTAAAAGGATGCTAGACCATAGAACTTCAGATTGAAAATACCATTGTTATCTGCTGACAATATGCAGCAAAAATTTTTGTTATTGTTTAATTAATTCAATTTTATGTTGGTAAAGATGATACATAAGTGTTGAAGATTACTAGCTTAGTATATTAACTTCACTGACAAGGAGCTTCCCACTGACATAGTAGGAGACCAGCCTGTAGGTCCCGTGACCAATCTCGGGGAACAAAGGTTTGAAAGTGTTTTTGTGTTCCCTGATGAATACCGAACAATTTTGACTTGGGCTGCCCCCTTGAAAATCCCAGGCATTTTCGTGAGGGGTCAACAAAGGTCATACAGGGTAGAAATTCAAATATATTCCAATCGTGTCGATATGCATATCAAACTACTCGTCTGGTCATGAGGATTCAAAAAATGTATAGTTTGCTATACCTCCGATCTTAAATGAGGGCGCTATGGTCAAAAAGGTTGAAAGGTCAACACACTTTTGACTTGTGGTCAAATTCACCAACACAGTGAATCTTATCAAATTTCATATCAAATTACTCGTCTGGTCATATGGATTACAAAAATGTATAGTTTGTTATACCTCTGACCTTAAATGAGGGCGCTATGGTCAAAAAGGTCAATGCACTTTAGACTGGTGGTCAAATTCACCTACACAGTTAACAACGTCCGATTCTCATGATTTTAGTGTCTAATAATATGTTTTCTGACATAACAAATTCAACTAAGCAACTTTTAAAACCAAAAGTGGTTGCCATAACCTTGAAATTCCCCTTTAACCCATGGATAAGAAGTTATATATGTTTGTCACCGAAACGGCAGCCATTTTGAATGTACATGGTCAAGTTAAGCACTTTAACTTTTGAAAGTTGTATAGTTGAATTTGCCGTGTCAGAAAACATATTATAAGACACTAAAATCATTAGAATCGGACAATGTTAACTGTTTTGGTAAATTTGACCACCAGTCTAAAGTGCATTGACCTTTTTTACCATAGCGCCCTCATTTAAGGTCGGAGGTGTAACAGACTATACATTTTTGGAATCCTCATGACCAGACGAGTAATTTGATATGAAATTTGATAAGATTCACTGTGTTGGTGAATTTGACCACAAGTCAAAAGTGTGTTGACCTTTCAACCTTTTTGACCATAGCGCCCTCATTTAAGATCGGAGGTATAGCAAACTATACATTTTTTGAATCCTCATGACCAGACGAGTAGTTTGATATGCATATCGACACGATTGGAATATATTTGAATTTCTACCCTGTATGACCTTTGTTGACCCCTCACGAAAATGCCTGGGATTTTCAAGGGGGCAGCCCAAGTCAAAATTGTTCGGTATTCATCAGGGAACACAAAAACACTTTCAAACCTTTGTTCCCCGAGATTGGTCACGGGACCTACAGGCTGGTCTCCTACTAACAGTAAAATGGAAAGGATATCGTTTCAGTTTAACCAAATGATTATTTCATATAATTTTTGATTTGATTTACCAAATGTTTAATTTACTTCGTTTACAAAGGATGTATTGTGCAAATTACAGTGTATGATAACAGTAATTTTTTTTTAAAGATCAGCATAGTGGATGTGTACTACCGGTATTGATTTTGATTTCTTGGTCTCATCTCACAACGTTCATTTCATTGAAGCCTTAAAAAGAAGGTGTGGTGGTGATCCGTGTGATACCGCTACCTGTGAACTCTACCCACAAGCCACCTGCAGAGTGGAGGAGCAATGCGGAGAGTGCCTTCCTGTTTTCAGTATTGGAGACCAACGTGTCTCATGCTTGCAAGGTCAGTTAGGAAGTGTCAAAACATCCTTCTGCAACTGCATGATATGTATCATGTATTAGTTTTTCACAGCAGATGTAGTACATGAATATGATTTGGCCTAATTGTCTTAAGTGACAGCAAATATGGCATTGAGTTACGATTTGACTGAAAAACTTGACATTTATCACTATAACTATATTGAAAATGTATTAGTTTTTATAGCTTGATACAATTCTTGTATTTAACTTCAACCACTTGTTTACAACGCCAATGGCATCATGAATGTATGGATATTTGTAATCGTTGTAAATTGTTTTTATGTGCAGAACGTACATATACATGAAACTAAGGAAATAGAGTATTTTTAATTCTTGATGTTCAAAGCATTTTTTCTTAATTGATCTTGTATTAAAAAGATTTTGTTGTATTCATAGATAACTACAGGAAACTACTAATGACTTCGGATAGCTGCATCATTAGCGTCCTCTATATCTTAACACCAACAAATAGAGAAAATGCAGAAAGATATTTTGAATAAATACAACAATGAAAGTTTGAGATAAATATGTGCGTTAAACAATATTTTGGTAATTTGGACTAGACTTTTATGTAAAATGATGAAAAATTGTGTTGAAATCCCTCTTACTTAGGTTCCAGTAAGGTTGAGAAAGCAGGTCTCTGTCCTGACCCATCATCCATAACGGTACGCAGGGGTATCTTTGCATGCAGAGAGGATGCAGATTGCCATGGCAATAAGAAATGCTGTGGGAATGGAGGTGGCATGATGTGTACTAATCCCTTACCCAAAAGTGAGTTACATCTTTTTATTTTGAGTGTGTTTTGATTGGTATAAATTATACCCAGCTACATAAACGCTGCAATTTGATTATTTTGAATCCATTAAACCTTCATGTGCCATCAGTTCCAATTGGCCCAGTTGCTTGTTTGCCACATGTGTAGACACATACACATATACACCAGTTCCCAAAAGTGTTATTTGCAAAACCATGGCTTCGCAAAATTGCCCATTGCCAGTCTTGATTAGCCCATATGACAACCCTGTGGAAACCTGTATAACATAGCCTTGTACTAGAAACGTTGAATAGTCTTGAAGTCTTTGTTATATCTATCCCATGAATTCGTTTTCAGTGGGTGCCTGCCTTACCAAAAAGCAGATTTGACAAAAGACTTAACTCCGTTTCGTTGACAATCAGCCATGCATGAAGACTCTCGTCTACGGCTAATTGTCAACGAAACAAAGTTAAGTCTTTTGTTAATTTCGTTTATTGATACGGCAGGTAGCCGGTGAAAACGAATTCGTTTAATAAAATTATGGAAATGCAAGTACTACTTTAAACAAACAGAACTTTGTCATTCCTCGCTCATTTTTCCTGATTGAGGTGTCATATGAAAGGGCAGAAACTCAACTTTCTAGAAATGTGAATTTTTCTTCGAAATTCAGATACCGCCCGCCAAATGTCTTTTTGGTTTCCTTCCTTCAAATTGCTTTTAATCACTCATGCGTGAAATATGCATCATCTGAGTAGCATCACATGAAAGAGGAGACTCTAAGCTTTCCAAATATGTATCATTCATTAATTATAGTTGTGATTAAGTTATGATAGACAATCGATACTTCTCGGTTTCGTTTTTTCCGGGACGCACTGTATATGATTACGTTCTATTTTAAAAAACGCCGAAATAAAAACAAACAAACAAAAAAAATGAATTTTAAAGCTTACAAATTATTTCTCATCTTTACCAAGGGTCTGTTTCATAAAACTTGTTATCAACAACTAATTCGTTGACAAATTTGCTCTCAGCCAATTCAATGTCATGATTTCAGTAGCTTTTAACAGTCATTGTTACTTGATATCGATAACAAGTTTTATGAAACAGGGCCCAGAACTCCACCTTTAAATGTACATGTACTTTCACTTGTTTGTAGTCCACGAAGGCCAGTGCCCCAGGCCCTGGTTATTGGAATGTGATAGCCATCGCAGGGCAGATCACTGTGAGTTTGATAGCCAGTGTCCCCAGTCAAACAAGTGCTGTGAGTCTGGTTGTGGGAAAGCATGTAGAGATACATCCAACCATGTAAATGTAAGTCACAGTCAATGTAGTATCATGTTTTTAATGTACTTTGATTTGATTTGAAGAGATTTTAATTAATTTTATTTTTTATATTAGGTAGCTTAGGTAAATGTAGAGGCACAAAAATAGACTTTAACACAGATTTAATGCCTTTCTGGCTCCGACCAAACCAAGTATCAATTTCCAGTAGCCAGATGACAAATAATGCAATATCCTAGCTGTCATTTTATTGAAACTAGGAAAAGTTGACCGTCGGCTACTTACTGACCAAACCGGGTCAGTGTCTCTCCGTCACCAGAATGAACTGCTCCACAGTCTTTGAATGCACTACTGACCAGGGATGTGGCAGCAACTTGAAATGCTGCAGCAACGGTTGCGGCATGGAATGTGTTGAGCCGATTACTCTTGGTAAGAAGAGTTTGTTTATTTTTAAAGTAACTTTTAAGATTGAGATTCTTTGTTTTAATATCTTTTTTTCAAATCGTCATCTTAGGGATACTGTGAAAGGTCTCCTCCCGAATATGAGAATATTATTTCTAATAATCATATACATATATGCATTAACCTTATGAAATGGTTTTAAAGGCATCATAGTGTTGGTCAATCTCATTCACCTAGCAAATTTCTTCTTTGTGTACCTAGATTGATTAAATTGAATATCTATACATGTCCATCAAGCTTTGGCTTTAATAATGTTAGCATGCCTCATTCAACGTTTCTAGGCGCCATGGTGCTGTGCCTTTACAGATTTTATGATTTATTTGTTTCACAGCATCCTTTAAAAACACTTTCCAAAGCATTAGCACATTGCTCTAACCGGTAGATATTTTTCACTAACATTATGAATCCAACTGAAACTCAAACCTATTTTCTTTATTGGATATCTTTTCTCTGCAGTGAAGTACGGGCAATGCCCAAGGCCATCATATGAAGCAAGTCAATGCACCGGCATGTCACCAGATGATATGTGTATGCACGATAAAGATTGTCATAGTAACCAGAAATGCTGCAATGACGGCTGCCAGAACATCTGCATAGAACCATGGAAGTATGGTATGTACATAATGAATCGGCAGTAATGATTGATCTCATATTAATTTATGTCGCTCAGACATTGAATTAGTGTTCACGTATCTATTCAGTATGTACCGGTAGTAAATTTCAAAATTTCTTTGAATTGTGAGGTTAAATCCATTCCTGTTTTATGTTCCATGCATACTGTGAACAAAAATGTACTCAACTTGCTTATTAGATATAATTATATATATATATATATATATATATATATATATAATGTAATGAGGGCAGACTTTGATAGCCTTCATGATTGTTTTTTGCATTAGTGGTCTTCAGTCTCTCCATTATGCAAAGGATGGATGATAGCTTTAACACAGGAATGATACAATTTGTAAAACATAGCACTTTGTCAAATGTATAGTAAAAGATGGCATTAACTGTTGTCCCAATACTGAGTATTAATAAATGCTTTTACTTGTACATGGATATAGATACATTTATTAATGGTTTGAAAGATAGTATAAGTCTGCTCATCTTAAAATCATTGGGAATTATATTTGACAACAACATTTATTCAGATATTGGTTGAAATCTTTAACGGGATAGTTGAGTTCTTGTTGCAGACCGCAAATAAATGCCTTCAAAGTGCATGGTTATTGCTCTTATTCTTATTTAAATGTATGACATTTCTAGTGCTCTTTTAAGACCTGAAATTGCTATGAAGTCAATTTCAGACCCCAAAATGTGTGAAATTTATCCAATACGATCATACCAATTTAGCTCCACTTTCAAAAAAATATGGTGACCGTTGATTGATTAATTAATTAATATTAACAATACACGGGCCGGCTGGTTGTGCATATTATAGCTAACACAAAAAAAGTCAACAAAAAGCCAACATCGCCATCGGCTGGAATAGAACGTATAAGGTGCTATTTCTTTTTTCAACGGCTGGTTCAAATTTTCAAATATTTTAGGTGGTACACAAATATTAGAAATGGTTATATTTATGGATATTTCAGCCGTCTCTGAACCGATTTTGATCAAACAAAGATGATTTTGTCATTTAAATTGTATGTTCTTTCAAATTTGATACTCAGTTTTTCATTATCTCACAAAAAAATATTTTGTGTAGCGCCTTCTCCTCTACAAGAACTCAATTATCCCTTTAAACTAAGAAAGACTGTTTTCACATCTGCTGTAGATAACCGAAATGATGTAGATGTCAATGTACCGTTATCAGGAACGATTCATCTAATACAATAACCTCTGGAAATCTATTCCTGGACAACTACCCCATGACAGGTGCCCCATGAAATTCTTTTTAACTATAACTGTCAGAATTGAATTTGTAATACCAGTACACCCTTTCACGGTTACCATAGTATACATGCGCTGACATGGGCTCCATTTTAAATTGCGAGTAAATATTGCGACTAGCTTTTATTCAGATTTATGCAGCCTGCAAAGCACAAGTGTCGATATGATGTGAGCGCACAGCGCAGGCAGTGACGCAACAATACTTACGCGTCTGAAAACATTGATGACGCAATGTTTACTCGTAAATTAAAATGGCGGCTTTAACCATGAAGGGGTGTATTGGATTAAGGGTATATTGTCCCACAATTATTGTCCTGGGTGGTAATTGTGTTGGGGAGGAACTTGAAGTAAAGTGGTAGCTCTTTGGGGAAAGCAGTCCTTAGGGATAGTTGACTTAGAATCAAATCTACCAGTAATGCCGCTTTTGTTGTTGCTACAGCTCCTGTAATAAGCCAGTTCAAGGTTGCAGTCTGAGCATGAGCAAATAAAGGTCATTGCAGAACAAATTTTGAAATACACGGGGACAAAATACTGGATACATGCTCATGAAAGTTATGTAACATTCATTCATGCACATTCAGTGCACTCCATGATACACAGGTGGAAGTATTCTTTGAAAAGGGGAAACAAAGGCTATTTATATAGCACCTCCATCGCTGTAGGAGTGATTATTTCAAAATGTACAAAGTGGGACCTCTTCATGTTTTGAAGATCTGTGGATATTCGGGGTCTTTGCAGCCATGTGCTAACTGTGAACTGGTCTATTGAATGGAATATAATTTCTTTCTTTCTCTGTGAGTGGGCAGGCTGGTACCCATTTTTAGGTCCTCCTTTTCAAGATACCAATGCCATTATACATTTAACCATGAGTTTTTTCTTCAAACTTGTTATCACAAAGTTAAACCCGGAGAGTGTCCAGGTGAATCAGAACAAGATGATCATTCCAGGGACTGCTCCGTCGACATGGATTGCCCTGATTCAATGAAGTGTTGCCAAGATTCATCCACACCTCAACTAAAGTGTCTCAATCCAAGATTTCAAATTGCATGTGAGTATTGAAGCCATAAGAGCTGCTGTAAAAGTACAGTATTGACTAATTCTACCTTGTAATCTGATTTGTTAATACTGTACTTAATGTTGACGTTTAAAGGTTCTGCATTTAATTTGCAAAAATTGTGAAACATAGTGAAATTTCACATGATATTAATAATAATAATAGTGGGTATATTGTATAGCACTCATGTCAGTCAGATATGACCCTCCTGGCGATCACCATTATGCGTCAAGATTACGATAATAAAATCACTTTGTTCAGCATATATTTAGCACTTACATGTATGTTAAATAATATACCAGATTTATTCTCATTATACTTGCAACAAGAAGTTTTGTAATATGAAGAGGACTATATGAAATTGATTTTTCTTCTTCAGAAAATTATTTTCGATGACTAGAGTCTTTACACTCAACTAAAATTCCTATATCATTGAAGAATAAAAAAGTGAACTCTATTTCCACTTATTCTATTTTTATTTGTCAGTTGATAATTCATGTAGTGAAATACCTAGGCCATACTGTATAAATGCAATTTTTTTACAGTACCTCTTCAACCAGCTGGTTTCTGCTACCAAGACAGACAGCGCTATCACCATGGTGACGAGTGGTCACGTGACCCATGCTCTTTGTGCCGTTGTTGGGCAGGGGTCATAGAATGCCTCAGGATGACCTGTGCGACCCCTCCTGAAGGATGTGAGGCTGTTGTCATCCAGGGGAGATGCTGCCCTGATTTCAGATGTTCAGGGGTGGAAAGTGAGCATTGCTATATAATTGTGCTTGATAATCATGTCCTATAAATAAATTTGTATTATGCCTGAATTTTGCTTGAAAATTCAACATAAACATTTAGGATATAACCAAAATGCAGCGATATGCATTTGGTCCAAATATGATATCATTCATCATAACAAAAGATTCTACTTTTTCTGATCACAATTATTAATATTTTTTTATTACAAATCTTCCATTTTAACCTGAATTTCCTTAATTTGTTTTTCTAATTTTTCTTCTTCAACTCTGACTAATTTTTGTTATAAAGGTTTATGAATCATGACTGATTATGATACTACACAGCATAATAATATACTTACATGTGTTCATGTACATTCAGTTCTAGATGAGAGAAAGTTCCAGTGATTAGTTTTGTTAATAAGTGTCAATATACTCATACTCCTTTACCAAATTTGTGCAGCTGGATTTAGTAGATGCCCATCTTTGACTGGTAGGAACCACTCGCATCTTGAAGTCTGGTCAAAAGATGATTGTACACAGTGCATGTGTTACGATGGAGAAGTGACATGCACCACCCTGTCCTGCATTCCTATCGCTCCTGTCAATTCCACAAGGTTTCACAGTGTTCCGCAGCCTGGGTCATGCTGTCCTCGCTTGGTGTATTCTGAACTTAGATCTGAATCTGGTAAGTGCAATTTGAAAGATGTAATAGAATCGAAAATAATATCACTAGTGATATTCGTTAGTCTCACTATGTATGGTGAGCAAGGGATCTAAAAGATTACAACAGTCAGCCTGTAGAGTAAAAAAACACGCTTGCTTACATTATATTTTATCCCCTGACGAAGTGTTGCAGCGGCGCACAAAACGTTGTGATCTTGTAGATCCCTTAATGACCATACATTGCGAGACAAACGAATATCACTAGAAATATTATTTTCCATACTACATCCGCAATGAGTAATATATTTAACATCAATGTCATAGAAGTTGACATGTTCAGTCAAGCGTGACAGATCTTCAATCACTTTAAACTTCATTTGCTTGTGGAACTAGTAATCTAACAAAACATACCTAAATGAGAAAATGTGCAGTTGGGAATATCTGTGTAAGACTTGGGATGGTCATAGTCGTTGTGATGCATAAGTCCATTCTGTTTGTCTTTTTTTCTCAAGATAATCACTGTTTTGACACAAGGGGAGTCATGCACCACACAGGTGACCGCTGGCACGAAGACCCCTGCACAGAGTGTCATTGCCATGACAACCGGGTGGAATGCCTTGATAGAAGCCACAGCTGCCCTCGGCTCCCTCACCCATCATGTCGTCTGCTAGAGGTCAAGGGTCAATGCTGCCCTGATGTTAAGTGCTCTGTGATTGAAGGTATGATGGTGCTTGTAGCTTTCATTCTGCACTGACAGTTTTAACTTTTTTCACTATCCTATGCCAGCAGATATCTTACAATTCACCCTTGACGTTAACACTCTACCTAACTGTAATCACAGTTACATTTTGGGCTTTAGGGTTAGTTAGAAGTAAGGGTTAGGTTTAGGTGTATTATTTGGTCCATGGTTGAAGCTATGAGGTTGGCTTAATACTGCACAATGTTGATCAAGATAAAGAACGAGGGAAGATAAGGTTTGAAGAGTAGTTGGTGAACAGAGCAATAGATAATTGAAGAAATGGAAAAAGAAGATGGAATGATAAGAGAATAAAGGATGGAAGGGATAGAGACAAAAGAAAGTAAAAAGAAGAGTGGCAGTGAAAGTGTTTCTGGTATTTGTGCCTCTTTTTGCCTTATTGTCTGCCTTTTTGTCATTTGGAAGGTAAACAAGCACATATGATAAAACTAGTGCATTGAATAAGGAACATGCATTTATTGCATATTTTTGCAAAGTTCACTGTAGACATGAATTTCTGTTGCTAAGTGCTTCTTGCTTTCTACCTGTATCTGTCCCACTAGAATTTGATATAGGATGTGAGACTGATGATCCCTTTTGCCCATCTACCTGTTCATCTTGTCAATGTGATGTGGACAGACTGAAATGTAACTTGCCTGGTGGAGATTGCGCTTTCAACCAGTCTCTATGCTTCTCCATAGACCAAGGTGACACTGCTTTAGACTGCTCAGACACAGTGTGTAACAAAGGTCAGTATGGGTCATATTTAAGGTCACAATCATTTGGGAATCACAGACATAAACACTGTATGGTATCCGTGCTAGCACAGGGTAAGTAAACCAATGGGGATCTCATCAAAATTTATTTATGCGGCCTGTTAACCGGGGTATGTGGGCATCTTTTTAAAGACTATGAACCGGTAGTTGGGAATGCAGGCATCTTTTAAATGGCTATTAACTAGTAGGCGGGGCACGGCTAAAATCATGACTCCAATTTTGACCAATCAGATGGCTAGATTTTTAAAGAGAGGTATATGATATTTACTATTTATTATTATTATTAATATTATTATTAGTATCATTGTTATTTTTTAAAGATAATTATTATCATAATAACTATCATCATCATCAACATCGTCATTACTTTCATTATCATAATCATTATTTGATATTGCTTTTATTATTAAATATAGATCCACTGAAAAGCTGTAATGTTGGTGGAGTAGTGTATTACGGTGGGGAGAGCTGGTCACAGGACGTCTGTACGTCATGCGTGTGTCAGGATGGTTTGTCTGTCTGTATGTCACTACCCATGTGTCCTGATATAGGAGTCGGCTGTCGGGCGACCTACACCGAAGGCCAGTGCTGCCCAGATGTTACATGTGACGCAACTGATGGTAAGTTTGTTTATTCATTTATTACCATGACCAGTTAAAAACAACAAAAATTGTCATTGCCGTACATCAAAATAAAGACACCAGGTTCTGTCAGTGTTCATCATTTTGGTACTTTACTGAACTAAAAATGTAATGAAAATATCTGGCATGCAAAAAAGGTGTGAAAGTTATGAAGAGACCACCTTGCTGCCCAAATATTAGGTTATGCTTTACCGAATATAAGCAATTTCCAAATTCAGCCCCCTGCTGTGTTTGGCTATGAGGATGGGGCTTGTTGGGAGGTTATTTGGAATAATGATGAGTCGTAAATGATGTCAATCTTAAGATAGTCTTTAGGAGTTTGCCTAATGCCGGGTGAGGTGAGGGGAGCATTAAACCAGAAATCGGTTTAATGAGTGGGGTATCAACCCCATTTTTCCATCATCGAGTTCCTTCACTGGTTCTTTCACCAGTGCACCCAAGTTATGAACTTGTATCAGCAAAAAGAAATGTTGTAAGAAAAGATTTTGATAAAATTGTCGCTTCTTCATTGATTATTGTTTGTTCAAATAGTATTCTCCAGGATTTTGTATCGCTGTATTTGAAGACCTACTGAATACGTGGAAGGAAGAAGGAATTGAATTCCAGCTCTCAGATGAGATGAGATTTATTGTCCCTTGGCAATTTATTGATTTCAAGATATGGACAAATTGTTTAAAGGTAGGCAAATCTTAATGTGTTTAAGTTTAAATACACTTCACTTTTATCCAGACAATGCTGCTTCATGCCATGAGGCTGGAGGTAGCCATGCCCAGGGGGACAGCTGGTACCAGGATCCCTGTACAATATGTATCTGTCAAAGGGGTGTGATACACTGCTCTAAGGTCCAATGTCCCACCCTGCAACCCATGTCTGGTTGCCAGCTCATTCTCAACAGGAATGCATGCTGTCCGCTACGAGTCTGTCGTGATGGCGGTGAGTTAAGTCCTGTAACGCAACAAAACATTGAGGTTATGTTCATAGCAACTTAATTCTTGTAGCTTTGAAAACAACCCAGGCTTCTGTTTCACGTACAGTTTACATATACTTCAAGTAAAAAAAAAAATAGCAGTAAAAACCCCAATGTGACTCAAAACCATTTGGGACCAGATACTACGATACCACCAAAACTTGACAGGCAGAACATCATCTACATCACTGTCAATTAGTTCACTCTATTAATGTGCAGCATCTCTTGCATACAATTATTTTCTGACGCGTAACAGACATGAGATCAGTTTGTTCTTTTCAAGTGCAGTAGTGGAGAAACATATATCATCTTGTCATACTGGCAAGTGCTCATTTATATCTGAGATAAGAATTTTGATGAGCATGCAACCTACCAAATAAAAGAAGGCATTATCAACTATCATAATATATTGCAGCATGTTTACCTGACTTTTAAGATATTGTGGCTTCGATACATGGTTCCATTTTATTGACTCATACTGTATATCTAATGCCAGTGCTTATGCATGCACAGCAAAATTTAGAGGTTTTAATTTGTTCGCTGAATACCATGTTTTATTTTTTCTCTAGCTTCATCCGTAGAGAGGCCTGTCATAAATTATGCACTTCCTCGGGCAACATCGCTTCCTGAGCCACAATACAGGAATAGGTTCTACCTGGACTGGGGAAAGTGCGTCGTTGCGGGTGGTGCTTCATTCTGTACAAGGGCCGTCTGCTTCCACCCAAGAGAAAGTTGCAATGAGATAGAGTCAGATACAAGTGTTATTTGCCCATCCATCTATTGTCCAAAGGGTAAGATTGAGATGTTAACACTTTGACAACTGAATTCCCTTTTTCCCCATAGACTTAATACATTGATCATCCGGGTCTAGGCAATGGGTTAGAAACGTGGTGCACCTTTTACAGGGCTTTAATGCTTGAATAACAGTAAGCTGTTTTAATTGCTCAATGTTTGATATTGCAACTGATATCTTTGGACAAAGAAAACCTTGTAACCTTGACATTCATATATTTGAGTTAGATATCTTAGACTAATTTTAGAACTACAATGAATGTTAGAAAATAATATCAGTAAAATTGAAAACCTGTTGCATGATAATTTTGAGACTTATTTGAGAACTTAGTGGATTAAAGGAATGTATTTTGTTGATAGATATGATTCAGAGGAATTTGTGATAATTTTACATTAAGAAATGTAAAGTTAGTAGCACTGTTACCTTAAATCAGCTACAGCTTTTGAGACCAATGGCTCATGAGACTAACTGTCCAAAATATCAGCAATCTCGATCTTGCAGTATTTTGACAAATTATCTTAGTGTCCATGAGATCAGCAGCCCACAAGACCAATATGTGAGTATTCTATCAGCTTGTCCGAGTTTCACTAGACCGACATTGTCAGTCATGTGGGCTGGTGGTGTCCTATACTGTCCCAACTTTGGTGATCCAACATCTACTTCAGTGACGATTGCTATAGTTATTTTTTACAGAGGTAGAGGGTTGCACTTGGTTTATAGGTTAGGTTAGCTAAAGATTGGGTTTGTGTCCAGTGACAAAGTTATGTTTTTGGATAGTGTAGAAAATTAACCCAGAGCAATTTTCACAGGAGTAAGTGTCGGACATCCCCCATCATTAGCCAGTGCCTTTCATGTAAAGTGTTCAATATGATGATGCAGATAAACCAGGGACATGTCCGTCAGCCTCCTCTAACAGCAGTGACCAAGGAGAGTGTGTGTTCCAGTGCCAGAATGATGCTGATTGTGAAGACTCCTTGAAATGCTGCCCGGTCGGCTGCTCATCAACATGTATACAGCCTTATTCTCTGCAAGCTGGTGAGACGGTGTGCCTAGAATTGACAGATAATATTGAGTTTATGTCATGCAAGTGCATTGTGAAAGAAAGTGTCAGGAAACAATGGGGAAAGGTTAATCACGTAGCATACATATACATGTATGTATACGAACTGGTGCAAATAAAGAGCAATCCTTTTCAGAGGAGGTTTCTACTATGAAATTATACAAACTAACATAAAAAGAATGGGACAGTGCAAACTTATTCGCCGTCTTCACTAGAACTCTGCCTCTTCTTTGCCCTTTAGATTACTTCTTCGTTTTCCAAGGCAAAATACAGGAACTTGCTGGTTCTTATATGCAATAGCTAGGTTGAAGGAGATCTTTGGTTCTTGGAATGACAGAAATTAAAAATCTCATAGATTCTTATCCAAATTCACTGAAAGGTCAAGACATAATCCTCTCTTTGAACACTTTAACAGCATTTAGGATTGTTAGTAGGTTGCTGTCATGCTGCAAAATCAATGGATTGTGACAAAAAATCTTTTGGGACTTCCCAAATCTCTACATTGGCTAGAAGGAAATTCAACAGTTGTTTGTTGTTTTGGATGTAAAGAAAGCATAGATACTATTTCATTGGGGCTCTGCCCCTCAGAAAATAGTATTATGCCGGTCACCTCAGAGAATTCACAATTTCAAGTGGAGCCTTTCGGTGCATGGTATATATGATTATTAGGATTTAGATGTGGATTTTATTATTCCATGTAGGCTAAATACAGGAATGATTTGGTCAGTGGGTTACCCAAATTTATGAAATTCAAGTATTCCTCATTTTCTTTTAAATGCACTAGTACCAAACCAACGCTGCGTAGACATCTACGGGACACACAGGTCTGAAGGGGATATCTGGTACAGAGATGAGTGCACTCAGTGTGCCTGTCAGAAATCTGTTGTCGTATGCAAGTCTAAGGAATGTATGCAACCCCCGCCGGGCTGCAACCTGTTAGACCCATATGAGGGTGATTGCTGTGGAATTGTCGTTTGTCCTCACACAACTGGTAAGCTACAGAGGAATTCAAACCTGAGTTAGCAATTTATGCTAAAGAGGTTGGGAGGGAAGAAAGGGGCAGGGAAGATCATTTTCCGGGCATGTTTGTGGTTTTTTGAGGTTTCATGAGGTCAAAGGTCAAAGGTCATGGGCTCATTATGTATGCAAAAATAGCTTGTGAACGCATTCTCATTAGAACTGACAGATGGATTACTATTTAACTCGGGACATCTTGCAGAGCCAATGAACTGAGTAGATGTTAGGGTCATGAGGTCAAAGATCAAAGGGTCATATATGTATATGAGAAATTGCTTGTAATCACAATATTCTGAGAACCTGTTAAAGGTACTATGTCCCTTTTGCAGCCAACCTCCAATTCTGTAAAACTTTGCAGGAATTATGAATATGTCATGTATGTCCTATCTGTGAAATTTAAACGTTAGCAGTGTCCTCATATTCAAATTATGCAAGGAAACCTGTTTACTTGCTAGACTTCACTGTCAGACACTATTTAGTGACTGACTGGCATTTTTCTTCTTTGGTAATAACATACATGAAAAGAGTTGTAAAGGGTACATGAGCATTTGTCCACATCAATAACCCACTTCTTGTGATGGCCAAGATTAAACTGATTGAATCTTTGCACAGCATAAAACGTATGACCATTCGGTACAATTTTCTGAAAATCAAGACTATTACTTTTGGGCTCTATAGCCCTAAAGTCGATTTGACAACTAATAGTCGTTATTTTCCCACTTGAAGACATTTTCAAGCCCCACCTTTTTTAGGGAAGTTCTAAATTAGTATCATCTTTCAAATGCAGTTGGAATTTTACTTTTTCATTTTTTTGGCCTGCAAATGGGACATAGTACCTTTAATGGATTACAATTGAACTTGAATTTGAAAAATTTCTTCTGTTTTGGTTTGTAAATTGCTCTATGACGGAGGCATCATTTCGACTGCGCGCAGTCGAAGTTCCATTTTGTTTCCTTCTTATATGGTCAGGTCATGTCATAAGTCATAATGCCAAACCAAAAGCTTGTGCCTTACGTGCATCATATGAAACATGCATATTAAATTTGTTTGTGCACAGGTTGCACGGTTTTACTAATGGGAATTGCTAGTCAGGGCTTTCAAATAATTGATGGATGTCTACGAGATAGATTTAGAGAATTACGGTAGGCAAAATGCCTAGCCTAAAGTTTGACTGAAAACCAAAGTTGGCCAAATTTTAAATCTAATACTGAGTTAAGTGATACATTTGTACCTGACTTGAGTATTGAGTTGAATACCGAACCTTATACCTCACAGAGAGGAGCTGCTTTCATCGGAGCCACTCCCACTCTCATGGAAGCTACTGGTACCCTGATGACTGTGAAACATGTCAATGTGAACATGGGGTGGAGATTTGCACCTCCTACCAGTGCATGCTGACTAAAGAGGAGGGCTGCATCTTCCAGCTCCTCCCCAATAGATGCTGCCCAGACAAATTCTGTCAACCAAGTATGTACTTTGAATTCATTTTAGACCACTATGTTCCTCTTTACTTTGACAGATGCCATTCTTGGTGTATGTTGTGTTTAAGGGAAAGTGTACTATGTAATTGAGGATAAACTAAATACCTTAAGTTATTTGGATGTAATTATATGAGGTGTTTATGGTGATACCATTACATATTAGAGATATTAGTGTACTAGAATGTTATTAATAATAAGGAGCATAACGCAGGTATAGTAAATGGGTACTTGGACCCCGTTGCATAGAACTTGCTTTGATGGTAGCTTTGCCATTCATATTGACTTCCATGGAAACCTTGATTTGATTGGTTGTTTAGTGATGTTGCTACTGAATTTAATATAACTTTAAGCGACTGGGCCAAAATCAGGGTATAATAATACTTTGTAGGCACCTTGTTCATCCCTTGGGATGGATATGTGAGCAATATAAATGTAACTATCAATATCATTATCATCATTAATGAAAATGAATGGGTCCTACTTTTTTCGCCTGTAGTTGACAGCTGTATGCATGGAGACATTGCACGTCTTAATGGTGAGAAATGGTACCAGTCCACGCAGCAGGAGTGCAGCTGCAATGACGGAGTGATCAGTTGCCTTTCAGTTATCTGCCCATTATCAGCTAATGAGGGATGCATTCATAATGAGACAGGTGTCCATGCATTCTGCCAGGATATTACTTGTCAGTCTGAGGGTAATTATTCCATTCATCTATTCTTCGCTTTCTTTATCTTTTCATCTCTCTGTTCATCAGTCAATTTAGACATGCATATATATCTATATGATTAAATGTTACTTGTCAATATGCAGGTAAACATCCCATCTAACTATCCATCTGATTATTTAGCTCTCTGTTTTTATTTATTTATTTGCCCGTAACCATGGTTAATAATAATAGTAATAATTAAACATTTTTATATAGTGCATAACACAAAGGCAAAATTGTATGTCTATGCACTTTAAGAAAAAGAAAAAAAAACTGCACAGGTTCATGATTCTGATTATTTATAAAGTGGTGAAGAGATATGTCTTTAGAGAATTGATAAAGGTTTTATAGAATCCTATACATTTCAGTTGTTCAGGCAACTTGTTCCACATAAAAGCAGCTCCATATAAAAAAGACCTTTCCCCGTATAACTTTGTCATGGTTTGTGGAACACAAAGCAGAGAAGTGGAACTGGAACGTAGCATTCTATCTGGTTTATATGGAGTTAGTAATTCTGTAAGATAAAAAGGAGCTAGTTGATGTAAACATTGGTAGGTTAATAGAATTATTTTAAACTGGATACGAGACTTGATGGGTAACCAATGTAGATCTCTTAAGACTGGAGTTATCGATTCATGTTTCTTTGTGCGTGTAACGAGTCGCGCTGCAGAATTTTGAAGGAATTGTAGTCTCCGAATTTGAGAAGAAGGGAGACCAGAAAGGAAACTATTACAGAAACCAAAATGGCACATTACAAAAGCATGAATTAATCGTTCAGTGGTTGATCCGTCTAAAAAACTTCGAATTTTACCTATTTTGTGTAATCTGAATGATGCTGATCTACACTTTTGTGGGACAAAATTTTCAAGTGTGAACTAATAAAAAATAACACCTAAATTTCTGCATGATGTAGTTTCATGAACTATAGTGCCAGTTATGTTCAATGTTGGTGTGAGGTTGCTTGATCTATGGTGTGAAGAAAGATGAAGAAACTCAGTCTTAGTATCATTGAGCTTTAAACAATTTAATTGAGATCACTCTTTGATTGATTGTACAAATTCTGATTTTTGTGCAATGACATTAACATTGCAACTTCTCTTAAATGAAATGTACAATTGTGTGTCATCTGCATAGAACACCTTCTGAATCGTGTGTGTGTCAATAATGTCTTCTAATTTTGTTAATTTTTTTATTTAGGTTTTATTTCCACATTAACTGCATATGAAAAGAATTTACAAAGTAAGGCATATACAAGGTAACAAAACATGTACATAATATTCGATTGATACAACAGTAATACAAACGATGTAATGGCAAGTCATTAAATACATGTGATGCTAACATTTATCTGCAGTAATGAGGAGGAAACCTTGGAAGCATTATGCTTGTAATTAAGGTTCCCTAATGGAGATGTATAGAGAGTAAATAAGATTGGGCCTAATACGGACCCTTGTGGGACCCCTTGAGAGATGATTTCTGTGGATGACCACTCATTTTCAATCACTACAGTGCGAGTGTGCTGAGATAGATAGGCCTCTATCAAGTAAGTGCTTGCCCATTGATTCCAAAACGAAGTCTCAAACGTTGCAGCAAGATGTCATGCTTAATTGTATTAAACATGCATGAATAGTCTAGCAGCACAAGGATGACTTCTTCTCCTTTGTCGAGAGATGAAAGGATGTCATCCGTTACTCGCAAAAGAGAGGTTTCAACGCTGTGAAACGAGCGGTAACCAGATTGTGACTTTGCATATAAACTGAATGTGTTCCAGTACTGATGAAGCTGGAATGACGCTATTCTTTCTCAGAGTTTGCCAAAAAATTCTCAAGTCTGCAATGAGACGATAACTTTTCAAATCTTCAGCATCAGTAGCTGAACCCTTCAGTCTAGGTACAACATCTGCATGCCTGAAACTTTCTGGGAAAGAACCAGTCATGAATGAATCATTTATAATGACCTGTGTCATGAATGGTAATAATTCTAGTAGAAATTTTGTTATAAATGAAGTTGGGACAGGGTCATGTTCACATGTTGTGGAAGAAGAGGAAGTTATGATCCTGGCAACCTCGTCTTCAGACACTGATTTGAATTTGCTGAATGATGAGGTTGCAAGTTTCTAAGGAAATTCCCTACTATTGTTACCAGCCACTGATGACTGCAATTCATCAGTGATGGACTGAACTTTTTTTGGCAAAGTGTCTCAAGAAACGCTCTGACAGAGATATTTCAAAACTGACATTATTTGGAAAGGTTTTCTATTGGGGCCGTAACAGGTGTTCAACCTTCCTGCAGAGATCTTGCAGTCTTTCCGCTGATTACGATGATAAACTCGTTTGGCTGAAGTGAGTTTTTTTAAATATAATGATGGGACGCTTTTATATGGATCTGCTGACTGATTTCAAGACCACACCGAGAAAAAAGCTATCCATTCAAGAGCACAAAGTTTTTGCTGCAAATGTCTAAGTTCATCTGTGAACCATGAGTGTCTGGAAGATATTTAACAGTTCTAGTGACTTACGGAGCATGCTTATCTAAAAGCAAGGATAGAATGTTGTTAAACTGACCAACTCGCTCATTTAGTTCTGGGCTTAAAAAAGAGTACAGATCCGACTTGAGTATGTAACTGGAAAAGACTTTGATGTTGATGCTCAGGATCTTCCTTGTCTTTATCTCCAATTTCAATCCAATCCAATTCAAAAGATATTTGTTATATAGCGCCTTTTCCTTGCGGATACAAATCGCTGCACACACTGCTCCACAATGTTTGGGCCAGTTTTAAACAAAAGTTATTCACTTCTCAGATACCAGTTAAGTACATGTAGGCTGCATGAGAATGACGATGAGGTCAGGTGTATGGCCAGCTGTGTGCATTGATAATGATACATGCTGTTGCAGGTTTAATGCTGAAAGCACAGATAAGATATTCCAACTAAAAACTGATGAGGAGATGATATGAGTTGTTCCATGAAGGTGGAAAACTCACAAAGATAGAGCAGCCCAGTCGAGTCTCCCCTTGCTGTGCATTGAGAATGATAGATGACAATAAGTTACAAGAATGTCTAAATGTTCAAAACAACTTCAGTTGATAGTATTGTCATACACCTTGACGCGAAGAGACTCTTGAATGCATACACCAACGCCTCCGCCAACACAATGCATTCGGGGCTTGTGAAGCCAGACGTGGTCTTTCAAAACAGATGGGAGCTAAGTGATGGAGTAGTTGAAAACACCTGCTATCAGCCATAAGGCTGTTTTTCTGCAAGTCTGTTAAAAACATTCACAAAATATACATAATAACAAAAAACATGTATCATCAGCAAACATTGATACAGTGCAATGCTAGACAACAAGTGGTAAATGATTCATGTATAATATGAATAGCAGTGGCCTCTTTATACTTCCCTGTGGGATGCCACAAAATAGTTGGTTTGCTTCTGACCCATTACCGTCTATAGGCTTTATTTCTATCTCAAATTAATGTCAGTATTTCACTTGTCATCTAAGGTGACTTCTTATGACGAACCCTTTTCCTTTTAACAGGGGCATGCATATCCGATATAACTGAACTTTTTAATCCATATTTTGTAGACCTATGCTTCCTCAGTTGAATGTTTATATAGTACATTGTTGAAAGATATGCTATGTAAATCTTGAGCAAGGATTTCAAGGTCAATTCTCTTTATATTACGAGAAGAAATATAGCAATGGTTTCCACTTGATGTTGGTTTTCTCTTTCCCCATGAAAAAATAGTCATATCGTGATCACTTAAGCTGACAGATAGGAAAGAACATTCTTTCACATTTTCAGCATTTGATGAAAAAACATGGTCTATAAGTGTCTCAGACAAACTTGTTACCCTCGTGGCTGTGGTTACACGTTGTGTTAAACAATAGTCGTCTGCAAGTCTCTGCAGTCTTTTAGTATCATTTGATGGGTTTCTTTGTAAAAGATCGCAATCTAAGACTCTGATGTTGGAATCAGGTGGTCTGTACCCACACAATAAAATAAGAGGTTTTAGTTTATTTAATTTTTATTGTATACGGGAGAGTTCCAATTCCTGTGACATTGTGATAAAATATAATCAATCGAATCACGAACATAGATAATCACTCCCCGACCATTTCTGTTTCTATCTTTTCTTACTATTCTATATTATTTTACTGAAATTTCCTCGTTTGACATGGACTCATCCACATAAAGTCAAACATCAGTTTTAGCATCATTTAAAATAACTTGTATTTCATCAATATTTTTCAAAAGCGAACATATACTCAAGTAAACATCCCTGAAAGAGAGTGAGAGGTTTTTTTTGTTCACTAAAAAATTCTTAATGATTTATATTAATGAGAATTGGTGTATTTTGACATGTTTTAGAATCATTGACATCTTTCTCTGAACATAAGTCTTTATCAAAGGAGTCATTAAATGGTAGCTTACTAAACAAACAGCATGACAATATCCAGTCGCAATCAGAATTTAAAAAAGAAAAAGGTAAAGATGAACAATTCAAATGTATTCATTTTTTTCAAGATACACACAGAACAGACTTGGTTTGACTAGATGGATTTTCTGCAAGATATGCAGTGTTATTTCAGACCCATTTTAAATGTGTTTCTTGTAATCAGTTTCATGATTTCATCAAGTCCATCAATCAATTTAGACATCCATTTCTATATCTATTATTTCTTCATTCGTTCTGTTTCGTATATTAATATAATATAAAGTTAATGTTAATGTAATATGATACCAATATAAAACAAATTGCTGTTTTAGTATACATATAAAGACAATACAACTTGAGTCTTCAGTAGAGAATCTTGAATCTTTATATGTTTCATCCATCTGTTCTTGCCCTAGATTCTTCCGTTGTAAGACCAACTTGCCATCACAAGGGCACACCCAGAGCAGTAGGGGAAGTCTGGTTTAGTGACCCATGCACCTCATGCACCTGTAACTCATCCCAGAAGGTGGTCTGTGTTACTATATCCTGCCCCTTCCTGGGTCTAGGACAGGGGTGCAGGGCTGTACCGGAAGAGGGACTGTGCTGCCCCCAGGTTGTGTGCCATGGAGGTATTGGTATAAATTTTAATCCAGATACTGTTCCCACCTAATAGACTGAAAATACAGAGATACGTGCATATAAATGTATAAATGTTATAAAACAATGTAATCAGAACATTGATCCATGGAGTTTATTGACCGGAAGGTGACAGTTGAAAAAAGTAGGAAGACCAGAGGTGCAGGGCTGTACCGGAAGAGGGGCTGTGCTGCCCCCAGGTTGTTTGCCCATGAAGGTATTAATATAATTAATAATAATAATAAGAATATATAGGAGCGCTAAAAACAATAAGTACCTTAGCGCTTACAAATACAAATGTATGAAAAGAGGACAAAAAATGTACAGTCTCACAGGAAGTAGATCACATAGATCACTGGGGAAAAGGTGAGTTTTGAGGGATTTTTTTGAAGGTGGCAAGACAGGTAATTTCCTTTATGGAAAGAGGGATGCTGTTCCAAGTCTTTGATGTGGCTAGTGCAAAACATTCCCGATCCAGATTCAGACTCAGATCTACCCTCATAAAGTATTGAAAAACAAGGAGATGTTTGTCTCTACTGGAAAAGTACAAGGATATGTAATTTATAACATGAAGTATAGTCTAATCTATGAAGTCTATAAAATGTAAGGTGAAAGTTTAAAAGAAAAGGGAAAAGAAAATAAATGTTTGTATGTGAAGGTGTGTGGGCTTGGATAACATTCAGTTCAAATGGATAATAGAAAAAAAAGATACTGTAAACAATTATACAGTTTCATGGAGATTATTATTCTTTAATGATGAATTAATTAATATGAAGAATTAATGATATACAGTCAATAGCATGTTTATGATAGGTCAAATTTTTAGTTTTAATGATTTATTGAAAAAGTTCTTTACGCATAGCCCATGTTATTGTGATTAAAGAGATATTTTCAAATAGGGTAACTAACAATTCACAACCTGATCTCATCAATAAAGCTGTTTATGTTTTTATGAATAATTGTGTACATTTACTAATCTGTATATTATGTTTAGTTTCAATATCTAATTTGATTTTGCTTCCCCATCACAGTACTTTGTAGATTAAATAATCAAACTTATTTCTTGAAGCTACTCATATGTCTTCATACATTTTACCTACCCAATAGTATAATGATTGTAATGCTTTTTCAAAAGTATTTTATTTAAATGTATAATATAAATTGTTAATGTCATGTCAGCTATTCACTCATTCGACTTTAGTGTTTTCGATAAGTTGTTTATATTCATTTAACCGTTCCCTTCTAGAATGTGTTCTATTTATTGAATGATAATCATTGGTCTGTTATCAAACTCAGTTCATAGTTGCATGTCAGGCAGCATGGAGCACCTTCAAGGGGAGGTGTGGCAAGAAGATGACTGCACCTTCTGTCTCTGCCTCAATGGACAGCACAGCTGCACCATGAAAATCTGCCCCACCCCCAAGCCCCATTGCCGTTACACCAACCCCAAGGCAGGCCAGTGCTGTACAGACATTGTATGCATGCCGACTGGAGGTAGATGAATTTCAGTTTCAATTTCAATAAATTTTAATTAAATCTAACAAAAAATGTTTTTGTACATATCAGGTAAATTTTTATAACCTGTTCCATGCCACCAATGTTTCTGAACAATTAATGAACTTCCAAATGTCAAATTCTTACTTGTGATACATTGTATCTGGTTAATTCTGAAATTGGGCATGAAATGTATTCAATTCCCCCAGCTAATTCATGTTGAGTACTAGAGGTACTGTACAATGCTTGTTCTTTAACTCATTGTGATAGTTGGTTCCTGCTCTAAGTCAAATTAAAAAAGTGATTAGTCAACAAGTTGATAAAAATTCACCAATTCACCTTTAAATTAGTTCCAGCCAAATCATGTCAGGACAACTCTGTATCTGAGGTATGTATCCGTCAGGAAGAATGGATGTATGATCCTTGGTCCAGTGTGGCAACAGATAGGTTGTCATTGAATTGTTTAATTATGCCATTGAATTATTTTCTTCCCAGCCAAACCATGTCAGGACAGCCCACTATCTGACAAATTTTATCTCCAAGATGAGGTTTGGAGGTACGATGCTTGTACCATTGCACAATGTGACAACGGAGTAACCCTCAAGATCAGGGAACGTTGTCCATTTGTCATCCCTCCTCCCGGATGTTTCCTAGTTTCTATTCAAGGACAGTGCTGCCCTCATATTGACTGCAGTCAAGGTAGTGATCTTTTCTCTTTCTCATGTTCTCAGATTACTGCATTCCTGCTTATTCAACTTTTTTTTTTTTTTTTTTTTTCCCCCTGTGATTGTAATTATGTTATACTTATATTTGTACTATGTTATCATGTCAAATTGTTTATGACTGTTATTTTTGATGTATCACTCATAGGCCTTTTTAGGCCGGCCGTCTGATGACGGGTGTGATTTTTTAATAAAGAAATAAACTAAACTAAACTAAACTATAAACCTGTTGCTATCTTTAAATCCAATCTACTCTAGTTCGGCCAGGAGGGATTAGACCTCCCTGCATGGTCACTGATAGGTGGTTATCTCATCAAATCAGCTCTCAATTAACATAAGAAAAAGGGGACCAATGGTCAACGATTAGGCACTGTTTGCTATATAGATGGCGCAAGTAGCTATAAGTAGTGCAGTGGGGCTTTAAAGAAACAGCTTAATTTTTATTGGAGAAGGAAAAAATGAAGGATATTTTGATTGAGACCAGATCTGGTGTTGCAATCATCTTTACTTTGAGAAACTCGAATTCGCAGATCTGAACGTAGGTGACGTGATAAAGAAAGAATCAATCAGAGACATAAGTTTGGAATAGTAGAAGAACTCAAAGAGGAGAGAGAACCAATAAACAGTATGTAAGGGTGTCCATGAAGCGTTATAAAATGAGAAGTGAACAATGAAACTGTGTGAAGTGGAAATGGATTGGAAGAAACCGGGCATGGTTATAGCACATGAGAGTGATGTGATGGTGGAGAAGGGAATTATAGTCATGAGCTGAAATGTAAAGGAAAAGAGATGTACATCATAAAGTACTGGAAGCAAGATGTTAGACTATCAAAGACATGCAGACAGTAAAGAGTAAATACTGCAACATGTAACTGTTACATTACTATCAATGAAAACAGAAAAACTTTCTTTATAAATTCTATACCTGCAGATATACCCAACTGCGCATAACAATATAACAATATAACAATGTAAAATGGACAAAAGCAGAAATGACACTAATAATAACATACGTTGAATCATATGAGGAAAAGAATATTCAGACCAGCCTTAAAATTGAGTACGGATGTTGGACATAGATATACTACAATCAGAGTATGAAAATGTAGTGGGTTGGAAAAAACAGGGTTTCTGCAACAGGCTGCACTATATTTTAAAGATTTTTGAAGATGATACTTGTGATTGAGGATACATATCTCATTGTGGGAAGGAGTTTGATAAAGACTCAATGTGATGTAAAATGAGGGGATGATTTATTGTATATTTACAGGTAAACAGGGGCAGTGTCCACTCCAAGGGGCGTATCCACAATCCAGTGGTTTGGATCTATGCGCCCATGATGCAGATTGTTCCGGAAGTAGGAAGTGTTGCCATGACGGCACCAGCTTATCTTGTGTTAACACTCTCACTATTGGTAACTATCAAACATTCTTCAAGAATTCCTACCAATTATCATGATAAATGATTTAACAAATCTGATCGTTGACCACTGTATTTATACCGCAGTCACACTACAAAACCAACCCTGAACAGACCGTGTGGGCCATTTAGGATGATTTAGGTGTATTTGTCAGTTTTATACCTGTCTGTTATTGTTGTTGTTAGTCTTTCTTCTATAGTTGCCTTTAGTTGCTTCTTGAAATTGTCGTCAGAGATTTTATAAAATTCTTGAAAGATCTTCCATTATGTGTCTGGGCTTTGTTTTTGATCGGATATAGATCATTCAGGGACTATTTGGGGACAGTTCATCGGTTCTGCTCATTGGTAACCATATATTTGTTCTTGTCCAAGTACGATTCTGCCATTTTTGTTCCAATCTCAGTGACTTGGATATTTGATTTGAATCATTGTTTGTCAGATCACCCTGGACAATGTCCTCCCAGCTTTGTAAGCAAGCTTCCCATCGGCCAGGCCTGCATCATGGAGTGCTACTCCGATCGAGACTGCCCCACTTACGAAAAGTGCTGCATGTCCAGAGGCTGCGGCATGGCCTGCAAGCGCCCGATCGTCCTGACCAACCGCCGGCCGCTGTCCAACGTCACTGGACACCTCTGCAGCATCCTGGAGAACCTGGTCGGGAGTCATAGGACAGGCAAGTTCAGTAAGTGGTGGGGGGTTGGGTGCGGAATGATATAGTATACTTTCATCATTAACCCATTGTCTACCGAGTTCCTTCATCCCCATGGGCTCTAATACAGGAGCCACCTGGTTTCTGGAGGTAAAGGGTTAACATACTCATTGCATTGATATCAAATATTACATATGTATCCTCTAAATTTAGATCTTAGAATTAATTATTTTGTATAATGTTGTATATAACCCATTGTCTACCGAATTCTATCATCTCCATGGGCTTTCCTACAGCCGGTTCCTGGAGGTAAAGGGTTAACATACTCATTTCATTGATATCAACTATTATATATGTTTCCTCTAAATGTAGATCTTAGAATTAATTATTTTGTATAACGTTGTATATAACCCATTGTCTACCGAGTTCCTTCATCCCCATGGGCTCTAATACAGGAGCCACTCTGTTTCTGGAGGTAAAGGGTTAACATACTCATTCCATTGATATCAAATATTATATATGTTTCCTCTAAATGTAGATCTTAGAATTAATTATTTTGTATAACGTTGTATATAACCCATTGTCTACTGAGTTCTATCATCCCCATGGGGTTTAATACAGGAGCCACCTGGTTTCTGTAGGTAAAGGGTTAACATACTCATTTCATTGATATCAATATTATATACGTTTCCTCTAAATGTAGATCTTAGAATTAATTATTTTGTATAACGTTGTATGTAACTTGTGTACATTGAATTGTATTGCATGATGGTATTATATTTATGTTCATTGTATAATATGTTTTGAAATGGATTATATTAACTGTCGGATGGTAAAATTTATATCTTTATGTTGCATGATAATATATGATTCACTTTGTTTAATAATCATTTAGTAAATTCATTCCATAATTGTATTACTTTTCATTGTATCAGGCCTGATAAAAACCCGATTTAAATCGGTTTCCCGATTTTTTTGATTTTTCCCGATTTTTTCCCGATTTTTTTTTTCTTCCCGATTTAAAAAAAAAAAAAAAAAAAAAAATTTTTTTTTTTTTTTTTTTTTTTTTTTTTTTTTACCAGATTTTTTTTTTCTTCCCTTTTTTATCCTGATTTTCCTGATTCCCCCTTTATTTTCTCTATTCTTCCCTATTTTTTTCTCCCAATTTTCTTACTCGAAAGGGGGGAATGTTGTTAGATGCCGTTTTTTCCCCGCGAATCGCCTTTTTTTTTTTTACTCAAGGGGGGCGTGGTTGAGGGGAAAACAAAAAACCTATTTTTTTTTTAGTGCTCACTATCACCCCTGTTGTATAAATTTCCATATTTATGGTGTTTTGTGTAACATGTTTATATATGGTATCCTGCATTATAATTTTGAATTTGTTTTAAAACTAAGCCTTGAGACTGTTAAAAAGCACAATTGTGTAATGATTGGTAGATGGGTGCCTTAATACCCTGTTTTTCCTGACCTGTGAATTGCCAATTGTTTCACTCTAATTTGATACCCATCACCTCAAAATCTCCAATATGTTACCATTATGCAATAGACCCGTTTACTAGTAACAAATTTAAATTTATGGATGTTTCTTTCCTGTGGACCTAGTGACGAGTTATCCAAAAACCTGTTATTAATGAATGAACTACAATACACAGAATCATAAAATGCATACATTAATTATTGATACATCGGGCAAGCCTTGATCAGACTCTCAGGTTGTCAAGACCAACCTTAGTTTCAAAAGTATGCATAAAATTTAAATATATTAGAAAACCGGTCTATTTGTTACCATGTGTACATTTACAAACTAAATTTTTTATAACCCCTTTAAATTGTTTTGGTTTTGTTTTGTAACTCAAGAACCAAAAATGAACTGTTGGAATTAGGGCCTTATTTGAATACTTTTAGATGTGAGCTTTATTGTTTCACATTCTCAAGAAACATATATTGGGACAAATTACTTTTTAACATAGTTGAAATAAAAAAAACGTGGTTTGGTAAGGTTATGAATAATTTGATTGTTAACTGTATGTTCTGAAACAAGAGATTTTCAACTTTCCAATGATAAATGTATACAATACCAGAAGTTCTGTGTTCACTTTGGTGATGTACAGTTGAAGGCCGCTTAATAATTATGGACCGTCAGGAGTGTCAAGTCTGACAGACATAAACGGTTCACAAGAACCCATTATAATAATAATAATAATAATTATTATTATTATTATTACTATTATTATTATTATTATTATTATTATTATTATTATTATTATTATTATTATTATAGTTATAATTAGAAATATACCAACATTAAATTTTAATTTTCTGTGATGGCTTGGAAAATTAAAACAAGGTGTGGTGGCAAATGGTGTGAAATTTGATGTCGCCCTGTGATAAAATGTCTCTGTACAACTATTAATTCCCAGGAAATTCCTCAAGGTTGTACCATTGCTATTCCTATTTTATTTAATTTTATTTTATTCTGGCAATCCACTTTGTGTATAGACTGGTGTATATCACAGTAAATTGATTTTTTTTCTTCAATTTTGAAACAATACTTATTGACTAGATTATAGAACATCAAGTAAATAAATGGTAATGCATTGCCTTTTATCATCTATGTTCATCAAATATAGAAAAGGATGGGCAGTGCCCAAAGTTCTCTGATCTGAGGAATCAACAGCTCCCTCTTGTGGCTGAGTGTATCTTCGACAATGATTGTCCTGGAATGGAGAAATGCTGCCCAACTCTGGAATTTAAGATGTGTTTGAAGCCCATTATAGAAGGTAAAAATCATTCAGAGAGAGAGAGAGAGAGAGAGAGAGAGAGAAAAGAAGAAATAAAGAAGAGAGAGAAAGAAGAAATAAAGAACAGAGAAAGAAGAAAGACAGAGAAGAAGGAGACAGATAAAAAGAAGGAGAGGTGAGGGCGAAGATAGAGGGGGGGGGGGGGGGGGAGGAGGGGCAAGGGAGGAGGAAGGGGGAGCAGGGAGGGGAAGAAATATTTTTGTTAGAAAGGGAATGTCAGCTGGCAAAAATGATGTTTTGTTGGGACAGTCATGACTAACAAATATTGCATTTTTGTTCACTAAATAGAGATTCAGTAAACAGTAAAAGGAAAAATGATAAATATCAACACAATTTAAATTACACTTACTTGGTAACAAGTATCTAATGGGCTCTTTACCAATATGGTGGGAAATATGCTATTTATTCCCATTTTTAAAGAGACAGAGGAAATAAAATAAATGAATAATATATCAATAGAAAGAGAAACATGTGAAGAAACAGTTATCCAATATAATTCTACAAATGATTAAGGATCATTGGAATAGGGCAAGAAAAAAAAATCATTTCATTTCATCTTAATTTCACAATACATTAAAAACATGGCAGAAATGTACTCTGAGTTGTTGGATGTACCCCATTGAGAACCTAATAATCTCAAGTTTATAAAAACATACCTGTGAAATCACATTGGTGTGAGTAAACTACTATTTTGAATTTCCTTTTCATATCTTAAGATGTACAGACACCAGGAGAGTGCCCCGCCCCAAAGTTCAGGGAAGGGGTGTGTCTGAACCGGCAGGATGAATGCAAAAGAGACGGTGAATGCCCCTCAAGCAGCAAGTGTTGCTATGATGGATGCTCGTACCAGTGCAAGCTTCCTGCGAGAATGAATGAAGGTACGTTGTGATGATGGAAAAGACGATAACATTGATGCCCGCCCCCCCCACTCAGTGTTATATAGGGTACGCGTATGCCTGTTTCCTCCCTTTGAAAGCATCCCCCTAAGTCTGGTGTGTAAAGTCAATACGGGCCGATTTTTTGTGCATTATGAGCCGGGCTTTGTTGCGTGAAAAGTACCCCTTTACCGGAGATTTTGGGAACATGAATGCGGTCTCTCCGTTCCCGAAAGGGGGGGGGGGAGGGGCGGGCCATGATGTTGATGAGGATTGCGATGATGAAAATAATGCTGATGAAGAAGAAGATAATGGGCATATTGATGATGATGATGATGGACAGTTAAAGGGGGTGGATCGCCAGTTTCCATGTGCAGAAGGCCATAATTCGCTGACACCAGACTTGGTGGAAATACCATTAATGGGGGTACAAATTTGCACACAGCAAACCCATAGTCCAGTCAAGAATTACCCCCTAATCTCTCGGAGAGCTCGAGAGTCTTCGGGCAATTCAAAGCATTACATAAGGTCCAATGGTCATAAAACTCAAGGCTAACCCTGGTGATTGACAACACCTGTTATTGGGTAAACACCCGAACGGTGTCGAATTCCCCATGAGAGCCGACTACTCAGTGACTTTAAATGATGATGTCAGGTTGTTACTTCTTTTTTTGGTAACATTTGTATTGTATATTAATAATCATTATATTTAATTTCTTCAGTTCCAGTTGTAGTTTTATATTCATTTCTAACATCACAATCACTATAAAGAATTCAAAGTAAATGAATACATGTATAATGCATTATGCAAATCATTTTCATGATATTAATTACTGTTGCCACTTTTTAATGGCCATTATAATTAGGATGATGATAAAGATCAATTCTTTATCTTTTTATGATGACGTTATGTCACTAATGGGTATATGATGATGGTAAGGATGATGATAATCATGATGATTCTGTTCATGATGATGATGATGATGATGATAACAGTAATCACCATGCAAGCCGACACTTACAAGCAGCATCTAACAGTAATCATGCATGTAAATCTTACATTATCATAATGTTCACCATATTTCTCCTTTTGTCATGATCTTAGACTTTTGCTTCATTGAAAATGATGCAATTTATTCTTTTGAATTGATTTTATCATATTTCATTTGATATTCAAATTTGCAGATGGACCTTGCCCCTATATCCATGGAAGCTGTGATGTAGTATGCTCCCAGGGTTACGCTACTAATGCGCTCCAGTGCGAGGTGTGCCGCTGTAGTAGATGGTGTCCCTTCTTACCCTTCAATTGCTTCTTTGATTGCCCGTATGGGTACGCCACCGATAGAGTTGGATGCAAGATGTGCCATTGCAAGCGAGCAAGTGAGTCATCCACTTTAGCTATAATCATTTACCGTCCGCTCTTGCTGATAGACGCCATTTTGAGATGGGCATAGGCTTAGGATATTCATGGAAAATTTACTTTAGACATCATTTAAGCTTCTTTTGAGCTTTGTTTTAGTCATCCTCTGGACTCATCAAGCATTATCAAATACCATCAAATTTACTTGTGATGTACATGTACCTGGTCGACGCCATTGTAGGAATGTGATTGTGGGTAGGGGAAATCATAGAATCTTCTTATAGGCATTTTCTGGTAGGATATAAACAATTTTGTATTATGAGCATATTTTGAGATCCTCCTCATCCTGTTGACACCAGTTTTTCCTAAAATGACATCTTGTTAGGTAATGTTTTATTGTTGAGTGATTTCTCCTTTTTGTCTCTTTGATGTACACCTTGGATTGGCCAGCCAACATGGTAAGTGAAGACATTCCAAAGCTACGGTAGGTAGTGGAATTATCATTTTGTGCATGGATTTTGAGGACTTCAAATCGCTTTGTAAAGTGGGTTTCAAGAACGAATTCCAAGTTGTTTGCTGAAAGTGATAAATTTCCGTGCTAGGAGATATTCTGAAAATTACAGACAAGTCAATAGTTTTTAATTTTCTTGGTTCCTGTCCACTCACAAAGTAACCTTTCAATTTATATTAAAGTGGGACTGCACAATTTGTAGCTACTTGGGCCCTATACATATAGCCAACCATGCCTAAGCAGTACCCGTTGATCCCCATGGTCCCCTTTTCATATGTTAATTGAGAGCTGTTTGATGAGATAACCACCTGCCAATGACCACGCAGGGAGGTCTGATCCCTCCTGGTCAAACTAGTGCAGATAGGCCTTAAGTTTACAGGGGTGATTAGGAACTTAAATGGAAAGTCCACCCCCAAAATAAGTTTGTTTCGATAGAGGCAGAATAATAAGAAAATCAGGTGAGTGAAAGTTTGAGCAAATTCTGAATGAAAATAAGAAAGTTATGAATTATTGAAGTTGTGATCAATCAAATACAAATTGGCAACTCTGTGACTTATTATACGAGCTCTCCTTCATTTGCTTTGTGCATAATATTCCATAAAATCATGTTTTCTTCGTTATTGATGACGGAATATATATTTGTTCCTTGCAGGGGGAGTATAGAAACATATTTGCAATTATTATATTTAGGGTGCATGTATGGTTGAAATTTTTCTTGAGGGAAAATGAAAATTTTAGATTTTTTTAGTACTGAGCAAATGGAAGTTGAGCTTGCATGATACGTCATAGAGTTGCCAATTTGTGTTTGATTGATCACAACTTAAAAAATCCTAACTTCCTTATTTTTAATCGGAATTTGCTCAAACTTTCACTGACTTGTTTCTCTCATTTTTCTACTCCTATCAAAACTAACTTAATTTCAGGGTGGACTTTCCCTTTAACTGATATTAACCCATTGACTACTGAAATTCCCTAATCCCCATAAGCGTAAAGCATAAAACACCCTGTTCCAGAAGGAAATGGGTTAACCCAAATCGCTCCATTCGTTGTGTGCTCCATCATCTAGTCAAACCAGCCAATGGGATTGGAGAGTTTCTGGACACTCCTGTCTGCCTACCCATCAACCCTATGACATGTCGTCTCAGCTGCACCCTGGGGTATGTGACCGATTCCATGGGATGCAGGATTTGCCGGTGCAGGACAGAAGGTGAGTTTAATATTCTTTTGTATTTATTTACATTTATTTGCTTTATTTAAACAGGATAACTCTCCAATACCCCTTTCTAACTGGCCTGATTTTCATCAGATGCATCCGGACGCATCCGCTGAAACGGCCAGTATGAATGCTACAGAGGAGAAAAAGGCGATTAAATAGCCGATGAAAAGAAGAGAAATAGGCGATTAAATTCTCCTGCTCAAGAGCAGAAGAAATTCTCATTCTATCGGTGTGACATCGATGAAACAGCCACTGTGAAAGCGTTTGGAGAAAACAGCGATTAAAATGGTGAAAGGTCGCAGTGTACACGCACTTTTTCGTAACCAGCTGTTTTTGTTGACTTATGGTTAAACATGCTACATGCTAGCTAGATGGAGCACGGGCTTAATAATTACGCAATAATTCTTCACTTCCGGCAAGGGCTCGCCACAGTGAGTGAATTTCACTGGCAGTATGAAAGCGACAGGGGGAAAACAGCAGTTTCAACTTTGTTTACATAAGGAAAATTCAATCAGTATTTTCATCGGTGTGACTCCGATAGAAGCCAGTTTGAAAGCAGTATCAGTATTAAAAACGTTTTCCTAAAATGCCCTGTACAAATTATAGGTGACAAATACTCAGGAAATTGAACAAATACATACATATCATATCATATGGATTATTTGTTTTTGTTTTTGTTTTTATACACCATGATATAAACACACAAAAGATAGATATTTGACCAGCTTATACAACATGATACACATTCTTTTAAACCGATTAACAAAAAATTAAATTGGGAAAGCTGAAATACTTGTTTGGGTTTGTTATCACAGAGAAAAGAACAGACTCTGGGATAAATGAAACATTGTTACTAGCTGTTAGAAAATATTACAAATGTAAAATATTATATCCTGAATTCAGATTTGGGATTGACAGAAACGCACAAGCTCAGAGATGTATAGAAATCCATTCATTCACATGTCAGTGCAAAGATATTATAGCCCGAGTTCAGCCAAAGTGATTTGATTTAAATGGTACGTCATACTGTCAGTGCAGCTGCGATGATACCATGTGACTTCCTTAGCAAGCTACATGTTACTATGGTGATGCAGCTGCCAGGCTTGGGGGTGTTTCACAAATATCATACCTAACTCTAAGTTAGACTTAAACATTATGGAGAGCCATTTGTAACCGCAAAATAAAGTATATTCAAAAGGAAAAATTGAAGTATTTTGGACTTTTCATAAATTCCACATCAAGAACATGAAATCTCTTTGATAAAACAAAATATGAATTATTTGAATCAACATTTTATGCCTTTTAAAATAACTTTTACAAAATATTTTCAAAGATGCTAACAGCTTCCTATAATTGTTAAGTCCAACTTAGAGTTAAGTTCGACTAAGGATCTTTGTGAAACACCCCCCCTGGAATGGCTTTTAGGCTTCCGCTATCTCCAGAAGATGTGAACTTATTTAAAACGGGCGCTCAGAAACAGTGGCTACTGATCTGTCACTTATCAGATTTGGAAATGTTTATTAATGTTCGTCACATCTATTATACTTTCCTGATTTTGTTTCCTGATTATAGCAGCGAATACAGACATCCTAAAGCATTTTGTCTTGCATTCACCAGAGTGAATCTGATGAGTCATAAATTTAGAGCTCTACTATAGCCTAAAATTGCACCTGAGAGCATCTGTAGTCCCATGAACCCAGCCAAAGGGGAAGAGTGATTCACTCAATTATAATTCATTGGCAGCTTGTTTGTCTCGGTTCCATGTAGTGTCCGGCCTCTGCATTTCTGATGGTAGATGTAATAAATTTATTGATTTTAGAGTGATTATTCAGCATTTGCCTTGTTTGTTTTTATACGAAGATCAAGAATGTACTCCAATCGAGACCTGCGGCCTCTACTGCCCTCTTGGATATGCCACAGACCATCTTGGATGTCATGTATGCAAGTGTCAACAAAGAGGTTTGTACTATTTAAATATCTTAATTAACAATTCTTCTCATTGGTAAATATTTGGCTTTATAATATAGGAGATATGATTGAAGTGCGATTATGCTTCAGCTCTTACAGTGCTTCCAGGTTTACAACCATGTATAACAAAAGTCACAAAGATGATTTAAAAAAAAATTGTTATATTATTTTTGTTAAATTTGTGTAAATCTCGTATAATAGAACTTTCCTGGTTCCTTTGTTTTTCTCATTGATTTGCATTTCTTTGCAATCATACATAGAAAAACAAAACAATTAAACCACTTACCGTTTGTTGTATAATCTTGTTTCCTAGGTGGTACTGATGAAGTGTTCCTACCTCAAAAGACCTTGTGTCCAGCTACCCAATGTCCAGATGGCTGTATGCTTGGTTCAGCCACTGACCAGTCAGGGTGTCCAACATGTGCTTGCCTAACAGGTTAGTGTATTAGTGGGACTGTCCTAAGTGATTTTCTGAATAAAAAGACATTTGATGAATAAGCCACCTTGAGTTGTCTGGCTCATAAAATATGAATACACCAGTTTACGGTTACATCAGTGCGCATGCGCAGACATGGGCGCCATTTTTATTGACGAGTAAATGAATCCAATGACCTAGAGGTCAGTGGTATTTATACGTAAATTAAGATTGCGCCCATGCAAATTATGATGTGCGCGCACAACGCAGCGCTCAGGTAGTGATGTCATCATAATTTGCATGGGCGCAATCTTAATTTACGCTTAAATCACTGACCTCTAGAGGTCATTTGGTTTGTTTACTCGTCAATTAAAATGGCGCCCCTAAACGTAAACTGGTGTATTGAGTTACTGTGTGACTTAATATGGTGTTCATCTACTAGTGAATATGAATTTATGTTTAAAGTGTTATTTTCCAGGAAGGTTGTCAATGTGCAGTATTTATCAGGTAGATCTAAATCTTTGAGATTTTTTCCCCTCATGAATGGGTCAATTTCAAGAACTTGCTATATGGGAAATTTGCATGGCATTACTGTGTAAGCCTATGTTCTCTATTTATTGCTTTTAAAAAGACTTGAACAACTGAACTATCATATCCCTCAGCCATTCACCATTTCTGAACATGTCCTTGATTATCTTGTATCCTGTCTGTACCTTTGTTTTTTCCCCAGGTATCAGCACAGGTTTCTCAACCAATTGCATGTTTTTGAGGTGTCCCTATGGATTTGCTACTGATGGTACAGGGCAGAAAGTGTGTAGATGTCGCCTGCCAGGTAATTTTTTACAGTATTTTGATAGATTTTTGCCCAAATTATAACTTTAACAAATCATTTTACATATTTTGTCACATTAAAAAAACCTACCCTTTCAATTATGATTTTAAAAAATAAATATTGTTGCTTTTACACCAAATGAATGCAGCTTTACATATCTTCTGACAAAATATGTCTGTTTAGAATACTTTGAACATGCTTTGTTACTGTTTGTGACCTGTTCAGTTTCTATATTAACATATATATCAATGATATTTAACTTGATAAGATTTATTCAGTGATATTAGTCTATTGCTCTTCATATATCCAAGAGGATAAGAGGATACATCAGCAATCAGACTTTTAATTGTCAAATGGTCAAACATGTATTTGTATGGCATTTGCATTGTAAAGTGATTGTTGAATATGCACCCCATGTTTGTACTTGTGTACTGCTCCTAGCTACAATATTATCTCAAGATTAAAGAATAATACTAATGTAGATAAAGTTTAACAGAAAATAATCTTGATTTGAAACACTGACCCAAAACTATGAATTTGTGAGACATTGTAGAGTAAGTGCCATGAGCGCCCATGAGAGGCAGATACCAGTGCTATGCAAGAAGCCATCATTCTCAACATGTTCTTTTATCAATTTACATCAATTTGACTGAATGTTATCTTCAATATTCCATTGAAAGCTCTTTGCCAATCTATGGGAAACTGTGCTCTGGAGTGTGAGTTTGGAAGACTATCAGATGCCCATGGATGTGAGACTTGTGCATGTAAACCTGAGTTTGGTATGTAGAGATTCAAATTCAGTGTCAAATTCATTTATTTAAGTATGAAGATCATCAGTCATCATTGGTAGGAAATACAATGATGATATTTTTGTTATATTGTGCTCATATTCAACCTATTAAAGCATTCAAGTAATCATTTCTACCAGGCACTGATTTATCATCATTGGGTTGAGAGTTTGAAAAGTAGATTAATCTCTTGTCAAACGACACAAGTACTTTTGATGGGACTCAAACTGCAAACCATTGATACGTACATGTGCATGTATATATGGGGCATGGTGATGTATCTAGTAAATGATGACACTTTGAGAAAATGGTATTGATTTTTGTTACTGCTTTATGTTAGACAGTAGCATACAAGGTGATTCATATGCCAGGATTAGAATTGAGTATTAAAGTCTTTAACATTCAGATGAGTATACTCAAGATTAAAAAAAGTAAAAGTAGATGGCATTTTGATGGAAATATGTATTAGGTTCTTTTGCCTTTCTATATAGATAAAGGAAGGCAATTCAATTTTTGACAAACAAGTTATTCCCAGTAATTCTTAGATACCTACTTTTTTTATTTCATTGAAATAAACGATTGCTACAGGACTATTTATAAAAACCTTTCTTTATACTATCTGTAGATGTTAATGAATGTCCAGTCCTGACAACGGCCAACTGCCCAGAACTGGACATGTGTGCCTACGATCTGGCCTCAACATCACCCAATGGTTGTGAGATTTGTGTATGTAAGACACCAGGTTAGTGCCTCTATTATCCAATAATCCCATTACATGTACTAAAAAATCACTGTATTGTAAATAAAGAAATAGAGCTTGCTACGTCATTTTTAATCGTGGAAATACCTGACCGCTATTGATCATATGTGTTCAAAGACTTTCGCGATAATAATCATTCCATGTTTTGTGGCTTCGCTAAATAACCATTGATTCAGAGCCCTGAAATATAGATATGCCAGGTGCTTGAGTAAAAAGGACAAAAGTTTTTGAACACTGCATCCATTTTTGTTTCACGCCTACAATGTGTTTGATACCAAGAATTTAAACGTGAAATTAAGCTTTAAAATCCTTATATAGGCAACATATTGAGAGATTCAAATTCATTGTTTTTTTTTATCGCTATTGCCCATTTTTCATCATTTTTAAAATTGTTTATATCCGTGAACATTGCTGTTATAGCCATATACAAGAATAAAAGAACCATGGTGAAACATTTTACTCATGGAGTGTTATTTGTGTTGCATGCTCGTATCTTTGTGTCAGCAAAAGTGTTGAATGGAATAGACACCAAAGTTTTTAAAAGGCTATTGCTGACATCATCCCTTCTCCCTCAGTGACAGACTGCCCACCCTTGAGACGAGAGGCCTGCCAGCTTAGATGTCGGAGGGGGTTCACCACAGATGAGAACGGCTGTGAAATGTGCATATGTACAAAATCAGGTAAATGTCAATGGCAGAGGATCCTCCCAAAATCAGTGCCTGTTCAGATTAATTTGAATTGAATTACTTGATTAAAGTTTGATGTATAAAGAGTTGCTTTACCTGTTTGATAAATCCTTTTTACAGAAATAGTATACAAATAATACAAATAAAATGTTTGGTTCCAGTATCCTAAATATATTTTTCAAAATAGCCGGGCTTTTCACTTGTTCTAGTAATCTGTACCAATGAAACACAATTCAATTTAAGACTTTAATAATGACAAGAGTTTAATGTAATTTCCATTATCACTATTAACACTTTAATACAAGGCAAATATGGAGTAACCAATTGTTTGGACTCCTGATTTAAAACAAGTTATTGCATCAGAAACCAGTATTAACTCAATTGGTGTTTTACTATTGGGGGAAATACGGGTATAGTCATTGATCATTTGACGCGTACTGAAATTGATATGCAATTCATATACTCTATCCAATAAACGGTTGCTTGTCATCATATTACAATTAAAGTCACTAAAGATAATAATGTTATTTGTGACAGAAAATACATTATCTATATTTTGTTGAAGTATATTAAAGAAAAGAGTTGCATCACTGGATGTTTTTCTATATAATACTCCCACAAAATAGGAACTGCTTTGCTCCCTTTTTATTTCCAACTACATCAGTTCAATCTCGTAACATTCCAAACCTTCTCTTCTTAAGTAAGATATTTTTCCCTTTATGTAGCAACCCACTCCTCCTCCAACTGACCCTCTATGTTTACCCACACATTTATATCCAGGCACATAATTGATTTTATTCTTGCATAATGTCATCGTTTAACCATGTGTCGGACAAACTAAAAAAATCATATACTTGTCCAAAAATACTGAACATCGATCACTTTATTTCTTAAGCTTTCAATTCAATTCAACTCTGGTTTATTGTAAATAAAAACATGCTGAATAAAAAGTCAAGAGACTCATACGATTCAGTGTACAAATTATAAATACATACACAAATATAAGATAGTAATCTTCATATAAATTACTGATTCTAGTTAACTAAACAACTAATATCAAATAATCGTAAAATAAGACATGTTGTAATTATTCAGTTATAACATTTAAATACTAAAATACGTTGTCACCATTTTCTAAATGTTATATTCAATTTTGTCATATACTTTTAAATTAATAAGTAATCTTTTTTAACCTAGTTAACATTTCTGTAGAATCATATTTCTATATAGATGATTACTACAAGAGATATTATAATACAAAATATCCTTCCCCTTGCCTTCGTGAGTTCCCAGAATTAAGTCCTTAACACTGTAGCATGAATGATGTAGTTTCTATACACTCCAAAGGTTTACAGCAGGTTTTACAGACACTGCTTACATGTAAGTCAAAATGGTAGACTTTGTAGAAATCAACTGGCGATGCTTCACAATATTTTAGCTACAAAGTTGAGCAAAATCCAACAGCGTCAGTCCACAAAATGTATCTAGAAGATGCCTGACTACTATATTAACAAGTTTACAGTATCAGATAAGAAAGACAAACTCAAATATTCACTAAATCCTTATACTTGAAGAGAGCTGTTTGGGGGTCAACTGTACAGGTGCACACACCACAACTTCAGCTTCTGATAATTAACATGGGCAATTTTCATCCTTTTTCCATATGGAAATTCACCATATAACTTATTTCTCCTGTACTCTTATTTTGATCATCTTTCTCACAATTATTGTTTCCTGCAGATTTAGATGGCTCATCATTTTTGTTACAAGCATTATCCCAAAATGATTGTATCTGTAACAAACATTTATGGCATTGCTGATCTACAAACTGCTTGAGTGGATTGTTACATTTACATAATGGAACCCATTCCCACACTTCGTACATGCAAGAGCTTTTTGATTTTTCACTGGAAACCTAATCCCCATATCAAGACATGAAAATCAACATATAAAATACAAAAAAAATCCCGGTAAAAGATGCTAAAAAGCTAATTGGAGAATATTTATAGTGTATTAAAATTACAGATGATAAAAATCGAATTGAATACGATTCATCAAAGAAAGCTTTTTCTATCAAAATTAATACAAGGATAGTAGCGTAGAAGCGAAAAATGACGGCATACAAGTTAATTGGTCAGCTAGTTCACTGTACGTTCAATAAACTGTTCACAAGGAACGGAGGTCATTGTCACTCTGAATTATTCTATTCATTGTTTTTCCATTAGTGGCCGTTATTCTTGCTATTACCTGGCCATCGCTGAACCATGCTGTTTGGACATTCTTATTCTTCTTTGCGCTGTTGAGTAGATGCAGATAATTTGTTGTCAGTTGTTCCTGGATTACGACTTGAGTCCCTTTCAGATGATGACGACGACAAGAAATGACTGCGTTGCGAGTTTGGTAGGAAACAAATTTCACAACAATCGGGTAAGGTTGCTTTTGTGTTGGTTTCCCTTTTTTTTCTGCTGGCGTCTTGTTGCATCTTGGTGCGAGCGGTGAGTGTCTAGTTTGGAGATCTACAATCCCAATTGGTCGCGAGTGATCTTACATATGACATCATCTGGGACTTCATTGGCCTCCTCCTCCTGCACACCGAAGAATTGTAAACGGTTTCTGCATGAATACTGCTCCAAATCCTCTGTTGTAGGACGCAGATTATTAATTTTTGCTCATTGATCCTCTACAATTGTAGAGAGGCAAGTAATCTCTTTAGCTTGCTCTCTATTATCTACTTCAATATCCATCAATCTCTTCTCCTGATCATTCAAGCGATCAAGAAGTTTTTCAAATTCTTCCTTCATCGCCTCATGTATGATCACATTGATGTACTTATTAAGTAGCTCTTTATTTTCCTTTTGAAAGCGTGAGAACGTGTTGTTGATGAGCTTGTTGGTGACATCATCTACATGGCCATTTTGCATCGCCATGTTGGAAAGTGAGTTCCAACTGACTATCAGAAAATATATATATGTTCTCAATAATTATAAACAAAGAAAATGTTAGATTCATGAACACTTCACTCAATACGAGAACTCAATCAGTTTGGGGTAGAGTTTCAACAAACTCTGATGTGTAGACGAGTATAATCAAAGTTGAAACTGCTATTTTCATGAGTCTAATAAGTCATTCAGGATCATTGATATATTCAGATATTATTTTGAAATAAATTCATAAGATATCAGAAATACGAAAGCTAGCTTGTATGCAGTATAAATAAAATAAATAACATTCAGAGAACAGAGCAGAGTATATATATATATATATACAATAATGCGTACAGTGTATGGGTCCATGCAGGTGAAGTTCACGTTGACATCAACTAACCTTACGTGGATATGACAGCATCATTCACAGGTTCTGTAGTGATCATTTATACAAAAGATAGTCCTTATTTTGTGTATTTCCCAAAGATCACAATCATCCAGCTTAGTCCATATTTGTAAAAAGCTCATATCAGGTAGAAAATTATGGTAATCGCTGAGCCAAAGCAGAACTTTTAGCCAAAGAAAGTTAGAGAGTTTGCACAGTCGCATGATGCACTCAAATACAGTTACAGCCGGTCAAGGAGTTATGGACTTTTTGAAGAAAAAAAATTGGTTTACATTCCTTTTTTTTTAAGAATGTCTTTTTACGTACAGTATAAAAAAGAATTGAAGTGTAATTTGTATTATAAAACTAAAAACAGCAGATAAAGTGTGTACTATTTTCAATTCAATTTTATTTCACATCTCTTTAAGAATACATCAGAAGATATACAAACAAATCAGTATAAATTAAACAATAAAGATATAAAAGCATTCATTGACATGATACTATGAAAAAAGGATGAAGGGTTGATGCACGGGATCAACAAAGGCCATTGGCCTGTCAAGGCTGATCCCCTATATTACCACCCTTGAAGAGAAATACATTATACAAAATATAAAAAACAACAATCAAACAAACAGATAAAAATCAAGTGGGTTTAAAATGTCATAAATTTGCCTTTCTCTCAATGTACATTCAGATGATGAGTGCACCACGCTTGTGTCCAGTAAAACCTGCAACAAGACTTGCTTGTTTGGATTGGCAACGGATTTAGATGGTTGCCAGATTTGTTCTTGCAAGATCCCTGGTGAGTTTGACCATCATATTCCATGATATAACTGTGAGAGACTAAAATTGAGTGAACTGATAGCTCATAGATTTCATTTTGTGTAAGAAATGGCAATTCATATTTGTTTATGTCTGCTGTCTTAAATGTCAATTGAAAGAAATATCCTGCTCTAATAGCTGAAGAAAAGAAATGGAAAGTGCAGAATGTGATTGAAATAATCATAGCAAGAAATAAACCATATTTGTTGATTCAGATCTTACAATCTATGGGAATGTTATTTATGACAATAAGCCAGTTCATAGATACAATCTGCGCATGGGCAGATAAAGGTCATTTGTACCAAAATGGTAAAACCCACGGAGATGAATACTGGATATGCGCTCATGAAAGTTATGTAACGTTATTCATTTATGCACCAACGGTACATTCTATGATACGCAGGTGAGGGTATTCTTTTCAAGAGGTCAAACAAAAGGTATTCATGAAGCACGTCGAGGACTTTGGCAGTTATTATTCTAATTCTCAAAGTGGAACTTCTTCATGTGTAAAGATCTGTGTATATTTGGGGTCATTTGTACCATGTGATATCTGTAAACTCCCTTATATATTGATATTTTCATAGGGCTCATATCCACTATTCAAAGTCAAGGCACCCCCACAGCACCTGTTTACCAATGTCAATGCTCATGGTATTCAAAGAATTCCTCCTTCCCAGTACGCATTTAACACCCGGGTTGAGAGTGGCAATGTCTTTCCAAATGACACTAGTGCCATGTCATGCGTTGATCCTATGACCTTTGCTTATCTAAATGTTTAAAGGTATTACAAAGTTTTGGGAAATTTTGAAAAATGGGTGGATAGTTATTCTTTACAATTTTGATATATTTGGATGCCCCTGTGAATGTATTAAAAGCTCCAGAAATTTTAGCCCCTAAAACATTTCTGCTTTCGAGAAAAAATGAATATAAAGATTTACCGGTGCTCCCGGTAAATATTGATAAATTTCAAATAGCTCCTACGGCCGTACAATGGTAGCTGCGACCATGAAAATCTCAGAGTCTGTAGTTGTGGTATATAATTTCCGAACGAGAATAGCTAATCGGTCGATTTTAGTCAATAGACATTGTTTTATAGCTTAATTAAAATCTTGACCTTGAGAGGGAGCTATTCAACATAAAGAGTTCATTATTTACAATTTCATAACTTTAGAGTCGATTTCGACCGCGACAACGATCACTGAATATTGTAGGATCGCATACGCTTCCAATTTGTTCATTTAAACCAAATTCATGACCCCTTACCAAAACTTTGTATTACCTTTAAACCAATATTTTTCATTGGATTTTGTATCACATAATATTTCTTGTTATTCTGAACAGCTGTGCTACCTCTAAAGGATCCATTTCAGATCCAGGCATTGATGGTCACCCCTTGCCCACCTGTCACAGCAGAAAAGTGTGCCCTCGTGTGTTCTGAAGGTTATGCCACAGATCATGGCTGTGAGATCTGTGCCTGTCAACATTCAGGTGAACTTAAATAATTGACCTTGAATTTTTTTTATTAACATTATGAACAATATTAATTATGTTTAGACTAATGTAGCGCCCACCCCGAGGAGGGGGGCATACCTTTTAAAGGAAGACAAAAAAGAATAGATGTTGACTGAGATGCGTGGCAAAAACAAAGTCATTTATTACTTAATCTTCTACAATAATAATAAGTCTTTTCTTACAATAACATATATACGATCAAATGGCATAACAATACTCTTCAAGTATTAAACACAAATAAATCTACCTGTTCGCATACATTGAATTCATTAGCTCTCTGTGTTCTCTTTCTATATCACTAAGAACATCATCTGGGAAAGTTTCATTACATTACTATCTCTAAACGAAACTATCCTTACTTCCATGCTTTATTTAAAACGCAATATCACTCTTCATCGATCTCATAATGATAACTTGGCTACTAATAAATAACTTAACCCATTCAAATGTCTATAACATTGAGGTAACAGTCAATCTACTATAGCTTCTAATCATGTAACTCTTTACTAAGCGTCTTCATTAAGAGATCATAGATATAATACAAGAATGTTGGCATAATCATCCCTCTACTATTGCCTAATACTTCCTACTCTTTACGCTCCAAGACTGAGGATCCATTGTGCACATAGACCCTTAATTAGAATGCAATTCTACTCCCAGCCTTCACTAATCCCTAAATTCACAAGTTTCTTCTTGTCTCAGGTATTCACATTAATACTGAATAAACTCATAACTCTTCCTTAACTAGCTCATGTATTTTCCAATGGTCATCTGCATCACTTTGATCTAATACTATCTTTTCAGCGAGATTACTGAACTTGAAAAGATACATCTTCAACAACTCAGGGGCGTACGCAGGATTTTTTCAAGGGGGGGGTTTTAAAAAATTTTGCTCCCGAAAATTTGAAAATCGCGCCGGCCGAAAAGTCGCTCAGTGGGGGGGGGGGGGGGGGGGGGGGTGGGGGTAAGCGGACACTTTTTTTTTTTTTTTTGGAGGTCAAAAAAAAATCGCAACGACTCAGCCAGCCGAAAAGTCGCTCAGTGAGGGGGGGGGGGGGGGGGGGGGGGGGTAAGCGGACACATTTTTTATTTTTTTTTGGTCTCGAAATTTCATAATTTGACATTTTTTGTCGTTGGGGGGGGGGTAAGGTCACCTTATTTAGGTTAGCCGTGGGTATAATTTTTTTTTTTTTTTTTTTTTTTTTTTTTTTAAATAATAAAAAAAAATTAAAAAAAAAAAAAAAAAAACCAAAGGGGGGGGGGGGGGGGGGGGGGTTTTAGGTTTTTTTAGGGGGGGTTTACATGCATAAAAATACCAAAGGGGGGGGGGGGGGGTTTTGAACCCCCAACCCCCCCCACCCCCCCCCCCCCCCCCCCCCCCTGCGTACGCCCCTGCAACAACTTATATTCTAAACTCCTTACAATATTCACAGAACTGGCAAATAGTCTTAGTCTGCAGTCTGAACTAATTATATAGCTCTAACAAACTTACAACCAATATTACGCTTTCCTCTCACGGTAATCTCATCTACACATTATGTAGTTCATATTCTAATTCTTATCAACAAACAATAGTTTACTGAATACATGTATATTCATTTCATGGTTATATACAAAGTAATGTGGGAGTGAAAGAAAAAGGGTTAATCATACAGATAGAGAGAAAGAGAGAGAGAGAGAGAGAGAGGGGGTTATTCCCAATAACATTTAGCCTGAATTATCATTCCTAACAATATGATAATACAATGAATTTCACACTGGTTATGCAAGTCTTCAACTTCAATATTTCATCCAACACTCCAACTCTAGCTAACTATTAAACAGTGTGACCATGTGTTTCTCAACAAGTGCATCTCCCAACATAATTCCTTTGTCTTCTCATTTTGCAATCTCTACCAAACTTTCATTCCCACCTAAAGTACCATTTTCCAGCATGGGTCAAAAAGCAAACAAAGCTTGGGGGAGAGGGGATTAAGAACTTTGATAAGAAGTTGTGTTCACATTGCACGCACTGCCATAACCTAATAACACACTAATATTATACACAGGGTGCGTCCACACTCACTCATACCATAGTACTGGAAGTTAAAGATAATCTGGACTTGAACCACTCATTTCGCTACTAAAACTGTATCTAACCTGAACTAGAATATATAACAATGTGCTTTGGCATAATGCATAGTAAATGGCACATGTCCTTGGCTAAGAATATAATTATATATATACATACACATGAATATCGTGCAAAAGACAAATATACTGACAGTAATAAAGTATATTCTCTTCTCAAAATTTACTTAAATGTTGTCTAAATCAAACAACATAATCATTAATCTCACACACACGGTAATAGTTTCCTATCATTACTACAAGTGATAGCAATGTTGCCATCAATGAAATCATCTCTTCCCACATGGCATCTCTTCCCACATGGCATTTCTTATATTTCCACCCATAGTCCACATGTCATATAATCCAACAAGTCATTGGCAAAGATCATTAATATCTCTTTTTACACAGTACTACAAGATATGTGAATAGTGAAGCTAATATAGTTTAGAAATACACATATATTATGACGAACAAAAATATAACACAATTGAATAATACAAGATTCTTTCTTACCTTTTAAAGGAAAAAAAGAAAGAATAGATGTTGACTGAGATGCGTGGCAAAAATAAAGTGAGGAGCCACTCCTAGTATCCCAGCTGGTGTATTTAGATTAGTTGTGGGTGAGGCCACTCTCGCAGGAGGGGGTACCTAATCAACTAAAAGGAGGGACTGTGGGCTAGAAATATACTTGTGTCATACATAATAAGTCAAAGATACACAAAAAATAAAGGGGGGGGGGGGTATTCTGTGGGGCTCCACACCAAGAAAACATACATGTATGTACCAGAAATTATGTAATAATGTAGAAAGATGTTTTGTTCCTAAAATATTGTCTGCACCTAATCTGAAACATACATAAATGATAAATTATATGTTAACCACAGTCGCTTTCTAAGCCTCCTATACTGGTGATGACATATAGCAAAGAGAGAACATGTTATATCATAGAGGAAAAGCAGTAATGTATAAAATCAACCTAAAAATGTATGCCTAGCATTCTATAGATAAACCATTGAGGAGTATGAAGGAAATATAGCATTAAACCCTGCGCTTAGCACTCGCACAGAACCCAAGTTAGCTCTACTTTTTGCAAGTACTTACTTGTCAATAACTAATCTACTCAACAACATTTTACAGTTCACTAAGAATGTATTTAAATTGCAATATTTCTTGAAAGCAGTTATATTTAAGCTCACATTTGAGTATAGTATAGTATAGTCAAATGGAACCCCATACAGGTGTACATGAATTGCATCACATGTGTTTGTGATTGGTACACTCTAAGAAACTGGGTCGTGTTTGGTTAGTAAGCAGCTGTGGCGTAGCTACGTGGGGGGGGGGGGCCACCCTCCCAACCACCGGAAAGAGTGTATCTATTTCACTTTAAAATGCAAAATGTTCCCACTCTAAAGGGGCAAGGGGTCCCGACCTCGTCAATCTTGACATCCATGTATACATAGTTGTATACAAGGGATGGAGAACACATCCTCTGAGAATTTTGGATTGGGGTGATGCAAACTCTTTATATCCTAGAAAGGTGCCTTAATTAAAAAAAGAATGAAAAAAGCTGATCTAGTAGACTAATGCTTGTGCTCCCCAATATCTGAGCCCACGCTATGCCATCTGTATTAAAAAGCAGAAATAATCAAATCCATAATTTACCAGATGGCATCTAAAATATGAATACACATGCACATACTTGTAAAGATATTGGCAAAGTGAGTACTGTATTTTATGTAGGTATTTTGCTCCCTGGACCAGAGAATATTTCAGTTTTGCCATAATTGATTTTAAATTTTAATAAACAGCTCAATTTTTTCTAAATTTTGATTATTTCAAAATTTCACATATTTAATGAATGCAGTGCATGTGCTTCTCCCAGTCTTCTCGATACTGTTCCTTTGTTTTGAAAAAAATTTGTATGCAAATACATTTACGGTACTATCTATGAAATGAGAATTTATGTACTTTTATTTCCAGATGGATGTCCAGCCCTCAATGTCCAGCAATGTCCACTATTGGCTACCTGTCCTTATGGACTGTCTACTGACAGACATGGCTGCCAGGCATGTAGCTGTCGACAGCCGATTGCCTGCCTTCCAGTCTCTATCCAAAACTGTTCAATACACTGCCCCCGTGGCCGGGCGACTGACAGTGATGGTTGTGAAGTATGTGCCTGCAGGAATACAAGTACGTTGGGTGTACGTTTGCTACTTTAAATTGTACGTTCTGTCCATTAGACATTTATTTTTCTTCGAACTTCCACAATATGTTATGGACACCTTTTTTCATGGCAAGAAACTCAGTTCCTCTGGACTGTCACACTTCTGCCACTTTATCGTTGTATTTTGTCTCTACCTTTCTCTCCCTCTCTCTCTCTGTGTTTCTCTCCTTCATATTATTGTATGACTATGATATATGGATAGATTTGTAAGTTATTTTGTATTTTTATCATTTTACCTTGTAAACTCTATTTGACCCATTTACTCATGGGCTGCCATGTGGAATTCTTTGAATAAATACCAATACTACTTCTACATTTGCGAACTGCAAAAATGTATTGTTGGTCAAATTGTCAATCACCAATTCTGCAGTATGAAACTCTTGCAAGTTTCAACCACTCGCAACCTTCCTGAAAGTGTCATGAAAGTATCACAGAATAGTTTTAAACTGGTTTCAAAGTATATCCCACCGCTGACACCGTTCAGTGTATAGATAGGATCATAGTTAGCGCATGATACAGATGATTTTAAAACATGGAGAGCTTTCATGAAAGTGTCATGAAAGTGTCACAGAAGAATGTTGAACTGGTTTTACAGTATATCCCACCGCTGACACCGTTCAGTGTATAGACAGGGTCATAGTTAGCGCATGATACAGATGATTTTAAAACATTGAGAGCTTTCATGAAAGTGTCACAGAAGAATGTTGAACTGGTTTTACACTATATCCCACCGTTGCCACCATTCAGTGTATAGATAGGATCATAGTTAGCGCATGATACAGATGACTCTTACTGACCACAGATCAGATCTTTTAAAACATGTAGAGCTTTCATGAAAGTGTCACAGAAGAATGTTGAACTATATCCCACCGCTGCCACCATTCAGTGTATAGACAGGGTCATAGTTAGCACATGACACAGATGACTCTTACTGACCACAGATCAGATCTTTTAAAACATGGAGAGCTTTCATGAAAGTGTCATGAAAGTGTCATGAAAGTGTCACAGAAGAATGTTGAACTGGTTTTACACTATATCCCACCGTTGCCACCATTCAGTGTATAGACACGATCATAGTTCTGACCACAGATCTTTTAAACATTGAGGTTGCATTTTGTGCATTGTTTTAGACTAGTTCAGATATGGTGTGGTGAACCGCTGCAAAAAAAGTCACCTCGCAAATGAATAGTACTGTTTTTCTTACCTTATCTATGTTACTTTTGTATTTCTGCTTTTTCTTCTAATTTAATTCTACGGGTTATAGTCTTCTCTTAATCAGAACACTGTGCGCTTAGAAACATCAGTATTAAGCGCCTAATAAATGTTATGTATTATTATTATTTAGTAACTTTGCGCAACAAAGGACTTGCGCATATTCTATGAGCTTTGTTTTTAAAGTACAGAAATGTATAGCCTCATTTGAAAAAATGCTGCAATTCTGCCCCATTATATCTGAACGAGCCTTTAGTGTTCACTCCCGTGGGATAAATGTGCTCATAAATACTGATAACCCCCTTTTATACTAAAGAATACTACTACATGTATTTGTATTTCATGTAATCCACCTTTCGGCAACACAATGCCAATAAATCATCTTGTATGGCATTTTGTGCACAGTGTGGGCATGATGTAACTAAAGCATTATTATTAATTGAATGATTCAACGATTTGGAGCTATTTTGATATTGCAAAAAAGTCTGATTACTTGTCTATTTAATTTTAAATTTCATGAAATGAAGGATCTATGAGATTCACCAGGAAAAAGATTGCACTTGTTTTAAGCAGTGTAATAATAGCTCGTTCTTATATAGCGCTTTTTAGGACCGGAGGCCCTCACAAAGCGCTTTACAGATAAGTATATTATTACCCCGGTCATTGGATTCAGGCTTACCTGCACACAATGTATGCACATTCTCCACTCCCTGGGGAGCATTCCAGCCAGGCGTCATTTTTACATGCGCACACTTGCTAATCTAACCACATTAGCTTTCGCATTAACAGCAGTGGGAAACAGAAAAATAAGTTTTCAATTGGGAGAATCTTGATTTTTCAAAATTGTAGGTTCTTCTTGCCCCAATGTCAACAGAAGGAATTGTCAGAAGGCTTGCACTTATGGATATGCCACAGATCCTATTACCCATTGTCAAGTCTGCTTGTGCAAACAGCCAAGTAAGTTTTAAAAAAAAAACTTATGAAATAACGCAATAAATGCATGAAGGTATTTGATATATTCTGATGTAAGTCTTTGATATCCACTCCTATGGAAAATTAAGGAGAATTTGTATATAATATTTAAAAAAAATATATTTCTTCCATTTTATTGATGAAAATTACTGCACAGTTCTACACTTCTTCATATTTTGTTCACTTTTAGATTAACTTAAGGTATACAGTTTTATAAGGACTACACTAATATCCTGTTATCCTAAATTTATTTCACATAGAAGACTTGATCATTTTAAAATGCACTAAAGATAATATTGTTCCTTTGTAGGTAGTATGAAATGAATGGATGCACTGAGGCCGAAGATAACTGTACTTCATTGTAGAAAATTGCATTAAATTGATATATGTGTATGAAATGTCTTCCAAGTCAATCTTTTGTGGCATTTTCAAAACAAAAACCATGAAGATTTCTGGGGACACGTGTTGGTCCTACATCGTAGGCTCTTGCATTTAACCACAATCTTATAAGTCATTTACTTGACTGTATCAATATGAACTTTCGTTTGTAATATATTTGTGTTTAATATATTTTTGTTTCATACAGCTGAGATACCCATAGCCATAGCATCATTCAGGATCTGTGAACCTGTGACCTGCACCAACAACTGCTCAGCTGGTTTCCTCCATGATGATCAAGGATGCCCAAGCTGTAACTGTAAGGATGAAGGTACATGTTTGCTGTTTGAGCAGTAATATAATGTAGCTTAGGTAACTTGAAACGCAAAAGGCATTATGTTTAAACAGGCAAATGTAGCAGCTCCTCCAGAGGGGTAAGACTGTGCCCCCCTCCACCACCACTACCACCACCACCACCACCACCACCACCACCACCACCACCACCAGTAAGCCTTTTTCACATTTAATGCTGTAAGGTGGCTTAGCGAAATAAAGTTACATGAAAAGATGCGTCTGGAATAGAAAAGGCATAATAGTTGTGATGCCTGTTAATTAAAAGTTCTCTTTTTAAGTTTAGGTAATATTTTACCAGCTCCATATCCTAACAATGTGGTTCTACCACTTTGTAGGAAAATCATGATTTCCAATAATTATGCATTTGTATTTCGAGCACGTATTTTTGTGCCACTATATTTTGCTAAGCTATCTTTAATGTAGTGTAACCTAAAATTGCAGAGTTTCTTCACATACATGTAGGACTGTATATGACCAATGCATGTTCAATTCTCGTTATTTTGGATCTTGTCTGTTCGGGCAAGCTATAGTGTCTAAACTCCTACTTCTGATGGGTTCTTGGCCCAGCTAGCTAGATAATGCCTAGCAAGATCCCAGGGAGTTTTTTAGTGGTCAGGTTTTGTATATTGTTTGAAGGCCACTTTTGTGTGATAGTTCTTTTCACTTAGCTAGCTTACTTGTCAATTCATTTCTGTTCAGTTTATTGACCTAATATCAAGAGCCACATTTCTATGTGCCCCATTTGGAAAGCAGTTATGCAACTGACAATGCTATTGTGCATTAATGAAACCACAAATAATTTGATATCATTATCATCATTGTTAAAGTAAGCATTTTCCCTATTACTAGGGGTTAATTGACTTTCGTGCCATGATGATGCTCCCTCTCTCCACTTTTTCTTGTCTCTTCACCATATCCTTCCATGAAATCTTTGGTCTTCCTTTCCCTCCTATGCCACCCACTTCCAGATTCCATGCTCTTTTTCTTCATCATCATCATCATCATCACCATCATCATTATCATCATCATCATCTTCATCATCTTCCCTTCTCAGCACATGACCCATTCCTCTCAAACCACTTCTCTTAACCACTTCCACTACAGTTTCTTCTAGATGCAACTTTTCCATTTTTGAACTTTTGTTTTTCAGGAGTGGAGTGTCCAGAACTGCCAATGTCAGTATGTCCTCAGCAGATGCTTTGTCCATATGGGCTGGGGATGGACTCAAGGGGATGCCCCATTTGTTTCTGCAGAGTTGAATGTAAGGACTTATTGACCCATAGCAATTTATCTCATTTCTCATTTTCTGAATTAATAAGTTTTTTCCCCTCAATTTGGCAACAGTTGTTCTTAATTTCAACTCCTTCATAGTGTGAAAACTAGAAACGTTATATTGCAAACTTTTGCAAAATATATCTAAGAATTGCCGATTTGGACACTAAAAATATTAATGATATAGTTAGAGACTGTAAAGATAAGTTATGATTTCATTGCTCTTATTCAAGAGTGGCACAACGTACTGCATTAGAGAATGACACAAAACATTCTACATTACAAGATGCTAAAGCGTCACTAAAAGAAGTCACTGTACTGAATTATTTCCTATCTCCTGTTTGTTTAATATTCCACTTGAGGAACTTCACAGCAGCGTAAGATTGCTAGTTTCTTCCTATTTATCACCTAAAATCAAAGAAGTTGAACAAAAAAAAAGTTTCTGAGGTCTTACCAAACCTGTACTGTTCTTTAATGTTTTGACCTTCAGCTGGATGTTACCCAGTTCGTCCATTGACCTGTGACCTCGACTGCCAATATGGATATGCTACTAATGAGCATGGATGTGAAACATGCAGATGTAGAATATTTGGTGAGTTTAAAACTCTAAAGATAATTAAAATAGTCAAATACTTCACTTCATCATTTATCTTCTGTAAAACCTTTATGATATCATTTATGTAGCAGATTTTCCAAGCTAATCTGGGATGGGATGTGTTATGACAGCATGTGATGGTGCATACCAAAATGGTGTAAAACTTCTTTTTTTAGAACGAAATGTTAACTAATAAATAATGACCAAATAATTGTCAATGTCCTGTAGCTTGATATATTTATGGAATTTGATAGTACTAACTTAAAGTAGATATTCATTGATTTTAAAAACTAACTTTATTTTCATTATTGCAAAGTTGAAACTTTGATTCGACAAGGTTATCAAAATTCAATGCTTGGAAACATTTGAAGTAACGATTATTATTTATTACAAAACACTTAAACACAGCCCCGGCATAGCACCTGAAGAGTTCTCCGAACGCTGCTGAGATGTGTGAGATCACAGTATTGACATGACTTGCACAAGCAGACGATGTCCCATGACATCTCACATATTTTTAGTGCCTGTGTTTTCATCTTCTCTTGAGTTCTTTCTCTTACTTCACTACCAACAGGCTAAATGTATAATCTATTGCCTCACTCTAAACCCGCGCATGTTTTTATTTTGATGACAAACGCAGCGATACAAAAATAAAGGAATCTGTCGCTTGTAAACAAAATAAGACGCCATTGTATATTCAGCAGCACACACCAGGGTATGTTCGGCGTTTCAAGAGGGAACAAATGCCATCCTGAATATCAATCTGGGGGTTTTCAATTTGAAAGTCTGGTTTCTTTGATTGTTAATTAAGCCCTATCCTGTGTATTTACAAGCAAAAGATTTTAGTTATCAGATTCCGGTCATATCCCCTTTTGAATGGTTTGACATGCCATTACATTTATATACACTGAACTCATTATAATTTGAGAAAAAATAGCTTTGCAATTATGTTCATTCTCTATGGGATGTCGTCTTCTTGGGCGGTGTTGGTCCATATAGTGACGTCATTAAAACATCGTTATTTTTCCGGGGAATCTCTCGTATATCCCAGCTGCTATGGAGGTGGTTGTATTTGTATTTTTTAAAATCACCCGATATGTGGTTGACCTAAAACTTGTCCGATGTCCATCTGTTAGCTTACCAGTTTCTAGTGATACATTAGTTGACATATTTGTGATCTTCTTTGAATTTCACTTTTAATATAATATTTCTAATTGTGGCAGCATTTCAAATTTTTGCCTTCCCCATTGTATTTGATTGATTTTTAGGTAAAAGCTATAATTTTTCTTATATCCCAGGCCGAGTCATTTAGGCATTATCTTTTCAATATCACCTGTATTCATGCAAACAAAATGGAAAACAAGATAACTCCAGGTTACTTGTTTTTAGAACAATGTAAAAGTTTAAATAAAGTATACATTGAAAGGCCTAACATTACATTGAAACATAAAATAAACATGTCCATAAGATGTATATTTCTCAATTGTTTAAAAGTAGTTGCAGTAATACCAGACCTTCTAAGAATTTAAGGTATCATGTAGAGTAATTGTTTCTGCTTTAGACTAGATTAAAATATGAACATATGAAGTTATTTTCACAATCTCAATCTTTTGTTGTTATTGTAGATGAAGCAATATGTGACCAAACCATCTCATCTACCTGTCATAAGAAATGTCCCTACGGCTTGGCTACTGATGGGAATGGGTGCGACATCTGCTCGTGCAAGAACGAAGGTACATGTTTTTCATTTATTTATTTATTTAGTTTTATTTCAACAGGGTAGCCCCATCAGTAATTAAAATACTGTTATTACTTGGGGGCCCTGCATAACAATTAAATACATATAAAGACATACATATACATGAAAACATCATTACATGGTGAATAGTAAACATGATATACCAGAAAGAATACAGATTCAATTTCAATTGTACCAGAGGAAGATACCGTATGAGTGTTCCAAGCAGTGTATCTTGTATGGCTTTTGTCATTTATCCATATATTTTTTTATATGACCATTGAACAATGACTCTTTCTTGTATCGTGACCATTATCAAGAGATTTTTCATTTCAAGATGAAATAAATGTACAAGACCGACATGTATGCCGTATACCGGTAGTACACATATCATCGATCACCTATGATCAGATAACGCATGGTCTCTGTGTATTAAAGAGTGGTTCTTCCTCTTGGCTTTCTATATTGAAAATGTCAATATGCTTTAATTAGCCAAGAAATTTGAAATAATATAGAGGATGCATTTGTTCTCTCTCTCTCATCAGATTAGAATTTAATGGGTACCCAAGTAGAAGTAATCTGTTTATTGTTATGCTTAACCATGTGGATACCACAGAAATGATGTTATTTATGAGTGATGATGATGTGAAATGTGAAAATAAACTGAAAAAATAAAGGCTAAGGTGGTCTTGAAATGCAAGTTTAAAACCTATAAATGTATACACTGGAATAGTACATAAGACGTACTGTAGTACATATCGTCGGTGGGGTGACAAAACCTTGTATCTCAATTTTTTGAGATTTTGATTTTTTTGCATAATTTTGTACCTAATGGCCTACGACACCACCTGATAAATCCATGGAACGCCTCCTGTCTCGTTTTTTTCACAAATTCCAAACAAAGGATGGTGTCACAGCACTAAATCTGTTGAAACAGGAAAGGTTTTTGCGCTCTCCTGAAAATTCATGATTTTTGAGATACGAGGTTTTGGCACCCCACCGACGATATACATGTACGTGTATTAAAAGTTATCTATGAATGTGACTTGTTGAAGATTAACTGGCCCGTATTCTGAAGTTGTGTCTAACTCCTGTTTAACTAAACAGTTGTCTAAGTCCTGTCTAAGTCCCGTCTAACTTTAGACACGAAGTCGTGTCTAACTTTTTTCGTATTCTGAAGTCGTGTTTAAATAAAGTTAAACACGAAGTCCTGTCTAAGTCCTGTTTAACTTTAGACAACTGCGAGGGGTTGTTTAAGTCCTGTTTAAGGGCGCGATTCTGCTGCTTTTCAACGTCGACGGTACACTCTACTTGCTGACCCCGAACTTGCGGGGGAGAACGATGGTACGTGCATTCTCTAAAATTTCAAATACGTTTTGCAGGATTTTTTTCGTGAAGCCTATTTTTTTTTCTCGATAATACTAACTATTCTTATCTACTGGTGACATCCTGGAAATTCCATAATCTATATTAAACTAACCATTCTGTTGGAGAAGTTTCTTTTCTGGTTCTTCCGAGCACTGAGGCACTGATAAGTAGTGTGTTTGTCAATCTCAGTGTACAGTACGTGTACTACGTACGTACGTACGTACACAACGTACATGCAATCTAGTCATTACGTCACGATCACATCACCATAGTACCAGCACGCGCACAGCTAGCTGTGCGCGTTAATTTATTTATCCGGTGCGCGCACGCATGCGCATTGGGTCTTTCGTCATAATTAACGCCTACTGGGCATGCGCAGAAGTCGTGACTAAGAGTTAAACACGACTTGCGCAGAACTTAAACAGTTGTTTAGTTAAACACCACTTAGACAGGACTTAAACAGTTGTTTAGTTAGACGAGACTTAGACACGACTTCAGAATACGAAATTTAGTTAGACAGGACTTAGACACGACCTCGCGTATAAGTCCAGTCTAAGTCGTGTCTAACTAAACAGTTGTTTAACTTTAGACGTGGCTAAGTTAGACACGACTTCAGAATACGGGCCAATGTGTTTAAGCATGTATATGATGTTTTTGAAACATTTATATTTCACAATTTTTTCCCTCCACAATAAGTACGAGAGATTAGTATCGTTACACTCAAGCCTGTCATAACATGTCCTCCTGTTGACTGTGAAATGAACTGTGAGTTTGGACACTCCACTGATTCTATTGGCTGTGAGGTCTGTGCCTGCAAGCGTCCAATTACAGGTGAGGTTATGGATTTTCAAGAAAATTATTGCAACATTTGATATTAATAGACTTAAACACTTTTTTCCCAGTAAAGTTTTATTATTAGTTTATTCTGCTATAATGACTCAATACCTCACCTATGGAATTCTCGCCTGGGGTAACGCTTGTGGAAATTAAATAAATATGCTTTTTTGCATTCAAAAACGTGCTATTAGAAATATAAATCATGTAGGATACCTTTTTCACACCAACAACCTATTCCATGAAAACAGAATCCTAAAATTATCAGACTTATTCTATTGCAATGTTGGTATATTAATGTACAATTTATCTACTAATAACCTATCTGAAATATTTTTACAAATGTTCCGGAAAAATAAATCCCTACATGATTATCCCACACGTCAGAGCAACGCATATCACCTTCCATGTACACGAACTGTTTTTGCCCCCAAAACGATTATGTTTACAGGACCCAGTTACTGGAATGCCCTCCCATTAGAGTTAATTGACAGTCCTTCCTTATATACTTTAAACGTAAACTGAAGGAACTGCTTTTCAAAGCATATCTTGATGTCAATGTAGACCTTTGCGTTCAAGAGCATTGGGTTTGGCTGTCGTGCTTTCGTAAATACGTCTTTAAAATTTTTTTAAAAAAAACAACAATAAAACATCTTTACTTCTATATCCAAGAGTGCGACGGCTGACACAGTGTGCTTGCCGCTTCGTTGTTCTATTTATGTATGTAGTATTAAATACAAATGTATTTATTTTATTATTATCTGTAATGTTCATTTACTAGCTGAGCACCCATTGTATGATAATTTAAGTATGTGTACTGTTATCTACACTGTAAGAAAGGTAGGGACAATATAAACTGCACCACCGCATGTTTATTATTATTTCCTTTTTATTTTTGATTCATTTAGACTGGTCACTATTATATCCGCCCTACATTTATTACCACAAATTATTTCACTGGGGCCTACAGCTTTACAAGCTTGCTTTCATGTAGGTCCCATCATATTTCTCTTAGTTAAATCACTACTCCATATTGACCACTTATCTTTGTTATTTATTATGTATTATTGAAAAAACAATTTGTACTTTATTTGAAATGTATATGTAACATGAGAAATATGAAAATAAATGAAATGAAATGTAATATTTCCCCTATCCACATCATTTGTATGTGTTATATACCTTGTTTGTTTACAAATATTGATATTCTTCATCTTGTACACTGATGACTCATATGTTTATCTCTCCCTTATCTTTCCTCTCTCTGTATTCTGTAATTGTACTAATGATGGTTGGTATATCTCCTGTACATTTTTCGTTTTGGTCTGTACGGTCTGTTGTATATACAACTCTATGCTTTACCCTCATCTAGATGCTGAACAGGCGTTGATGAGTATTACCATAGACATATAAGTACCATGTACATAGACATACACAGACGTGTATTAACATATGCATTTTATATTTTCTCTGTGCCAGCTGTACTGTGTTATTCAATACGACTAAATGTAAATAGACGACATCTGCATATTTTCTGTCTGTAGGGTATCGAAACAGAAGAGATACCATATGGCCTATCCTGTAATGTGAGTTATATATCCTTGTGTCACCACGAAGTATCATGTATGTGGAGCTTGGAAATATATTTCATATAGAAAAATCTGTGGTTGTTGCGTGAGTTTACCATTCCATGTCAGTTATGATCACTTAACTGCTTTGCAGTTCATATATATTATGCATGTTTATTTGTACTTTGATGCATCCACATTTCAGATGAGAGCTGTACAGGTCTGACAAGCACAGCATGTCCTCTGCTAGACCAGTGCCCGTTTGGTTTAGCTACAGATGAGAATGGATGTTCAGTTTGCCAATGCAAGCAGAGCAGTGAGTCAAAAGCTTTCATCATCATCATCTATGATTTTGCTAATGTGGGATAAAAGTGATTGTCATTGGGAATATTTTCATCAGATGTACCAGTTGATATATCTACTTCTCCTAACATAATAACTGCTGCTGCTTTTGGTACCAATTTGATTGCTACTGCTACTTTATAGTAGTAAAAGTACAGAGGTAGAAGCCTTCTACTACTCCCACTATACAAGGACAAATTTATGCCTATAGTATAGTTATACATACAATTCTACATACAATATACAGGAATGCTAGTAATATACATTTAAGCTATTATATACATTTAGATATTGAAGACAGGATTTAATATTTAATCTTTTAGTATTGAGTAGTTTTCTCACCAAAATTGTAATGAATATATACGCTGGCTTAGTTTTTTAGTTCATAGAGATGTTTGAGTTTGTGAATGTGTGTTACATTTTGTTTAACCCTCTTCATACTTTTCTCCCAAACAGTTGTATGTAATCCACTTCCATCGTGTAGTTTATCTTGCTCAAGAGGCTTAGCGACTGATGTGAGCGGATGTGACATTTGCATGTGTAAGAGTACCTGTGAGTATTGCCAGAGATGTTCATATTTAGCTGATTATTCCATACACTATCTATTACATTGATGAGAGCAAAGAGTAAATTATTATGAATATTACCAGCATATATTTACATCTTTACTACACCTGTGTGGAGTGTGGCAGATGTACATTAATGTCTTGCCAAAGGATGTTAATGCCATGACGGCATATGGAACCCCATAGAACCTTGCAGTCTGGTGACCTTTCCTCAACACAACAACGTCTCTACTAGATCTTAGTCCTGCAGTAGGCTGCCTAAAAATAAGTTGGATTCTGGTGTAATGCAGTATAGTTATCACAGAAGTGAATAAGGCAACTTTGCACATCTGTATGTATGATTGAAAATAAGTTTAATGCAGAGCACACTGTTCAATAAAGAGTATGAAAATAAAATAAAAATTAAATATATATATATATATATATTATCAGAAGAAATAAAATTAAAACAGGTCATAGTGAATAAGAGAACTCTCAAGGATTTTTGTTTGAATTGTTTTAATTATTATTTATATATACATATATATATATATATATATATATATATATATTTTAAATGTTTGTTTACAAGCGTAGTAATAATATGAATTATAAAAGATACTATATTGAATCAATACATGAGGTTTGACATAATCATGTGAAATAGAATGGTCTGCAATTATAATTATCAACACAATTCAGCATGTTCACAGAAAGAATGTTCCAGTTGATAATCAATATGTTCCTAATACATGCATGAAAAAGAAAAACAAAAGTTGTAAAAAAATGTTGTATTATGGTCAATAAATTCGCTTACCGGTAATACAAAAAGAAAATTATCCCTTTCATAAATGATGAATTTTGTTGCCTGCTGCCACTGATCTCAAAATACTCCAATAGTGTGGCATTAAATAGCTAAACTGATTCATACATTGGTGGCCTCAAAAAGAATACTTGCTAGCTTGAAGAATGAGACGCAAAAGTTCATGGGCATGTTTGATCCTCAACTCCTGTCGATGTACTTGTTACAGTTATGAGGCTTTGTAATTGCGAGATTGACAATGAGTTGGTTCTGGATGCACATGAAGAGAGTACGGGTGCATACATGCCAACTGTTCAGATTAAAGAGGAACATTCCTCTTTTTGGGAGAAGATAATTATCATTTTAATGCAGGTGTTCCTCTTCCTGTACAAATTTGTCTGTAGTATTGAATAGGAGAGTTAGGATTGTTCCTCTTTTTTTTGAAAATAGCATAATTTGTACAGATTTCTGATTTTCAAATGTTGGCATGTATGCGGGTGTCCCGTCATGAGTCGAGCATCCTATGTTGGATGAAATTACAGAGTATTAAAGCAGCTACTGTGGAGTCAAGGTCAATAACAAGCTGATTACAAGCCCAACCCGTCACTAAAAAAAAGATTAAATCCAAACATAATGGCCTACCATCTCACAGAGAATAAGAACTAGCCATCAACATTCATATCCTAACAACATACAGAACATCTGCCACAGTCACTAACTATCTTGATAGCTTTGCATCAATAAATCTAATAATAAGAATAAGCAACATCAACAAATTGTACATCATGTATCACTCTAAATGTAGAAAGAAAATACCTTGCTTTATATAACATTTCTATGATTATATTGTTCTCAATACTTCATTTTAATTCAATATTGGTTTTATGAAATACAAAATACCCCACTTCAGAAATTACAAACTTACAGTCTTAACACTGTGAGAAATACATCTTCCCTCTAGACAATTAATTTGACTGCATTTTTTTATACAATGATATTATAACAAGTCACATAAAAAATGAGCGTTTGTAACATCATTCAGTAAAAGTTGCTTTTCTGTTATTTATGTTTGATTTTCTGTTTCATTTGAAGGGATCAAATGCAAAACAACATGTATTTTCAGCAATTTTTCTGTATATACTTGTTAAATATCACATTCCACACAGAGATTTTATAGATTTCAGCATCTCTCTTTATGGTCTTTAAGAATAACACTACAAACAAATTTACAAAGCAAAATGGAATACAACTTACGGATCAAAGAACAATCTTGCAAGTAAAGGCTGGCGAAGGTTTCTCTATCCTGGCCTGTAGTGCTTGGAGCTTTGTTGGTGCGATGTGTATACTATGCCTTAAATTACATACCAGTAGCTCTGGGTATTTCAACTCTCTCAACAGACATACAAACACACCTGGTTAAGGAATTCTAATCTATGATAACTGTCCATTGCTTGGGAACAAAATTTATTCAATTTGCCTACCAACGATCCTACCCTAATCAGTAAATGAATCCGGGCATTGCAGCCACATGGTGACAACCTCTGCATGCCATGTGTTGTATTCATCCATATGAATGAGTAAGAGTATAGATTTGGTAAATCCAAAGTTTGAATCAATACTGAAGGTCATTAATCCTTTTGTCCAATTCTTCAAATAACTCACAATAGGGACTTTTAGATTTGTGTGGACTGATATGTGTGACGTCCTTTCAAGGCAGTGCATTAAAAGGACATCGATCGTAGCAATCCACGTTGTCGTTGTGCAAATCTAAAAGTCCCTAACAATAGCTGCTACAGACACTGATCACAAATCTGCAGTAGATGTCAAAGTATTAAAAGCAGTAAAAGTGTTTATCTCCACTGTATAATTCAGTGTGGTATCATTTTCTTTCCAGCTGTTTGAAAATATAATCTGTCTTTCAAGGCTACTTGCTTCTTCATTGTACAAAGTCTTCTTTTGGGGTTCCATTTTGATTGGTTGTAATTTATATAGTTATATTATACTTTTGTCAACAATATATTTTATTAATTTTTTAGAAACAGAGAATGCATGAGTTAATGGAAGAAAGAAATGGGTAGTAGAATGTGTTTAATAGAAGAGAGATATAAATGATGTAAATTGAATATCATATATGGCTGCTGAACTTATTTCATATACATGTAGGAGTATACTTCAATTTAAGAGAGTAAAATTAATTGATGAATTATGCCCTTATGCTGTCATGTCAACTTCTGGGATTAATATATGTGTGATTCTATTAGTCACCAAGAGATTTGACAATTTTTTTTATTTATAGAGTAAAAGAAGCAGCAAAAAGATTAACATTATTACATTCTTATGCAGTGTCACTTTGCCCAGCTGTTACACTTGAAGACTGCCCTCTACTGATGGTATGTGAACGTGGCCTTGCAACAGATGCCTCAGACTGTGAAGTCTGCAGATGTAAAGCTGACAGTAAGACCAAAGATCTTTCTTGAGGATATCAATTATAAATAGTATTCAATTTAATGTTATTAATGATGGAAACATGGTTATATTATGATAAACATGATTATGAATTTAGTAAGAAATGAAGGAGAGGGATGGAAGGAAAAAGACTGAGTGGAGAAAAAAGATTATGATGTTGAATGGTATCAAAGCAAAGGATCATATCAAAAGATGAAGGAAAGATCTCAAGACGGAAAAGCAGAGCGTTAATAATAAAAAGCAGAGAGATAATAATATTTTCCCTTTTTTTCTTTTACAAATATCATGATGATAAAAGATGAATTATTGGGTAAAGAAAATTGTTCAGAGAATTCTTGAAATTTACTTAACATATCAATATTAGCACAAGACCATTGATGGACCCTTGTGAAAATGTGATGTTAATGTGATGAGCTACAAGTCATTTATTGAAAGTTGGCTATACTGATGGCTTGGTACATAAAACAACTAAAAACATCATTTAACATGTGTGCTTTTATAATCAATGTACAATCAATAGTTTTAGTCTACTTGCTCCATGGTTTGAGTAATTCAGAAATGCTGAACTATAAACATAAAGAGGTACTTAATATCAGAAGAGAATAGAACCTAATGTGTCATTTTATGCCTTTAAATCAAATCTCATTTTCAACAAATGGTTTAGATACTGTGAATAGAAATTGAAATATGGCAATGAATTATATTAGCATGAAAACATCTAATCTCCCCAGTTCATCTTACAATTTTTCTTAATAATTTTCACACAGTGCATCCATTTCTGCCTCCCAAGGACACATTGTTTGAATCCAGTTCATCTGAGCACCATGCTTCCTACCCATCGGTCAAACTTGTTGCTGAAATCACCAACTGTCCACCCGTAAGATGTGATATTGATTGCAGAGAGACTAACTTTGCTACCAATGCTTTGGGGTGTCCCACTTGTGAATGTGCACAAACTGGTGAGCTCCAATTATTAATTTTTCTTTTATTGTAAAGAATGGACTGTTTATGTTTTTAAATCTTTAACCTCTTTAAATTTGTATTATTTACCTTATAAGTATTTCTAGTGAAAAAGAAGATATTGTAAATGCAGAATGAGTAAATGTATTGTGAATGAAACTCCAATTATACTTCTACAAGTTAATCAAAGATAACTGTTCGTATTACAAGTATGTACTTTCAGGAGGACCTGAATAGCCAGATGAATTCCATTTATGTAGTTTTATTATGAAATTTGATGGGGTTGAAAATGTTATGGAATTTAAATATATTGGTTGATAAGGAGACTGGAAGGATAAACAAACCTGTTTAGGATGTTGTTGCTTTGGAAACATGACAATTATATGAAAAGATCAGTAAATTACAAGAAAGAATGTTCAAAGAATTACAAAAACAAGAATTTTTCAGGAAGTTGCAATGAGATCACTTGGTTGCCAATCAATATACAACTGTATGATCATGTTCTGTGTAACATGAAGATTTAGATGAAAAAATGTAAATTTTGTGGTGAGCTTGGAATTACTAGTTTGTTTGTTTGTTTGTTTTTATTTCTGCGTTTTCAAAATAGAACATAATGATATATATAAAGTAACAATTATTTCTTCATTTTACATAATTATACATTGTTAAGTACATTAAATAAGATGCATACAAACACAAATATTGTTCAATGAAAAAAGATAAATTACAGAAAGCGCAGGAGACTAGTTATTTGTGGCATCAAATTTAAAAAACATTTAATAACTTTCTTAATTTTTGTCGTAGGGTAAAAGTTCTGAATCACACCATGCACTTGCTTGTGTTTTAGACAGAAAATCAAGAGAGAGATAATGAGATATCATTAAAATATGATGAAACTGCATCATCTGACATCACACTACCTATCAAAATAGTAATCTGCTTGATGATAGAATCTACTCGTGCTATACTCTTTTGTTCGTCTTACTATGTGAATGTTGCAAAGGAGAAGACAGCCCTTGACAACCAAAATTGCTGTTATAGCTAATATCAAAGTGTCAACTTTAGAGCGCTTTAACTTTGTTGTTAGTAAAGCAATGAACTTGGAATTTGGATATAATATTGACCATACTTATGGACAGTTTTTCAAAAAGTTCCAAGTCAGTAGTCATCATAGGAGAAGGAGAACTAACCCCACAGAATAAGTGTAGGTCTTCTGAAAAATGAGATGAATTCCTGCCTTTTTGATGTACAGTAAATCTTACAAAATTGTACGAGAGATATATAAATGAAGATTTCTTGGCATGATGTAATGCTTTTTAGCATGACATGGGCGCAGCCATTTTCTTGAAAATGTGACATACTAGGCGGACTTGTACATGTGTCATGCACCAAGCTGTAATTGGATAGACATTTTACTTCAATTACAAAACCTTTACTTTTCAATGAGGGGAAATCATAGCCGAGAAGGTAAAAATCACATTCGGTGGAAAATATATAATAGGTAACAATTATTGTAACTCATTTATTTGAAAATATTAAAATATAGTGGTTGAAAAATCTATTTCATTCATGCCTAACCTTCAACCCAGCACCAACTTATTTATGCAATTCGTGTTCATGCAATTGGAGTACAAAGGATAATAGTAGGTGAATAAAATGCTTTAACACCACAAACACCTGGGAAGGAAGCATCCATAAATTTGAATACATTTAATTGATAAACCACTTTGCACAGTACGTCATGCATCAAGAAAATGGCGATGCCCATGTCTTGCTGAGGAACTGTACTTTAGTCTTACTTTATGCCTTGCTCATACACTTTGGTGGGGAACCTTTTAGATTAATGGGGATTAGAATCAGTGCTGTAGCCGAACCGCCAAACCGAACATGGCACTTCCAAACCAAACCTAACGCAAGGCCTGGTTTGGATGTTCGGCAGAAAAATGTTAACGTTTTCGCAAGCTAATTAACATGTCATTTTGTACCTAATTTTCATGTCATGATTGCTCATTCTATTATTTACTTTTTTCTGATTTTCCATCTTTTTGATTTATGCCTCTCAAGTGGTGGGCGCAACTTCACTGATGCCATTAAAATCCCAAATCCTGACCTTTGCAACGTCGCAATCGCAAGCTATAAACAAGAATACACGTGCGTACTTGGCACTGATCAAAACAACTTTGGCTCAAACCCAATCAATAAAACAATTAATTTTTTAATTGCAACAAAATCTGACAAATTTTGCAATATAAATAATGAATTAAAAATTTAAAAGAACAGAAAACGAACGTGCCTGGGCATAAATTCAATATGGCAGCTTCCATGAATCATAACATTATAGACAACAGGAAATCTTTAAAAAAATATCATTTATTGTTAAATTGAAAAAATGATTCTTGTAAAATTGCAAATAAAACACGATTAAAGACAAAATTATCAATGTAAGTACTATTTTTATTCACAAATAGTTACGTTTAAAGCAGTTTTTTATGTGAAATTCGTGCCGATCGGAAGCAGTGTTTTTCATCAGGAGTGGTGGGCAGAAGGAGCTCCTTGCTGGTCGGCCTGCCCGGCCTGGCAGCCCAGTGCCGACCACTGTAACACTACTTGCTATTATTACCGAACCCCGAACCGAACCAAGTTTGTGTAAAAACCTACAAATACCCCCTAGGCATTACATGTCTCAACAAAAACCTCACAGTACAGCAGTTCACTGTATTAGTAAAAAAAAAAATTGTACCCAATAATTGGTTTTTGTTGTAGACCCCCCCCCCCCCCCCCCCCCCCATGAATTTCATGGCTTAGTGATATTCAAGCTATTAGACTAAAGTCAGTACTCAAACATTTGTTATTTGCTTTTTTTTTCTTCACACAAGACTGCACTTAGCCCACACAAAGCAAACAAAGAAAAATATTTCCCCCGCACAGACATGTCGATCTGCATTGAAAGAATATCCTGCATTGAAAGGAAAATACCCAGTTCCATAGAATACTTGTTATTCTGATGGCTCCGATGGTTAGCGGAAATAGACAGATTAATCATGCGTGGTTGGAGGCGACAGAGTCTATTTTTTTTAAATTAGGGGTGACATTTTCTGAAATGGTTCTTCTTCCCCTATCTGAACTTGTCTTTTAACATTTTGTTTTATTATGATACACTCTATAAACCATTTTTATATGTATTTAAAGGTAACAGAGACATGTATATACGGTATGGATGCATTCTTTTTTTAATATGTATTTGAAGGTAACAGAGACATAGAGACATATATATATATATATATAAAGTATGGATGCATTTGTTGTATTTTGTATGGGAGAAATATTGCTGGAATAATAATTATGCAAATTTAGTGGAAGACATTGTGATATTTTCTGTAATTGCTAAAGTTTCCTAACATATTCCTAACAAATTGTGTCATATTTCAATTCATTTATTTTTTTGTTTCAAAAAACCTTTTGTCCTTTTTATAAAAAAAATCTGACTTTTGCCAAGGTTTACCAACTTTACACAGCAGGAAAGAAAATTATATTTAATTTGGGCTTGCCCCTTGTAAGGACTTCTAGCAGGGTTGTCGGTAGAAGTAGAAGGAGGAAGCTTATGCAGGGAAAATTAGGGGAAGAATATGTGTCTTTCCTGCTGTGTAAAGTTGGTAAACCTTGGCAAATGTATTGGGATATTGTAGTTCTGAGCTCATGCAAAAAGTGAAAAATAAACCCATTACATGACTAGCAATCTATGTTATGTTAATTTATAAGGAATGTCCGGACCTATTCTTTACAAGCTCTGCTTTTCTATAGGTTCCTGCACATTTCACAGTTTGTACTTTTGTCTGGGTAGTTTCCTTTAAATGATATTAGTTGTCAAACAAATGTGATGACATGTAACGTTGTAGTCTGATTACCTTGTCAATTACTATCATCATTTTTTTTTAATTATGAAACAATATGTCTTTTATGTATAGTTTGTTATCTGTATTATATCTGCATGTGAAATGTGAAACCAATAAACTCAAACTCAAACTCAAACTCAAACTTGAACTCAAACATGATAAAGTCTTGTTGGCCAGGGTGGTCAGAGATGATCTACACATGGCATTAATGTTTCACATTTGTTGCTACCAATTGATTTATCATACCCCCTCTTTCCCTCACAACCCAATCATGCCTCTGCCTGCAGCAATATTCAATCACACTTCTTATTATTTTTTATGCAGACCATCAGGTTTTTTTCTCCAATTACCGGTATCCTTCATTGATATGTTTCAGTATCGATGCCATTTAATGTGTGTTCACCTCTGGATGCACAGAACTGTAAAAGATTGTACACATGCCCATATGGACTTCATACAGATGAGAATGGTTGTACCATTTGTAAATGCAAGCTGCCAGGTGAGTATTGTTGGGTAAAAAAGGTAGAAATTTGTGTGTGAATTTGTAAAGATATTTTCTTTTCAAAATGTAAACACTTAAAACTGAACAAAGATTAATCTTTAGAAAATACTTAATGATAATAATAATCATTTTAGATAGTAAGCCACATGTGATTTTGATAAAGAGTCTGATTGCCTAGTCAGCGTGTGGTTTTGTATTGTTCATTTTGCTCTCCCACTGATTCTTTGTCTACATCACAGTCTAAATTTAACAAAGATTTTTTGGCGCGATTTGGTGCTAGTTGGTGCCTGCTTTGTTTATCATTCATTTTTTGAGTTTGCACTGGCTCTTTGTCACGGTCAGAGTCTAATTTAACAAAGACTCATGAGCGTACTTTGGACCTGTGCAACCAATGTCATATTTGTATTTGAAAAGGGTGCAGTAGTGAACTTGGTCTATTGGATCAACCTCTGAGGGGCGAGGATATTGAGGTGGAAAGGGGTCCTGTAAGTTTGAAAAATATATGGGTACAGGATAATTGTAATACTCTGTGTCACCTGTTTTTCTGAAAGGGTATTACTGGTGTAAAGTGTAGAGTGCCCAGTAAATGAATGTGTGCAGTATATTAGTAATACAGTTAGTTCCATTTTTCCTTGAAGAATTATTGTTGTGTGAAATGTTTGATTGTATTATATTAGTCAAATGTATGATATATTATTTGTTTAAAGCCTTGTTTATTCACACAGATGAGAGTTACCAAGTGATAAGTATGAAACTGTTTTTAATGAAATATTTCATGCTACTTGTAAATGACAAATACCCCATTTACAAATGTCAAAATAATGAAGAAGTGTCTGCATGGTCCAGTAGCTTTAACTTTTTAGATGATAGACAATTTATGATATTTGTTATCTTTCCTGTTTTCTATGTTCACTTTAGATTTAAATAACAATATCTTTAGTCGTGCAAAACAAGATGTTTGCAATTACATGTATATTACATGTTTAGAAACGCATTTTAAAGAAAATAATTACATTTCTTTTTCTGTTTGTTTGTGTAGAATTTTGTCATCCAGTTAAAGAGAATTGTGATCTTGAGTGTAACAATGGACGTGCAACTGATCAACAAGGATGTGAAATCTGCGGTTGCAAATCAGTTTGTAAGCATTTTCAATTTTTTTCTTCTTCAAAAGTGCAGTGATTGGCATCAAATTGTAATTGTATCCCCTTGCAGTATGCTGATTGGGTGCTTTGGATTCAGCAGCGTTACGCCGCGTCCGCCGCCGCGTCCGCCGCCGCGTCAGCCGCCGCGTCCGCCGCATCATATTCTTGTGTGCTCTCTTAGATCGTGTTTACAGTGAGAAAAGCGCCAGGGCTGGGCCAGGCCGCAGCTGAGCCAGGCCTACTCGGCCCTGCAATTTTGTGCGTTTACAGTGGCAGGCTCGGCCGCGGCCTAAATTGTAACCTTTCAATATTTTGTCGTACTGGCGCTCTGCATGTAAACAAACGATTATTTGGGGGGCGGGTCGGGGGTCACAGTGCAGATCCGGTTGCGCGTGTGCTGGATATTTGCAGTGAATATTTTCCCCAATTTTCTATACATGGCGGACTTTCACTTCCGGGGTAACAGTTGGCCGTGCATTTGGCCCTGCGTGCATTTACAGTGAGAAAAGCCCGGGCCTGGCCGCGGCCGAGACTAACTGCCACATTCCTTGATGGATTTCTTTCAAATTTTGAATGGAGGTGTAACGTCAAGGAAAAAATTAATATTTATTTTTTCGGGGGCTACTTTTCAAGCTTGCCTTCATAAAAATAACACTTTAAAAAAAAAATTGCATTGAACTCTATGAAAAATTACGGGGGCTCTTTTGGGCATTTCGGGGGCAAATTTGCCCTGAGCCCCCATGTATTTTTTTCACTGTGTATCGTGTATAATCTCAACACCTATAACTTTTGGTCATGCTGCCCCCAGTGTTCCGTCTTCTATAGGGTAAAAGGCCATATTTTTGTGGATGGTTTTTGTGCGCTCTATAGGCCACATTTCTCAAGGGATTTCGTTCAAATTTTGAACAAATTTGCATCTTGGCATAATCTACAAGCCTATAGATGTTGGTGATGCTGCCTCTAGTGTTCCGTCTTTTATAGGGTCAAAGGTCATATTCTGATCGGTGACTTATGTGCACTCTAGTGTGCATTCTAACTGCATCATTCCTTGACGGATTTCTTTCAAATTTTGTATGGAGGTGTATCTCGGTATAATCTACACACCTATAACTTTTGGTGCTGTGCCCACAGTGTTCCGTCTTCTACAGGTTAAAAGGCAAGATTTTTTTGGATGTTTTGTGTGTGCTCTATAGGCCACATTTTTCAAGAGATTTTGTTCAGATTTTTAACAAAGGTGTATCTTGGTATAATGTACAAGCCTACATATTTTGGTGATGCTGCCTCCAGTGTTCCGTCTTTTATAGGGTCGAGGTCATCTTGTGATAGATTTCTTTGTGGCACTCTAGTTTGTGGTCTAACTGCATCATTCCTTTACGGATTTCTTTCAGATTTTATATGGAGGTTTTTCTTGGTATAATCTACACACCTACAACTGTTGGTGATGCTGCTCCCAGTGTTCCGTCTTCTATAGGGTCATAAGGTCATATTTTGATGGGTGTTTATTGTGTGCTCTGCAGGTCATATTTCGTGACAGATTTCTTTCTAACTTTGTATAGAGAATTAGAATTGTATCTTGGTACAATCTACACTTTTGGGTGATGCTGCCCTCATTGTTATGTCTTTTATATGGTCAAAGGTCGTATATACTTCTTTTATGCGCTCTAACTGCCACATTTCTTGACGGATTTCTTTCAAATGTTGTATGGAGGTGTGTCTTAGTACAATGTACACATCTTTAGTGTTTGGTGATGCTGCTACCTGTGTTTCGTCTGTTATAGGGTCAAAGGTCGTATTTGGCAGCTGTCTTTCGTGCGCTCTAACTGCCACATTTCTTGACAGAATTCTTTCAAATTTTCTACAGAGATGCATTATACTCTGATTTACACACATATTGTTTTGGTGATGCTGCACCTAGTCTTGACAATAGTCTGAGCCACTAGTGGCGATCTCTACGTCATCCTTTTGTTTTAGGGAGGGGAGAGGGGATCTTTGTCCCTCCTCCGAACATAAGGATGACACAAAATCGCTGCCACTGCCGGGGGTACATTTGCATTACGCAGCAATACAGATTGCGATATTTCTAGTTCATAATTGTTCCAGAAGCATGATATTTCAAAGGATTTTCTGTCAGTAGGTTTTTGAACAGTTTGGTATCAAAAAATTTAGAGCAGAGAATAGTGGATCCAAAGTATGGAGAGATAGATGATATAGCACATATCACAAATATGTCCCTATGGGCTGTAATGGAGAGAAAGAAGATAAAAGTAAAAGAATATTGAGTAGAATTAGATATGCTCAGCATATTTCCCAGATTTTATTTTTATAGAGAATTGTTTTAAGACTTGTTTTGAAGTTTTCAACGGTATCACATTTTTGAAAATATATTCTGGCAATTTAGTCCAAAGCTCTGCTGATGCTACCTGAAAAGAGCGTGACCCATACAACTTTGTAAATTTTACTTGAGGGATAGTAAGGAGAGACTTTTAGGAAGACCTGGGGTTTATGTTAGGTTCATATGTTGTAAGCAGTTTAGTCGAGTACATAGGAGCCAATATTTTCAGTGATTTCATTTATGTTCATGATGTCAAAGGGAATTTCAATGGAGTATATATATGTCTTTGGCTTTGATATGGGTTTGTCCTGAAATCATAAATGGTCTCTGCAAACCAGTGATTAAAAAGAATTGTGTTCAGTGCAAGCACCGCGGGTTCAGAAATTATACAGTGCGTCCCAGAAGAACAAAACTGGGAATTATTGATGTTTTATCATAATTTAATCACAATTATGATTAATAAATGACACATATTTGTAAAGCTTAGATCCTCCTCTTTCATTTGATGCAAGTCATATGATGCATATTTCACGCATGGGTGATTAAAAAGAATTTGAAGAAAGGGTACCAAAAAATCATTTGGAGAACGGTATCTGAATTTCAAAGAGAAATCACATTTCCAGAAAGTTCATCTTCTGCCCTTTCATATGACACCTCAATCAGAAAAAATGAGCCACGAATAACAAGTTCTGTATGTTTAAAGTAATGCTTGCATTTGCATAATTTTTTTGAACAAAGTCGTTTTCACTGCATGGCTGCTTGCCGTAGCAAGAAACAACAAACCATGCATGAAGTATTTTGTCTTCTTTGTTGTTAAGGCAGACAGCCACTTGAACGGATTCGTTTAATGAGAATATGCTAGCTTATCCTGGCGAATTTTTCCTGATTGAGGTGTCATATTCTCAGTTATATGTTTTTCTTGGACGCACTGTATAAACATTAAGATATTTATCAAGGTTGTTTATATTTGTTGCATGTCTTGCATGTAAAAAAATATTGAGAGGTCAGAGATTATTTAGGAGTATAAGGATGTAATGTATAACATGTAAGTGGGAAACAATTCAGAAAAGTGAGAAAATGTAAGAAAATTAATCACAATGTGTTACGATGAGAATGGCATAATTATTAATGGAATATAAAGCAAACTTAGCTGAAGTATGAAGGATGACCTGCCTTTGGGCCAAAGGTCTTATGTGTTTAAATATTGTTTTAATAACATTTAAGTGTCACAAAACAAAGGATAGAACACACAGCACATGTGAAGTGTATGAGAGTAATTTATTACCAGTGAGACTGTATGCTGCCCTCTTTTGATATAAGTATTATAAGTGTTTCTTTTCTTAAATCTCATAAACAATATTGTCACATTATGAATGTAGTGTCATATATTTTTTAATAAACTATACGTTTTCTACCCCCCCCCCCCATAACTTAAGAACCGCAGAGGTGCTTATTAAACTAACATGTCTCAAGTATGTATGAACATATTACAGTAGGATTTTATAATCTGGTAGCTGGGCAATTAAAAAATGAAATCAAAATATCCAGCCACAAATAATTTGAGATTTTGTTAAAAATAATTTTGTCTATGAGTGTAAGAATGGGTTTAAAGTATAAACTTCTTCCATTTTGTGATTGAAATCTAAAAAAGTACAGTGGTAGAAAAAATGAATAGAGTTCTACATGTACCTTAAATATCTTTTGCTTTTCAAAGGCGACTCCTTTACCCGTTAAATGTATGTGTATATCTCAAGGTGAAACAAGTCCCCATGTGAGCCTCTTTCTTTTTTCAGCTGTTGAGGAGTGTCCAGAAGAGGTGACCAGTGCAACATGTCCACTCACTTGCCCATTTGGTCTGGCTACTGACAATGACGGCTGTGAAGTATGTAGGTGCAAGGTACCAGGTATGTCATTTTCCCCTCAGGGTTGACAGATTGGTAATTGGATAAGACCTTGATAAGTATGGTACATTCGATGGAAATTTGATTTGAAAAGAAAATGTAACCTGTATTGCTGTAGGGAGTTACCTACTACCCAGCTTTTTATATTTTACGATATTAATAGATACAAATATTAAAAAGTTGTAGTTTTCTGTGCAACAAATGGAGGATTTCAAATGTGACATTGTACATTTTAATCAAATTTTTAAATGATCTAAACTTTCACAGGTTCAGTTTCTTTCTTCAGAAATGTAGTTTTTGTAGACAATTTTTTTATCCTGCTAGCACACAGACCAACTGGTTTTAATTTTATTAATTTTTGTATCAATGTTGAAATCCCTTTAGTTATATAAATATGTTAAATCATTTAAAATGTTTAGGAACATCATTTTTATATGTGTACTTTGAAGCTATCAGTATTGCAGATTATGAATCTTCCAAAGTACACGTTTGAACAAATGCATGTATAGAGCGTACCTGGAAATTATATTATGAACTCAAATACCAGTATTTACTTCTCGGAGCAAGGTACCAATACCCGATCCACCGGAGGCAAATACATCATGATCAGAATTGGATAGTCAAGAATGAACAATTGTCAACTCCCTGTACAAAGGTGGTGCTATGCAACGTAGCGTGGCAGTGCACCTAATATTTTTGTTTTTCCCCCTTCTGTTCTGTATGGACTCTGTTTGCTTCATATCTCATGGATGACATGGTTATTGATGCATGATTTTTTATCCTAACAAAGAGATCTTTTTTTATTACTGATGCATGACATCATATTGGCGCCATTTTGTTAATTTGTATTATTAAAAAACTGATAGTGTCAGCAGGTAAAACTCTATAAGCAAGAATTGTCATGTCTAAGATCTTTATTTCTGAATGATATTTGATATTCATAAACTTGAAGTCATGGGTAAACTTTTGGACACACCAATATCCGTGCGCGGGTCATGGCGGACTTGTACGCATGCATACAAATTTAAAATTAGTCAAAATGCTTATTGGACCAATTTACTACACATTTCCAACCTTTTTAAACAATTAAAAATTCATACAGTAGGTTTACGGTTGCACCATGTGAGAGAGAAGGGGGAGGATTGGGGAGTCCTGAAAGGACTGTCGTAATCTTTCTTTCTTCAGTGTATGTGTAGCCTGAATAAGACAGTCGGTAGTCTTGAAAACTCGAAACTTCGCAGAGAGTGAGACTAGAGTTTAAACTCTAGTAACATTTTAATTGTTTGCATATTCCTGATACCCCGCACTTATGTCAGGGAAAAAACAAAGCCTCTTTTCACCTACCTCTAAAAACAGAAAAATACACATCCCTTTAAAAATACCCACAGTTTGAATGAAAATTTATTTGGAGGACATTAATACTATCAATCTGTATGCGCTCTGAAATTGTCGTGATATTTTGGGCCAAACTAATGGAGGCAGACTTAATCTGAAAAAGAAGAAGAAGATACGCGAAGGTGCAGTTTGGACAATTTCTGCTCATCTCTCAGTACAAGGCCTCGATAGCCGTTACAATTCAAAAGCTTTTACGACTTTTCAAGGATTTAATTGCAACCCTAGCACCACGCATGCTCGTTTTCAAATTTTTCTTGCTAAGCATATAGGACCATGCGTTTGTGAAATTTGCCATATGTGTCGGTATTAAGAATTCAATTGGGGTTTTACTAAAGTAAACAACAAACATTTTAAAGATGATCTCCATCAATGTAGTCCAAAGAATATCATATTTACAATATTGGGTAACATAAAATAATACATGTTTACATTATTCATCAAATCACGGCAATCACGTTTCAGGCCACCGTGGACAAAACGGGATGGACGTGAGACAACATGAATCATAAAAGCATATATATCTTCTACTTATTTGTGTATTTGTAGCGTCCATCATCGCAGCCAATGTAGCATTGACGATGGGACTTGAAACACTTGGCTCCCTGATCAGGCCTCTCTACTGGATCCCTACAGTGAAGTGCCCCACCCTAGCTGCCTGCAGTCTGTCATGTGACCAAGGTTATGCCACCAATGCAGAGGGCTGCACAGTCTGTCGCTGTGTCGCACATGGTAAATCTCAATATGGTGTAGGAAACATAAAATCACTGTAGTATCATTTTCCTGAAGATGTTCAGAGCATACTGATCGAAACGTTGAGAACATAAGAGCACTTAGCGGAGCTCAGCAGCCGTTTCCATGACTCTTATTCCTCTGAAATAGTTACCCAATTTCCTCCTGAAAACTCAAAAATTCAAGCTCAATGATGTTGACATGAATTTGCATTTTACATGTATTTCTTTTGTTGATATGGAAGAAAGTGAAATTGATTTCACCTTATTTTTGCTTACCTGTATAACATGTTCAGACAGATAAACAGATAAATTCTCAGTTTGGAGCCAAAATGGTGTCATTTTAAAACAGGGTTAAAGCCCTTCTAGCACTGGAGAAATAATATCGAGCTACTCAAAATAAAAGAATACTAATTCAAAGAATATATTGATGTAGAATACATCTGTCACACACATGGTAGCCCTACATGTACATCTACAAACATGTGTATTGTAAAGGTACATGTACTTACTACTTCAAGGACTTGAAACTTTTTACCATAGAAATATTTCCTTTTTAAGATGAAAGTGTTTTTGAAGGTCTTCAGTATAAAAACGCTGACATCACATAAACTATGTAGAAACTTTGATACATGTAAGTGAAACATTCTTGTTGGTACATACCTCACCACCCATAGTATCCATACAGTGCATGTATATTCAGTATAATGCATATATCATTCTTAGTGCAATCATATTTGTCACAAGATGGCGCTATTAACTTTCAGACTCAACTGAAGAATGAGTTATAATCATGACTGTTTTATGAGTTAGTACACAGTGCTTTTTATATTGATTTTGATGAGAATAAATACATTACACCTTTTTCCTTTGGTGATGTTTTCTTATGGGTGACTCTCTTAAGAACTATGAAATTGTTTGAAAAGAAGATATCTTACTACTTTTGTGTTTTAAGACCTCATGCAAATCATAACCTTGCAAATGTAAAGAGTTTGTAAGTTGTACTTCCTTTATCGTTACGTAATTTACAGAATCATCATGCTCGCCATCCTTCACCTCAAGCCAGTGTCCAATAATGGATCTTTGTCCATACGGCCTAGCAACTAGTGAAATTGGCTGTCTTATCTGCAAATGCAGGCGGCCAAGTAAGTACAGACCATTTTAATTGAATAGCAAGAATGGTATTTTAAACACCTTCTAATTCAGACGGTAAGATACAATATTTTCCTTAAGAAGGCGATTATGATCCAAGTCATGTTGTACATTTATTTGTTGTTAGTATGTTTAAACTTATTATCAATCATGCTCTGCACATGTCAACATGTTTGTTTAATTTTATTTTTGGAAATGAAAATAAATGAAATGTTTTTGAGTAGAAAATCTATTACAGAGTATTAAAGCTAGATGCAATAGCCCAAATGGGACACATTTCTCTTATTTGAAAATCAATGCCTATTGATTCATTTCTTGTTTGGTTCTTGTATACCTCCATCTTAATTGATTTATTAAGCATAATATATAACTTCTTTTTTTCTTCTTCAAAATGGTGTTCAGAATTTAGATAAACTTTTGATGATGCAATTTCACTGATTTTAGTTTTATTATAAAATGTTCTCTATTTAATCAACGTATATAGCTTACATTTAGGAAGGAAATGTTTTAATATCATTTTCTGGTCCTAGTTTCCAACCCACAAAGCACTTATTCTTTGAATATTTTATTTATTTTTCTTTTTAAATCTTCTAACTATTTTCAGTTATACATGAGGAGTTACACCTCAATCTTAAAGCCCTTCTAAAGTGTTGGGAGCCCCAAAAATGTAGGACTGCCAGAACTTTAGAGGGGCTTTAACTGCTAATGTTAAATGATCTCCTCTACACTTTTATGTTGCATATCCTTGTCTGTGGTTCTAGTGAGCATACTTTCAAAACTAGAAAGAGGATCTGATCCTTCATAAAAATATGCAATATCGAAACTACTGGTATACAACAAATGATAAAGTTTGTATGCTATTGCTATAAGCTTTTTACAACAAATATGTACAGTGTACAAACAGGAAGTTCTGCATGGTATTTCAGTCCGCTTCTTGGGATAGTACGCTAGCATCTCTGGTATCTTCTCCTTGATTATTGAAGGTTGAGAAGCTTTATTTTTTTTTTTATTAGCAACTTTGTCATTATTCCTGTCTTTCTGTATCATGTTTATCATTTGTGTTCTCTTCTTCTTGCTCATATTTTTACCAATTAGGTTATTGGTTGAGTGGAGTAAAAGAAACATCTCTTTTTATTACAGCTGGATATTATTGCTTGCAGAATGCAAGGATATTGTGTTATTTGATGTTCAAGAATAATCCAGCTATCACTGACAAGTTGTTGGAACTATATATACAATTTAATAATCAAAGTTTTTGTTTAACATCATACTTTGTTTATGTCTTTAGCTCCTTGCCCTGCGACTGTGCCTATTTTCTGCCGTAACCCTTGCCCACATGGCTTTGCTTCAAACACGTTCGGATGTCCGAATATTGCTTCATGTGATTGCATAACACCAGGTAAGAGTTTATAAGGAGCTTGAAATGAATTTTTCAAAATATTTTTCAACTTCTCTAAAATTTAGATTTGAGGCATTTTTTGCTGATGCATCAAGATGTTATTTAACAAATTTCTTCAAATAACCTCGAAAACATTGTTTCATCTGCACGCTGTTGTACTGTGTGAGTCCACACGGGGGGGGGGGGGGCACAGGTTTTATTTAGGAAGATTTGCAAATTTACATGGCTACTGATGAGTGGGTGGGTAATTCACTGTTTAATGTAAGTCTGTCCTTTTTACTCACAGCTTGGAATACTTCATAATTATGCACAAGTTCAAAGGAAATATGTAGCTGTTGGTTAAATGCACTTGAATTAAAATCCTTACTATTCCAATATCCACAGCAAATAGTGCATTGTGTCATCCAGAAGTCATACAGAACTGTAAGCGACATTGTTTCCATGGCTATGCAACAGATAGCGATGGCTGTGAGATCTGTAGATGTCGAATGCCTTGTGAGTCTACAGATTTATCTCTCGCTCAAAGTCATGATTGACATGTTGTACTGTTCCTTACAGAATGAGCAAACCCATCTAGTTTGAATTATGTAAGAGGTTTAACAAAAATTATTGTTATAATATCAACATAGGGGCAATATAATGTCATCATTCTGCAGAAAAATGAAAAAAAATTGAAAATATTCTTGATTTTGAAGGAATTCTCCTAAAAAGATGTGACATTTTCCTCAAAGCTTTGTGGTAGAACATAAACAATTATAATTTGATGTTATTCTTTATTTCAGTATAGTCATACAGCAGTTCTATAGGAATGGTGGTGGATGGTTTCTTCTAATGCAAGTGAAAGAATAAAATAATCAAATTTACAAGTCATGAGATACATGAGATTCTTTCATCTTTCCATTTCAGTTACCCTGGGGGCGTTCTTCTCGATTGCTGCTCCGGTGTTCAACGTGTTCTGGCAGGAGACCAACCATCCTCACATGCCATATGCTGAAACTTCGTTGGTCCCAGCCTCCCCCTGTCCCTTGGTAGACAGCAGAACATGCCAGGAAGACTGCCCCAATGGGCTGGCTACGGACATGGGAGGTTGCCCTCTATGTAGATGCAAAACACTGGCAGGTGGGTCACAACCCCAAAAAATACTTTTTCTAAAATTTTAATTTTTATGGGTGCAAACTTATAAATCTTGTAATTGGTTAAAAAGGCTTGACTTTATTGTTTTTTTGTTAATTTGATGCACTTTTTCAAAATGGGGGAAGGCATACATGAAACAAGTACCTTATAACTATTAATTTTTTAAATCATCTCTTCTATATTTTTAGAGCTCTGTCCAAGGGTAGACCCAGTGATTTGCCCTCAGGTGAATGCTTGCCCATATGGGCTTGCCACTGGACCAACAGGTTGCGACATCTGCATATGCAAAGATAAAGGTAAAATGTGGTTTTCTTAATCCATTTGGTTTAAATCATGCTGCGTTTACATCAAAGAAATGTGTCGTCAGCTGCCCACAAGAAAGCTGTTAACTGAAATTTACAATGCATCAATTTAGCTCTCACAGCCTTCTTTTTTATCCCCCGTGTAAGTGAGCTGCATGATACAGGTGAGTGAGCTGAGGACACGGGAGAGCTTCGGCCACCAAAGTGCTTAGTGAAGGGCAAAATTTATTGAGACTGAAGAGAAAAACAAACTCTCTTCCCTTCAAATTAGGAACATAGTTTAACTTAAAATAGTAGATCCTATTCTTTATTTGCACTATGTAATTCATGTTGAGACACAGAGATTTTCGAAAACCACTAAAAAGTAGCATTTTGAGAACTCAAAATATCCTGTACTTGTGTATAAGACGCACCCCCCGACTTTTGATTTTTGCCGACGGAAAAAAAGTGTGCCTTATACATTGAGATTTACGGTATCCCCAATAGACTGTAGTGTTATCAAAACCGTTTGGCAAACACAAAATTTGATTTCGATTTTCAATCGTAAATATCTTCATAATCAGACAGGCGATCGGCTTGTAAAAGTCATGGGGTTCCTGACTGACCTAAAGGTTTATAATTATCATTACAGCATGAGCTAAATCAAGGGTTTTTTTTAAAGGATCTAAGACAAAGTTACAGGATCCCATTAATTAATTACGGTATACCTATACTTCTATTGACTGCAATTTTCGCAAGAAAATTCACAAAAGATGTTCACATTTATTTGTTTTACCACAGTATCTTGTGAGCCTGTCAACCACCTGACCTGCTCAACTTCATGTCCTCACGGTCATGCTACGGACGAAAATGGATGCGAGATCTGTCAACGGTGTTTAAAGCATGGTAAAATTGATCTTCAGCGAAGGTCTAAACTTGTATGCAACATAAATAATCTCCTAGTGCCACATTATATTGATAAAGAGATAGATAAACCAAGGCTCAAGATGATTTAACAGTTTCCAATGCCAGATTAAACTTATTTTCAATTAAAGTGTCCATATAGAGCCTTTTCATCTGTTCATCTTGAGTAAACAGGCGAACGGGATTTGCTAAATTCCCAAGAAAAATTGTGGAAAGAGTTTTTCTCATTTTTTCTTGTTTTATACTACTTTCTTGAGCATATGAACATGTTGAATATTGCATTGAAATTATCTAATACAGCTGGAGATTGTCCACCAGTGATTGACTGTGAGAAACACTGTTCATATGGCTATGCATCAAATGACGAAGGCTGTCCTGTATGCAAGTGTAAACAAGCAGGTATGTGGATATAATCTGGATAAGCATATAACACTTGTTAAAATAAAACTAATGATAATAGTAATTGCACTTCTATTCAAGGTTGCGCGATAGCTCAGTCGGTAGAACAGTGGTCTCGTAATCCGGTGACCCGGGTTCAAAACCAAGGCGATGCGCTAGTGCCCTTTGGTAAAACATTAATTCTCATTACCAGGTCCCTCGAAGAGGACCTAAAGCCGTCGGCCGTCTGGTTGCTTACTTACAAGCATTGAAGCTTTCTTAGATGATGATGATGATGAACAGCATTTGTATAGCGCCATTTATCTGCAAAAGCATTCAAAGGCGCCTGGCTCCCTCAATATGTCACATATTATTCGCAATGTTGCCGGAAAAGATAGGTTTTGAGTTCAGATTTAAAGGTATCAATGTTGTTACAATTTCGAAGTTGGACAGGTAGAGAGTTCCAAAGATGCGGAGCAGATGAAGAGAAGGCTCTATCCCCGTATGTTTTTAGACGGGTACTGGGCACTTGAAGAACGAGTCCCGCACAGCGTAGTCCTGGTCGTAGCTGACGTACACTGATGAGAGCAGATACATAGCCAGGGGACAAGTTATGTAGAGCCTTAAATGCAAGCAGCAAGATCTTATACTGCACTCTGCAGTGCACTGGCAGCCAATGAAGCTCATGGAGTGTAGGCGAGATGTGGTCAAACTTCCTGATTCCCATCAGAAGGCGAGCAGCAGCATTCTGGACCGCCTGGAGACGTTTGATGGCTGATGATGGTAAGCCGACAAGGAGAGAGTTGCAGAAATCCAGCCTTGAGGTTATTAGAGCATGAATGAGGTTTTCCGCGGCACTTCTGGTGAGACAGTGTCTGATCTCTGCAATCCTGCGGAGATGGTAGAATGCAGACTGACAGACACGCGAAATGTGATCCTTCATGCTCATAGTTCTGTCGAAGACTACTCCAAGATTTCTAGCCTTGTTGTTGGGAGATACAGCTTCCTCACCGACTAGAATAGGAGTACCAGTGATCTTATTTCCCATGTGTGGTGAAGACAAAAGGAGATACTCGGTTTTCTTTTCATTTAGCTTCAAGAAGTTGCGTCTCATCCAACATCGAATCTCTTCGATGGCAGCACTGATGGCTGCAGCTGCACGTTCCTCAGCGCCTCCAACTTTTGGATCAAAAGTTAGGTAGAGCTGGGTGTCGTCTGCATAGAAATGTGCGCTAAGACCATGTCGCTGTATGATAGAGCCAAGAGGGGTGATGTAGAGTGTGAAGAGCAAGGGACCGAGGACAGAGCCTTGCGGAACTCCGTAGCTAAGGGTGGTCTCAGGTGATAGCTTGCCATTGATGACCACAGCTTGTCTTCTGTCGTTGAGGTAAGACTCAAACCATTGGAGTGCAGTTGCTTCAATTCCAAAATCTTCTCTAAGTCTCTCAAGCAGAACAGCATGATCGATGGTATCAAATGCAGCTGACAGGTCAAGCAGAACTAGGGCAGCTGCTTTTCTGCAATCAATTGATGTTAGGATGTCATCCGAGACCTTCAGTAGTGCCGTCTCCACACTGTGATTTTTTCTGTATGCAGACTGTAGGCACTCATGTAGATCATTGCCCTGCAGATAAGCTGTCAGACGACTTGCGACAATTTTCTCAGTCACTTTGGCCAGAAAAGGCAAATTTGATACTGGGCGATAGTTAGCCAGATCGTTGTGATCAAGTGAAGATTTCTTCAATACTGGGGTAACATATGCCAGTTTCAGACAGTCTGGGAAGACTCCATCACGCAGTGACGCATTAATCAGACACGAAATATGCAGAGCTAGGAGGTCACCGTGTTGTTTAACAAGAACTGTAGGCACCGGGTCAAGCGAACATGTCTTTGCAGAGGTCTTGTGAATTATCCGCTTGACTTCCTCTGGACATGTAGGATGTATCAATGTCAGATGGGCATCACAATCACGTGAAGGCTGTCCGTTTGGGAGGACCTGAGTTGCTGGCATACACTCCCGGATTTTCTCAATCTTTCCGACAAAGAAGCGAGAGAAATCAACAGCAAGGTCATCATCAGTTAAATGCTGAGGCATTTTCTTTGACGCTGAGGTTTTCTGATGAAGAAGTTGGCTGATTATACCGTACAAGGCCTTCTGATCACTGCCACACTCCATAATGAGGTCGTTCCAAAACTCTGACTTCGCCACTTTAAACAACTCTTTGGTGAGGTTTCTTTGATCCTTGAAAAGTTGTTTATCAACAGAGAGCCCCGTCCTTCTCCATTTACGCTCAAGTTGACGTCGCTTTCGCTTAGCGTCTGCTATTTCCTGGTTATACCATGGAATGGCTGGATGATCAATGATGACACAGGATCGCTGTGGAGCATGTCTGTCAAGGAGTTCTCCCATAACCACGTTGTACTTATGTAGTAATGTTTCAGCTGTTAGTGATGCATCAGATGATGATAGCTCGGACTTCTCTATGTCTGAGCTGAACGTGGTGGAAACAATTGCCTTTATCTTGCGAAACTGGATTACCCTCTTGACTGCCTTTGGCTTCCTCAAATGCAGCTTACAGTGAATAGCTGAGTGGTCGGACAAAGATTCGCCTATCTCTACAGTCTCCAAGCATTCTTCGCCAACCCGTCCAATAACTAGATCCAATGTATGGCCAGATTCATGGGTAGGCCCAACCACATGCTGCTGAAGGTTATGATCATGCAGTAAAGACATAAGCCGGCTTGTCTCATTAGAATTCTCATTCTCCCAGTGGACATTAAAGTCTCCAAGTATGAGTAATTTACCAGTGAAGAGAACATACTTATCCAGAAGGGAAGAAAACTCTTGGATGAAGTCACTGAAGCTTGGCCTATTTTTCGACGAAGGCGGAGGGCGATAAACAATCGCTAATTTTAAAGTAGCATTGTCATAACTCAGGTCGCATTCCGTTATCTCAAAGGATCTGGGTTTGTCATGGCCAAAACCCTGGGCCTTCACATGGAGGCTGGACTTATGAAGTAGAGCAACCCCGCCACCCCTGCGATGTTCTCTGGGAACACTGATGAGACTGAAACCCGCAGGTGTGATATTTCCGGCAGCTACACTGTCATTTTCCTTAAGCCAAGTCTCTGTCAATGCTAGCAAATCTAAATCATGATCTTTCAGATGGTCAATGATAAGGTCAGATTTATTACGTGAAGACTGGCAGTTTATCAATCCTACCTTTAGTTGCCCATTAGTATGTCCTTCTTGCTGTTGATTGATATTCTGATGATTCCTCTTACCACCTCGGATTCCTCTGTGACCAGAACTGGGTCTCCTGATGTCTAAGTCGACCAGTCTGTTGTAGTCAGAGGCAGGGAGTCTCCTCTGATCATATGTCATGTGTATCCTTATGCAATAGAGCTCAGTGCATGTATACTGCAGCATAGTCAATTGTATGATGAGAGGTATTGAAAGTCAAGTCAAAAGCCAAGGGCATTCCAACTAGATGGCACAGTAGGAATGACAAAAGAGCACAACAAAGCTCCATTCATCCACTTGTGCATCACTGAACATGAATGGTGACAGGCAGGGAAAGTGAACTCTCAAATTTCCAACTTCAATTTAAACATATGGGACACACAGTGTAAAATCCAGACATCCAGCTGAAAAAAGGATGGACAATCTCAGACAAATGTGATGAAGAAGAACCGCCAACATAGCATCAAAAAGTATCCTTAAGGTATCCAGTAGAAGGTGCTAACCAGCAGACACTAATATTTCCAGCAAAAATGCGAAAAAACATGAAATCTTGGAGGAGCCAAAACTGGGTCGCCTTGCAGGGCGCACACACAAATTGCGGGTCAGCAGTCAGTTAAAATAACCACCACCACCATTACTACTACTACTACTACTACTACTACTCCTACTACTACTACTACTCCTACTACTCCTACTACTCCTACTACTACTACTCCTACTAATAATACTTCTACTACTACTACTACTACTACTACTACTACTACTACTACTACTCCTACTACTACTAACTACTACTGACTGATAATAAGAAACATCACAAAAAACAAAAAAACAGCAGCAACAACAACATTAATAATAAAAACGATGAAATGCTAATGATAATGGTGATGATGAGGATAATTATATTAAAAATAAAAATATTACTACAACAGCTACTACTACTACTACTACTACTACTACTACTACTACTACTACTACTACTACTACTATACTACTACTTACTACTACTTTAAAGATTTGTCAAAGTCTAAGTATACTGTATTGATTGGCTGATATTTGCTAATGATCTTGTTACACATGATGTATGTCCATGTGTTTCGCATATTTTAACTTTTGCATGCATTCTTGGTGTCATTCTACATCTACATCAGATTACCATCTGCTGAGAGCCAAAATGGCATTGAAGTATAGGAATCACCGAAAAGTAATCTGTGAACTGCTAGAATGTATAAAATAACCTCGAAAGACTCTACCTGGCATTCTCTGGGCCAACAGATAAGGAGTTGTATATGAAGAAAAAAAGAAAAACATAATAACCCATGATTATTTACGTCTAGGGACCGACCTTTAAACGTCACCATCCGAAAGACGTGAATCAGTTTTGAACCTGCGTCCTCTGCTGAATCAATTTGTAACTTCCACTGTTAGCTGGATTACAGGCGCACGCCACAACGCCTCCTTCTTAATTGCTTGCAGCTAGGAGCCATTGCTTTCATTAGTCTCAGCACGAGTCACTTTTATTTTAATTGAGTGTATTCAAACTTGTTCGATCTCTTTACTGGATTACTATATTATTAAAGCTCACATTAAAAAGAATGCCCTTCTGTGAGTAGTACACTTTAACTCATTTAATTAGTTTACAGAGAAATAAAATAAATGCTCTTCTAGCTCTTAGCAAACAACATGCTTTGGTCCTAACAGAGACAAATAGGGAAAAGAAACAAATTTTGTAAATTCTCTTTCCAGCCAGTCATTTCCCGCTGAGGAGCACCCTGCATTCAGAACTCTTTGACACCTATATGACTACAAGATGCTCTGCTGTGTCATGTGACCTCCACTGTCACCATGGCTACCAATTAGATGCCAGGGGGTGTGGCCTGTGTGAATGCATACCAGGTAAGTAACAGATACTTGTGTAATTGTTTCTCTCTTGTTACTGTATGTAATAGAGCATTACAGTTCAACTGTATGATGTAATTCTGTAAATTCTGTATAATGTAAATTAATATTTGACAAATCTTAATGACAACTCTGGGTTATGATTACGGTGATACTGATACAATCATGTGAAGTTGATGGTGTATGTTGATGGTGTATGTTAAGTTCTAATTAATAATATGGTAAAACATCCATATTGTAGTACTGTACAAATTCATTGCATGATGAAATAGATCCAAGATGAATAGTGCTATAAGATTAGGTTTGAACCAGTTTGGCAAGGTTCAGTAATTGTTGTGCATTTATACCCAATACAACATGTATTAAAACACACACATTTTAACTTTCATCAAATGGCCATGTGCCTATGATGCCTTGGTATTTGTGCACCACTTTCAGTAAACTGAAAGTGAGCGCTGGAGGTGAGCATGTGAAGTTGTGCGCACTCATTGCAAGCAAATAAACTAGATTTTGAAACATTAAAATGGATGAGAGGGGGAACTGTCTGTGGTAATATCAAAACAGATTTTCTAGAGGAACAGATAAAAGTATAATCACTTTTATAAGAGTATATTGGAAGGAAGTATAAGTATATATGTGTACATGTACAAAATAAGGTGATGACTATTAGCATCAGTAAAGAATTATGACACTTCAACACAAATGAATTAGACCATCAGAATCATATAAAGCTAACTAATAAGGTTTTAATGCAGTTAAAGTTTAAGAAAAGAAGCGATAGAAACTTTAAAGAAGCATATTTATATAAAGAATCTACATCGTAACCTACACACTAAGAAATAAAGGTACAATTATGCTACTGTAGCAGGACCCTCTGCTACGATACCAGCACCCTCTGCGTGTAGGTGGATGCAAATCTCCACTTGTACTTGACTAAACTGTAATACTTTTGTAAGGATTACAGCTTCATGTATCGACCCCTATTATTGCTGCAACTACAGGAAGACATGGTCATGCTTTATCAGCAAGGTATGTGAAGAATAAGAAATTATGACCACTACGAAATGTATGAATTGACACTTAAGACATGTTTATTTAGTCTGCATCTTTTTAAAGCAACCAAGTAGTATAAATGTACCACTTCATGTTTTCAATCACAGTGCATTTCCAAATCGAAACAAATTATTTACACCAGTTAAAGATACATTACAATCCTCCAATACTGGAGACAAAAAAAAATCAAATGCACTTACATGTAGCATGAGCTAATTAAGGCACCTGTATAATTATTTGAACAGAATGAATGGTTGCACTCTACTTTTCCAAAAACTGAGACAGCTTCATTGACGGAACGTGATAACAAATCTTATTGCATTTTGTTCGAGAAACTAAATCGTTTAGGTTACAGTTTGTTTGTTTGTTTGTTTTTATTTCCGTATAAAATCATCACAACATACAAATACATACATAAATGAGATATACGGCGGATAGCCCATTTCAGGCGTATTAACAAAATACGCCTGTTCTTCCATGGGGTCCGGAAACTGACACTTACTGACATATACAGTACATTGTAATTGTCTCTCAAATACAAGTTTTCAATTATGTTGTTAAATATCTATCCATTGTTCATCTTGATGCAAATAGTGTTTCATGATATTTATATAGACCCATTTTGAATTTCAGGAAGGAAGAAATGCATGTATCTAAATTTACCATGCTTTTTATAGGCTTGAAGGCCTACTTATGGTTTCGTGAAACAATGCCCTGGAAGACAAATACATTCATTAGAAGAGACCAACGTGGAAGAAAAATGAAAGTAATTTTTCATAATATATCTACACCATACTGTTAATGTTCCTACTTTAAAATGTTCTTTTTATACTACAAAAAATACTATGCAAACACATGGAAGTGCACTTCATCTTGTAACATCAAGTTGTTATACATCATTATAGGCTAAATTTTGTAATTTTGTAAATACAAGTGTTTTAAAATGATATATGCATTATATTCAGTGTTTTTGTTAAAGCATTTCTGTACATTTCTGAATTTTTTGCATATGAAGGCACAGTTATGTGTTTAACTCTACATGCATTCATGAATTGCAAAATTGATAATCATGAAGCAGTTTTTGTATCACAATGGACAGCGAAAAAAGGCACTATGATAGGAATCTGGTTTAGAATGTAATGTATGATCCATGTTTGTATCCCGAGTGGCATCATAAGGGTTAAAACTAAAGGAATTTCTTTATTCCCTTCCATAGAAGTATATACATTGTTTTTAATTGAAGAATGCACTCTTAATAATTTTGTTTGTCTGGGAAGAGTTTGGTTGACCGATGCTGAAAGGTCAATGAACACTTGTAGATGTATTTCACTCTCTCCCATGTCCAATTATCTCTGCAACCACAAAGATATATCTGCATAATGAAGTCCAAAATACAGTCCTATATGAATGTCCAAAACGAAGTCCGAAAAAAAGTCCAAAAGAGAGTCCAGAATGAAGTCCAAGCAGAATTAGTCCAAATTGATGTGGGGTAGATTGGCTATAGCCGGTAGGGAATGGCTTTGATGACTGTTCTGTAATTTTGGAGAAGGAAGTAAAGATGGTATATTATAATTTTTTGAATTATCTAATTAATATTTACATGTAGGATTTACTTAATGAAGCTGTATAGTAAACTTTGAGGATTAAAATGCAAAACAGTGCACAATCCTAATTTTTATATTGTCTTGTGTATTGCAGAGGGTTGAGAGCCTAATGTATCACAATGCGCCTTGAGCATTTAACTGTCAAGTGGATTTGGCGCCTTATAAATCATATGTATTATTATTATTATTATTAATTAAGACAATGTGTGAATTGAAATATGTTGTGTAGGTGGAATGAAATAGTGGTCATAACTTGGAATGCGTTTTTCCTGAAATACATGTGCATGCTGGCACACATTTACATATATATCTGCTAATCTCATAAAGTAATACGACTGTATCTTTACCTTTGATTGTAAAGTTCAAACTTGTGTAGACTTTGAAAAATTTAGAAATAGTATGAAAAGAATTCTCAAGCTCCAGTTTTTCATGTGGAACCCCAAATAGTAAGTTCTAGTATCCGAAAGGAAAGGGAAATGTTTATTTTTTTTTGTAAAATTGGGGTCTTAAAACTATCCATGTGTATTGCAAAGATCTACCAAATATACAGCCCTCCCTGAAAAATAAATAAAAGAGAAAATAGCGTAATGTAACACCTGTTTTTTTGAAATAATATTACAGGTGTACATGTACACATGTGATTAAATATCTTTTAATGTGAAATCATGATTTCTATAATCACAGTTACCCTTGGAATTGGTAAGCTACAAATTTTCCCTTCCCATGACATTGTATGCAGAAACTTAGTTTTACCTGTTAATGGGTCAAAGACCTCCTTCTAAGTTGGATTCCGCAGGTGGTCAAACTGGTTTTAGGTATCCTGGCTAACTGCTACCGTTAAAGGCAGATGTGTGAGTTGTCCACGACGTCCGCGCCGTCCGCGCCGTCCGCGACGTCCGCGTCGTCCGCGCCGTCCACGCCGTCCGCGCCGTCTGCTATCTTGTCCAGCGGTATCAATTTGACTCAAAGGCGTGGACTGGCTTGACCTCTGACTATGCATGGCTTTCAATATCTGTAATGACTGAAAGCCATAACATGCTGGAAGACCGAAGATCAGAAGAATGACTACTGCAAAACTTATAATGATCATGGTCCATGGTAGTACCGGTAAGCGTAAATTTCCCTCTGCAAACAGGTACATCATACACATGAAGCATAATTTATAAAGTTGGTTCCACAATGAAGTCCAATTTAAGCTCCAAAGTTGTTTCCAGAGTGAAGTCCAACATACTTTCCAGAATGAAGTCCAAGCAATTGTAATAACCTTGTCCATAGCTGGAGAAGGAAGTAAAGATAGTACAAAGTATATTACAACTCTTTCATTATCTAATTAATATTGATATGTAGGATTTACTTAATGAAGCTGTATAGTGAACTTTAAGGATTACAGTGCAAAACAGTGCACGTTCTTCATTTTCCTATTGTCTTGTGTATTGCAAATGGTCTAGAGCCTAACATATCACATGTGAAATATTGTACTGTTCTCACCAGCAGATAGGACATTTTAAAGATTGGCTATCCTTCGTGTGCAGTGAAATACTTGTAAAAAATTGAGAATTGGGATGCATTTACCTGGCCTATGAAACAACAACATTAAATATAAATTCTTCATAAGAATTGACATATAATTACATCAAGGATATGCAATAATTTTTATTGTTCAGAAGAATTGTTATGTTTATCGTTTAAATCGATTTCCACCGATTTCGAGATTTTAAGACCTTTTATCTTCAAACCCTAATCCTTATCCCGTAAGGGGGCTCTGCCTCCTTAACCCCTGCCAGGGGCGGATTCAGCCAGCGCCAGGGGAGGGGGGCCATCTCTAAAAAAAAGGTACAATTAACATGTTTTTTTTCACACATTTTTCCCCAGGGGAGGGGCCCGGGCCCCCCGGGCCCTCCCCCTGGATTCGCCACTGCCCGGACCCCCATATAACCTCCTTCCTTTTTGGAAATTTCTCTGTCTCATCCCTGAGAAATTTAAAACAAAATATTTCATAGACTTCATTCAATTGCACGTCTATATAGTCTTTAGATGCTGCACGCATGGTAAGCATGCAAGGAACCATCTCCGATGTCACTCGCATCAGAATACAAGCAAAAATGATCGACATAGACAGGAAGCTTCTGACAGCAAATTTATCATTTGTTGAAAGTTTCACTTTCAGAAGCGAGTGTACGTACCGTGATTAGAGAAATAAATGAATAATTGAATGAATATTGAATGAATGAATCTTCTGATTAATAGAAATCTAAAACGGCGTACAATGCTATCTCAGCTGAAAGGGCTCGTTCATGCGTATTCACTTTGGACTTTGTGCATCATAATTATCCCCTCGCTGACGAAGTCGGAGGGGATATATAGT